ACTCCTGCTGCCGGATGAGGTGACCCACACCTCTGCCTCCTCCCACACTCAGGCCTGAGAGTTCAAGGCCAAGCTTGAGATATCTCAACAACAACCACAACACACCACAAAGCCCACATCTGGGCACTTGGTAAGGAAAAGGCCTACCTTGGCTCTTGATTTTGGAGGCTGGGAACGTCCACCTTCCAGGCCACAACCTAGGGAAGGGGGCGTCGTTTGTGCCACTGGTAACTAGGTGGTGGGCAAAGCACAGTGGGGGCACATGCAGAAGTGGCCACGGCCTCACGGTAATGAACGTGGTCCCAAGACTGAAACCACCTCCAAGACTTAACCCTGAGGGAGCTGCCACGGTGACCCAAACACCTCCAGTCGTTAAAGTCTCCCTACCTCATGTACCCTTACCTTGGGGGCAAGTTTCTAGCATAGGAACCTTTAGAGGTAACCATGTCCACAATACTAGAAGGACTGCAGACCCAAAGTAAGTGTCCACCTGCCTGTCCAGACAGTCCACTGAAGACAAGAGCCTGAGTCCCCATGTCCCTCAGCCTTCAATTAGTATTGCCTCCCTACCCTCTCCACAAAGACCAAAGTCAGGCTCCGGCATACCACCACCGCACAAACATTGTTACTAATCCATGGAGGGAAAACAGGTGTGATTATCTTTGTTCTGAGGAAACTGAGATCCTGGGAGGTAAGAGCCCTGCTTGGTTCTGCCTGCTCCCACGTCCACCATTGCTGTATTGACAGCTGGACTGGAGCTGAAACAGGACTCTGAGCCTCGCCCGTAGTTCTCCATAGGCTCCAGGCACTGTAACACTAGTGTTTCCATTTATTCTCACTGATCACCATGAAATGGCCCAGGAGACCACTGGAAAAACTCAATGGCCAAGCATGGTGGTTGGTATATGCCTGTAATCCTAACTACTCAGGAGTTAGAGAGGTAGGAGAATCCAGTTTTGAGGTTGGTCTTGGGGCAAAGAATGAAAGAGCTATCTGAAAAAATCACTAAAGGGGGGGGGGGAAGGGAGGGGAAAGCATATCTCAAGTGTGGGGCCTTTCACGTGTGAGGTCCTGAGTTCAAACCCCAGTACCACCAAAACAACAACACAACCCAGCTTAGGTAATGTCTAAGTCACAAACTTCGCGGGGAATGTGTAGGCTCCTTTTTCTCTCCTCATTAGACAAATGAAACCTCTGTTCCCCTACTCCCTGCCCCTCCACCCACAAAGAGAATGCTAAGAAATTCGAACAGGGGTCAGAAAAGTAGGGGAGTGATGAGATCTGTAGTCCATGTGTGGAACAAAAGAACAATCGTGTTATTTCATTAATACATACAAGCAGGAGCTGAGCTTCTATTTGCCAATCACTCAGCAACTATTTTTTTATGAAACAAATATAACCTACAATCTCAAATACATTCTTAAAGGTACCATGACCACTTAATGTATATGTTGTACTTGGAACATCAGATTTCCTCTCTGGAGAAGTTTCTTTGGAGGTAGCTACGGAGCTCAAGTGAATAAGATCCTGCCCAGCTGATTGACACTGCTGTTATGGCTTCTGATAGAATCTATCTAGGGGCCTGCAGCTCAGCAGAGTTTGCACCCAGGAGCACTCGATCTGTGGACTTTGAGCACTGGATCCATCCCTTCGATTGGAAGGCCTCATCCATGTTACTTGAAGTCTGCAGCCTTAAAAAAAAAAAAAGTGGGCAAACCTACAAAAATGATGTACTTTGTGTGATGCATTCACCAATGACTGCGGCCTTACATCATCGAGTAGCAAAAAAGAATGGCATGAAAATAGGCGGATCATTTTCATAATAGCTTTTAGCATTGTAGAGCTAGAAATAGCCAAGAATCCCCGCAGGAGCTCCCAGCCCGAGGCGATCCCGATCGTGGAGGAGAGGGGGGTTTCTCAGTGGGAATCCTAGGTCCCAGGCCCATGCGTTCACTTGGTCTTTGAGGCCCACACCCCACCTGCAACTTTTAACAAGCACCTGCCTAATTATGCGTGGAGCATTATTGCTTTTACAGAGAAACAGATTCTCTGGACCTAGCTAGATCCTCTTAATTTCTCTCCTTTACTTTTGCCTTTATCTGTGATGAACAACAGAACCTTTGTACACGGAAGCTGGGTGTCCACGGGTGTGTGGTTTCACAGAGACCACCGTGGTGGGAACACTGAACATGCTCACGATGCTGGACCTTGGACACAAAACCCTGTGCGTGCTCATGACACACGACCTCGGAAACAAAGCCCCGCGCATGCTCACGATTCTGGTTTCTCACATCGTGCCTTCCCGAGTCCCAGTTCACTTGGTCGCTTTGGTGCAGTGTGGTCACTTTTGTCTTGCTTTGGGGGGTGAGAGGGGTCACCGTTTGCTCCCTGGGGAAGCAGATTTTCAGAGGTAAGGGCAGAGAAGCAGAAGATCACACAAGTATTAAAACAAGACTAATGGTAACCCAGGCCAGGCTGAGCACCTGTCTGCACCGCTGAACTGCACATGCAGGAACTTAAGTTACTGTTTTCGAAATATTTATCATCTACTTAACCATACTTGGTCAGAACCACATATAATGATTCCAGGAACAAGGCAGGCTCACTTTTACTTTTTTATAGTTGTTTATTTATTGTGCCAGTCTTGCGGCTTGAATTCAGGGCCCGGACACTGTCCCTGAGTTTTGTGCTTGAGGCTGGCGCTCTACCAATTGAGCCATAGCTCCATTTCCAGCTCTTTAGTTGCTAATTGGAATAGAGTCTCACAGACTTAGCTGCCGGTCTGGCTTCCAGTCACAATCCTCAGATCTCAGCTTTCTAAGTAGTTTTAAAATTATAGCGGCGAGCCACCAGGGGAGCCAGGGGAAGGCATGCTTGCTTCATACTAAATGAATTCTCGTCAGAAAGCTGGGGGTTCCAATACCAATTGCATGGATAGGAAAGGCAAGAAAGAAGCAAGCAGTTTGCGTTTTTATTAGTTCCCTGACGAGATGACAGGAGGACCCCCCAGGTCAAGACGCAAGGCACAGGGCTGTAGTGAAGGAGCTCCTGGGCTTCTCGGGGGATGGGTTTTGAAGAAGGTGTCAATAAAGGACCTATTACAACATTCATGATTGCAATTCGTTAAGAGTAACGACAAAACTAAACACATAATAAACTTTAAAATACATTTCCATTTTTAATTTAAAAAATAAATAACAGCAAATCTGAACAAAACTCTTCTACTTCAATGCACAGCACTTAATCGTCTGTGCACGAACCCCAACTCGTTACAAAATCATAGCAAAGGAGTTTTTCACCAAGTTTGGATGAACAGCTCACAAAGAGTGACTGAGAGATGAGTTTGGGCAGCATGTATAGGAGATTAGCTTTGGCTGAGCTTGAAAATCCACCTGGAATCATTCATCAGAAAGGCAAGCTCTTCTACTTGTACGTTAGAACTGATGGCTTAACTCTGAATCCAGCCAGAAAATATTTTTCCAACTTATCTTTGTAGACTTCTAAGGAAGCAATGTTTATCAACTCCCCAAATGACACAGGGAAAGACAGTATGACTATAGAAACAGAAGTCACACAGTAGACCAGGCTGATAAAGTCTGAAGACAATTACGGCCATGGCTTTGTTAACAAGATTCTACAGAGAATTATGGTAATTTGTGTCAACATTTCAACAATGTACACAAGAACCATTATTTCAATGTTCATAAATCTGTTTTTTGGTGGTTTTTTTTTTTTTTTGGTAGTCTTGGGGATGTAACCCAATGCCTTGAATCTACTAAACAACTACTCTACTACTGAGCTACATCCCCAGTCTGAATCATTTGGTGTTTAAAAGAAAAAAAAAAAATCAAAGCATATGTCAAAAGTTAAGAGTCAAAGGTCAAAGCACCAAGTTGGGATTTAAAAATAAAAGGAGAGGGGGAGGGTTCCAGTATGTGGACCTCAAAGTTTTAGTACAGAAGTTTCCTCCTAAGTTGCCTTCATTTTGGTTCACTTAGAATGAAAAGGAGCTAGGCTGCACAGGATATGGGAGACTATGGACTTTCTGGAAGGTATATAACTGTATAGTTATTATTATGTATGGTGGTATGAGGGGTATCTCTCCCCTTTGCGTGATACCTGAGTGAAAAAAAGGCACAAATTTGTGGGTCCTTCTAAATAAAATCTTTCACAACACAGTGCCCCACACCTGTGGACACCTCCTGGGGTGGCAGGAAGAGTCTTGCTTGTGTCTGTGACACGGGTACCTCTAATATTTGTGCCCTGAACTGTGGGAATGGCCCATCTCTGTTTTACAATAAGAAGTTGCCCCGCTACCTGGGGGAGATAAAGAGTTAACAAAGGTAGGTTGTTCTCACAAATCCCGCTCCACACTGTTTTATTCTGAGTTTGCAGTGAGCTTCCCTGGCAGGAGAGCATGACTAAAACTCTAGAGTCTAGGAGGGAAGCCAAAAGAGTAGGGGAGAACTGTGGCCCAGCACCCTGAGTTAGGGCCACAGTGTTAGCTGAATACCCTGTCCAATCCTATAGCACACGGCTATATGCTATTTGCATTGAATATCGACTCGCTGCATGCTGAGAGCTTAGTCCCGTGTCCCGGGATCTCAGTAAGAACTTAGTACGTACTGGATAGAAATGATCTTCAAAAAAGCAGTCTCAAGGCAAGATGAGTCATCAGGATGAAGAGGGAGAGAAACAAACTATAGAATAATCCTTACAGAGCCTATAACAATTTTGAAGGGCTCAGTCTCAGAGCTCCCAATAAGGAAAAATAAAGGCTAGTTCCACCCCTTTTCTCCTTTCTCTTCTATTCCAAACGTGATCTCTGCTGTCTTCCCCTTTGACTCCAGGGCTGGCCTTATGTATGACTTTTTGTCAAACACGTGACTCTTCTGCTCCACAAACTTGCCAAAGAAGCGGATCGTCCAGTCTCTCTACAATCTCATACTGACAAGCCCTTCCTGGCTTCTGGAAGTAAAGAGCTATTCCCACCTCCCCCCCCCCCCGCCCCCAGTAATTTGGAGAGGGAATCATAAAAGAATTCATCTGGGCACTGGCAGATCTGCTCAGAGAACACCAGGGTCTCCCATCTGCCTCTGTTGCCTCCATTTTGCTCTGCAGGCCTTAGTGCTTTCCCTTTAAGATCCACTCCCAACCTTATTAACATTTTCTCTCCTCATAAATTACCATGTAAGACGTGCCCCCCAATGCCCTGTTTTGGAGAAGGGCTGTAGGTACAGAACTAATCTGCACACACACTCCTCATTATGTCGAATAAAAAGAAATAGTATCAATAATGTCCTTAGGGTATTCTACACCATACCTAGGCCTCTCAGAGAGAAGAGAGGCCCAACTCGCAAGTCCTGCGAGCCTCCCAGGATCCTGTGCGGCAGGACCATCCACGCTTTGCAGAGCGACAGAGCGAATGCTCAGAGGACTCCGGTGCTCTGCAGGAGTCTGCCAAACACTGGAATTTGAGATAAGTGGGTTTAAAAATTGAAAGCCCATGTTTTGTTGTTGTTTTTTCATAATCACATTGGAGGCTCTCCTGAGGGCAAAGAATAAGCATTTCCATAACTCTTCTAGAATGTGTACGCTACATTCTGGAGTGGTGGTGGGGCTTGTCTCACAGGCTTTGGTTTTGTTGGTCCTTGCGATGAACACGGCGGCTGATGATGCACACGAACTAAGAGGCTGGCAGCCCAATGCTGGTCCTCATCATCTGAAATCTCTCTCTGTACTCTCGGATATGGGGGGAAAGGACTTTGGGAGAGGTCTTGGGGGAGACCCTTTAGCATCTTCTCCCCTACCTCCAGCCTGAGCTTGCCACCAACATCGAAACACTACCAAAATAACTGGGACATTTCAAACCCTGTCCAATAGGGCTAGGTATTAAAGACCTTATCAGAGATTTCTTCCAGGTGGATGTGTCATCAGGGGACAGCTAGCAAGCTAGTTATTAGTAAGATACAAGAGCACCACTTCTCGTGTTCAGCTTCGACTTCTTTTTACAAGGAGTCTTCTATGTGGCCTTTAAGCTCCCTGGGGTTTTGGTATGTGTATTCTATTTGGTCCTCCAAATCACTCAAGTTATCATTCTGACAGGCCCACTGACATTAGTACCATTAGTAATCAAATTAACTCCATGATCAAGAAGAATAAATAATCAAAAGGAAACACTGCATTCTCCAGGGTGAGATCAGGCAGCAGACTCGGGCTGCTGCGTCATTGCAAAGATGATGGAACAGAGCTGGAGAACCGGGCACTGTGGTCCCATCCAGCCAGGGATGTGAGCCCCAGGGCGGGAAGAGGAGCAGAAAGTCTGTGTGCAAAAGAGCTTCGAAGGAATCTCTGGTCAGGAGCAACACCGTTCACGTGGAGTGTGGATCACACCTGCAAGCGGTGGGCACTGCAGACACAGCAGCTGTCGGCTCCCAGAGTGCGCCTGAGGCCAGCCACTTCTACCACACTGCGTGCGTGGCACAGGGCTGTGCGTGGGAGAAGAGGAAGCAGATCCAGCCTTATTCTTCTGCAGCCAAACTCAGACTCCATCCGGAAGTTGGCTCCTGAGCTGTGCTCCCCTCACTGCACTAACCAGCCTCCACTTCTGCAGTGGAATCACGGTGAAGATGAGCTGGCCTGGCGAGCATGCACGCATGGGCAGCTCTGGAATCCCAGGTATACTGGAGGCCAGGAGCACGGCCCCAAGCCTCTACTGCAGCTTTTGAAAGAACAAAAGTGGTTGTGACCTGCTGAGCAGTGTCCTGGCCCTCTAAGCAGCCACTCTCCCGAGACCGGCTGTCTGGCAGTGTGTCCAAGGCACTGGAGGTGCAGAAATGTGGACGGACAGGTCCTCACTGCGCTCCCGGCTCCGAAGGCCCCAGGCCGGATTTCCTTGCTTTGGGAGGGGGTGGGGGTGGGGCTCTGGCTTCTCTGCGGACAGGCAGTGGGGGTGCGATCTGGGGAGCAGACACATGCCTTTAGAAGGGGGTCCTCTCCTCTCCCTGCCCTCCCTCAGTTTCCAAACTCTGCTTTGGCTTTGAATTGCTATGTCAGGTTAAAAGTAAGGTTAAAAAAATGTGTGTGTGTGTGTGTGTGTGTGTGTGTGTGTGTGTGTGTGTGTGTGTGTGATTTGCATTTACACTCCTGGTTTCCCTTGAGCTGATCAGAAACACACACACACACACGTAAACACATTCATTCACACATACACATATGCGCACACACATACACACACACCCCTGAACACCTGGCATATGCCTAGCAGTCATCAGTCCATACTTGTGGAAGGAAGGAAGGAAGGAAGGAAGGAAGGAAGGAAGGAAGGAAGGAAGGAAGGAAGTCAGCCATCAGAGGGCTCCCCAGCAGGACTGCCTTGCACTCCACTCAGAAGTGAATTCTGGGTGTGAATCCAGACACTAGACCCCACTGCAGCCCAGTGTGAGGGGCAGAGGATGCGTCTTCCGTGGGCAGCGTGAACAGCTTTCCCCAGTCTCTAGCTTTTAGGGATGGACGAGGGTCAGCCTCCATGATTGACAGCCGGGAATCCTGTGCTGGGACTGCTGTGCTCCTGGGGGAGGGCTCTGCGCCCACCCCTAGGGCCCCCACACATGGGACAACCACACCCCGGGGCAGGCTCCTACCTCAGCAGAGTTCCTCTGGCTGTTCTCATAGGGCTTGCTTTTGGGGGGAGGTGGAGGGGGCGCAGAAGTCACCAGTCTTTCTGTCTGCAAGGATGGGGAACCTGGAAATGACACAGGAAGGGAAGCGGAGAGAAGCAATGCTGGCCACAGGGCACCTGAGCCAGGCTGGCCAATCAAATTGCTGGAGCGCGTTTCTATGGTTTCAGTGATGGAGAGAAGGCCTCTTACCCCACCCTTCACTCACCAAAACGCTTCCCAACACGTTCCCAACTGAAAATTCTGTTTTTAAGATTATTATTATGAAGGTGATGTACAGAGGGGTCACAGTAATATAAATCAGGTACTGAGCCCATTTCCTTTTGGACAACGTCACCCCTTCCCTCGCTCTCTCTTCCCCACCCAAAAAGTTGTACAATCCAGTTTCTACTCAGTGTCCAGTGAGTACCACTGGTGCATTTGTTCACCCTTTGCTCTTCCATTTCTGTGTCCCCCCAATATTCCTTTTTTGTCCATTTGTCTTCAAACTAGTAAGCTGAACATGAGAACGTTTTCTGGGACTGAGGGTATTTTTCTGTAGTCTGACATGCCGCTCAGGGAAATACCCATATCCACCCAGAAATCACCCTGCCATGCCTGGCTCTCAGGCCATCCTGTGTCCCATTAAGCACTGGTAGATGGACTTCCCTTAAGGCTCTGGGCTACGGGGTCTTTCTCATTTGTCTCAAGCATTTGCATAACAGTAGTTCCCCATGTCTCACTGCCTTGTAAGATATGGCATTAAAGCTTTTTTCCTGCCCTTTTACAGGTCTCACCACTCAAGAGTTGGTTCCAAAGTTACTTTACCCTGACCTGTTTCAGCCTTCACGTTCCTCATCTATCCCTTTGCAGCTGTGAAGGGACCAGCTGCATTCTTTGCCTGTCTATGAGACATTTAACAGTCCATCCTGCACCCAGAGGCCCTGCCCAACCTCGGGAACTTCTAGTATTCCCTGAACTGAATCAACTTTACAACAGTCTGGTGTTTTATGTGGTGGGTTTGGTTAAAAACATGCCCAGATTTCATTAAACAACAATAACGTAAGAACACGTAAGAGGCACAAGATAACTTACTTAGGGTCCTGGTAGCTTTGGGCGTGAGCGGAGGTGGACTCAAGGGCGTGGAGGGAGGAGGAGGAGAGCAGCTAGGAAAGGGTGTCAGCCGACTGTCTACCAGCTGGAGACTCTTGGGCCTCGGTACTTTTCTGGCTGGACTCTAGTGAGCCGAGAGGAAACTAGATTAAAGCATTCTGACAGGGAGCAAGGGTGAGATCAACAACGCTCTGGACAGCACTAGAGGAATCTGCACAGGGCTGAGTGTCAGGAATCACTTTTAAAGGTCACCACTTTATCCTCCGGTGGGCACCCTGGCAGACACCCGAACTGGGCATCACTCTGACCCACAGAAGCTCTTTTGGCTGGCTGCAGCGTCGTTTAAGTGGGAAATAAGCCATCTCCACTGCCCAGGAAAACATTGCCCTTGCCACTCTTTAACAAATGGATGTGGCTCATGGAAGAAAAACAATCATGCTTGGGCTGACTCACAGAACCACGAGTTCATGAGGTGACACCCGTTTTCACTGTGGGCACAAGGTCTCATCGCCACTATTGATTTAGAGACACGAAATTCTCCAGCACGCGTTTCTACCCACCGCCTGTGACTTGGCTCCACCGCACGCTGGTGAGGCGGCTGCCGAGAGGCCTGGCTCCCCACAGGCACTCCTTCATGGCTTGCCCCCTCTCCCGTCTCTTCCTTTTTCCTTTCTTCCCTCCCCTTCCTTTCCTTCACTCCCTCCCTTATTTTGCTTATCTCTGTGTTTGGTTGATCGCTCGTTTTACCATCAGTTCCGGCTCTGGAGCTTTCTCTGCAATGACCTGAGACTTGCTCAGATTCCAGTCTTTTCTCTTGAACCTGCTGATTCGGTTCTCACCGTCCTCTCTGAGGGCGACATCTTCAACTCTGGCACCTGACGAGGCCCTGCGCTCAAAAAGGGGCTCCAGGATTGACCTATGAGCCAGGAAGGAGAAGGAAAGTCACCCACGGGGGTCACAGGGTGGGGGAAACTGACTGCCAAGGATCAGGACCAGGCCTCCCCCAGGCCAGCTTTACCTGAATTTCTAATAATCAATTGCTAGTGAACAAACATCCTGGGGTAGGATGTACAGAAATGAGACTATCAAATGCATGCAGAAATATATTCCACAAAAGGAAGGAAAGAAAGAAGAAAGGAATAAAGGAAGGAAGAAATGAAAGAAGATAGGAAAGGGGGGAGGGAGGAAGGAGAAAAAGAAGGGAGGGAGGGATATTTTCTACCTGTGAGATTTCATATCACATGCGTATATCATTAATTCATGCAGTAAATACAAATGATAACACATATTTCAAACAATAGAAAGGAAGAAAAGGTCGGTGGGTGCCCACAAGGGCAAGGGGTCGCAATGTCTGTGAGAAGGTGGTAGGATCCTGAGATTTCATTTTTAATTTGCAGTAGCTGCTTTTCCTTATCCTCAGCACTAAGGCTTGAACGTGGGGCTTTGTGCTGGTTTAGCTTGCTCTCTCAGCCGGTATTCCACTACTCAAGCCACATCTCTAGCCTGGTGTTCTGCTGACTAAGTGGAGATGGAGTCTTATGGATTTTTTTGCCCCAGCTGGCCCGGACCACAAATCTATGGATTTGAGCCTCCTGAACAGCTGGGATTATAGGTATGATCCACAGTGAGCCTGATTTGGGGCTTTTCTCCTGGGGAATGACCATGTGTCCCTTTGGTGACCCAGGCAAACATAACAGGTAATAACCAGCCTCCCCCCGCCCCCCCCAGGAGAGTACAGGTGCAACCTTACCCATCAGATCCTGGCCTGGAAGAAGTGTTTTCCGAGGAGTTGGAGGAGGTGGAGGCCACGGAGGAGGCCATGGAGGTGACAGACAGCCTCCGCAGAGTGGAGGGCATGATGTAGGGCAGCACGAGGGAGCCCGTGCGGCTTTGCTTCCTCCCCGTCAGGTTGGATGGCTGTAAAACACACGGCCGCTTGGGGTGAGGCGGTCTGGAGGATTGACGCAGCTGCCCAGTTTGTTCAATTTAAAGAAGAAAAAAGAAAGAAAGAAACAAAGCCGGGCACTGGTGGCTCACGCCTGTCCTCCTAGCTACTCAGGAGGCCGAGAGCTGAGGATCGCGGTTCAAATCAGCCTGGGCAGGAAAGGCCATGAGACTCTTATCTCTAATGAGCCACCAAAAAACCAGAAGTGAAGTGGTGTGCACTGATTTGAACTCAGGGCTTTGTGCTGGATTAGCTTCCTGGCTCAGCTGGTATTCAGCCTGGCTTTCTGCTGATTAACTGGAGATGGAGTCTTATGAACTTTTTCCAATGGGGATGAAGCTTATAGCTCAAGCGGCAGAGCACAAAAGCCCAGGGAACAGGGCCTAGGCCCTGAGTTTAAGCCCTAATTCCGGCATAAAAATAAACCATACATAAAAAGAAAGGCAAAGGCAGAAGAAGACAGTCACATTCTCATTTCTCTTTGTGTCTCTGTGTGTCTCTCTCCTGCCTCTATTTCCATGCTCTTCCTTGCTATGCTTCTGCTGTGGCTGGGAAAGCCGGCCAAGGTCATAAAAGGGAAACAGGGGCCTGGGAACCGCTGAGGTCGATTCGGACGCAGCTTACCAGTGTGATGACCCCGTAGAGCTTCTCTACTTTCTCCTTGAGTTCCCGGAAGCAGGAGGACAAGCGGTCGTGCAGCGGCTTGAGCTGCTCCGTCAGCTTCTCCCCATGGATGCGGATTCCCTCGGTGAGCAGGGGCATCTGCAGGGATGGGCAGAGCAAGGATGGCGGGCAGCTCAGGAGAAGGGGGAGTCGGGGCAGGGCAGAAGCAGGACAGGTTAGCCGGTAGGGGCCACTATGGGATACCAACACCACTTCTCCACTGAGGGAAGGCTACGTGAGGTCACAAGTGGACCCAGCACCACCCAGGAAGGGCTGGCGAGAGCTGGGGCTGATCCCACCCAACTCTGGCTGTTTCTGTAGATCAGCAAGGGATGGGCCTGAGAGTCGATGGCTGTACTTTCTACCACTGTCCATGAAATAGAGGCCGGGAAACCAGTTTCTTTTGCACGTTCATCTCAGCTCTGGGGAGGCTCTGGTTAACAGTTTCTGTCCAATAGGACCATGGCTAGGGTGTCCACATCAGGCCATGCAGATACAGCCCTGCCTGGAGAGTATCATGGAGCCAAGCGCTGTGGCTGCCCATGGAGTGCAAGGCCCGCATCACACACCTGCAACACCCTGCACCTGCGATGCTCTGCACATTGCAATGCTGTACACACCTGCGGTACCCTGCACACCTCGAATGCTCTGTGTACCTGTAATGCTATGAGTCTCTTGAGCAGCTCCACCTTCTCCTGGTCTTCAGGATGCGCCTGTAAGTACTTTTCTGTGAAAAAGGCCTAGAGCAGAGGAGATATGAGCATTCATTAGGAATGCACCCCCCTTCCCCTCCTCCCTACACTTGATCTTCACAGTGACACAAGAGGTCTGGAAAGGTGAAATAGGTCTTCAGTTCTCACATACCAGCCGTGTCTAACTACACATTCATTCCTTTCCTGGGCAGTCCTGCTCCACGGCGGGTGACTGAAGAGCACCGCTAACCAGTGGTCTCTCTGGGATCATGAACATCCCTTGCCAGAGCTCATTGTCAGCAATCACCAATCCACATATGGGTGAGCACACGTGTGCTAATACAATAAAATCATCCACAGGGCTGGGAAGGTGGCTCAGTGGTAGAGCGCTTGCCTTGCATGCCTGAGGCCCTGGGTTCGATTCCTCAGCACCACATAAGCAAGAAAAAAGCCGGAAGTGGAGCTGTGGCTCAAGTGGTAGAGTGCTAGCCTTGAGCTGAAGAGCTGAGGGACAATGCTCAGGCCCAGAGTTCAGGCCCCACGACTGGACCCAAATAAAATAAAATAAAATAAAATCATCCACAAAAGCGTCGTCCAGTGAAAAACAGATTTCCCAAAAAGATCAAGCGACAATATCTAAAGGTTAATAATCACGTGTACAGATATTAAACATGAGAGCCAGCGGTGTAGCTCAATGGTTAAGCACTTGGCTAACATGGGGAAGGCCCTGGGTTCTATCCCAGCCTGGCAACAAAAGATCTCACGAAGAGGCTGACGTGACTGGTGGTTTTCCTGTCTTCCACATGCTATGAACTGCTGTGCATTTGTTTCCTACTATATTAATACCTGCCCTTTTTCAGTAATCATCTATCCAAAAGGTTATATTGGAGACAAAATGGGGTGTAGAGGTGAAGGCATTCTGAGGAGAATGTGTGCTGGCTCTGTTTATGATTTCCTGACAAAACCATGCTCACCAATCAATGCTCAATCCTACCACTGAGGCCCATCAACCAATCAATGCTCAATCCTACCACTGAGGCCCATCAACCAATCAATGCTCAATCCTACCACTGAGGCCCATCAACCAATCAATGCTCAATCCTACCACTGAGGCCCATCAACCAATCAATGCTCAATCCTACCACTGAGGCCCATCACGGGGGAATTAAAAACTCAACATGAATTCCCAACATCAGCTTTACAGAGAGGACCACATAGGAGCTAGGGGAGGGAAGAAGTTATTGATGATTTCATTCACTGAGCAGAGCAATGAAAACAAACAAAGAAACACCCAACAGAGCACAGAAGAGGAAACAGATTTCTCAGCTGCGCTAAGGCTCCACGGAGGCCGTGGCTCGGGTGGGGTGGGGTAGGGTGCTCACCTTCTCGTAGTTGGAGAACCCCCCCATGACGGCGGGGTCCACAATGCCACTGAGCAGCATGGACAGCGGGTGCACGGAGAGTGACCGGTCCCACGTGTGCTGCTGCACACAGTTGCTGATCCGCTCGTTGGTCAGCTCCATGGTTTCTATGGCATTCTCCAAGGGGCTGATTTCCTCCTGGAGGAGGAGCACAGGGACGCGGGATGTGTGAGCCCTGCCCACAGCAGGGGCGGCAGCAAATGTAAGCATTCCCCTCAGGCCACTGGACTGGCATTCTGCTAGTCTAAATTAGCTCTCTTTTCTGCAGCAATGCCGCTTTGATACAAAGTGAGCGATTTAAAATAACCTTAGCAGGGCAGGGTGGCTTACGATTGTAATCCTAGCTACTCAGGAGGCTGAGATCACGGTTCAAAGTCAGCCTGGACAGGAAAGTCTGCTAGACTCTTTTCCCCAATGAACAATCAGAAAACTGGAAGTGGCGCTATGCTCAAAGTGGTAGAGTGCTAGCCTTCAGTGAAAGAGCTCAGGGACAGCTCCTGGGTCCTGAGTTCAAACCCCATGACCATCACGACCACTAACAACAAAAGCCATCCCAGGCAAAGGAATCCAATTAACCAGCATACTCAGCAGTAGAGCTGTGGCTCAAGCGGTAAATCACCAGCCTCAAGCAAAAAAGCTAAGCATGAGTGAGAGATCCTGAGTCCAAGGCACAAGAACAAATGGCCTGAGCAGGTGGAAGGACGTCTCCTGCTGGCAAAGATTCTACAGAAAATGTGAGAACAAACACATCAGAGGTGTGTTCCTCAGGCAAAGTTTCCTCAGATAGTTTTGTGGCGCGCCATGACAGGTGAAGAGAAGAGACACTCTCACACGGCCAGCAGCGTCTACGGCGAACGTTCTCTGCCTCCTTGGTGAGGAGAAGCTAGTGGTCTCAGAGGCCTGTGTGCAGCCAAGTACAGGGTACCTTAGGACAGATTCTGTGCTGACCCAAAGTCAGAGACGACAGGTGGATTCAGATCTTCAGGCTGAGCTGGGATGGAAATCATCCCTATGTAGGATATAGCCTTAGAGGTCATTTCCTCCTAGGCAATGTCTTCAAAACCAGGTGTCCGGAAAAACCACCTCCTTGGTTTGGCCCATTGTCAGCCCCATGGGGTATTCCAGAGTTCATTCCTAAAGTCTCAATCCAGAAAATGTACCTAAGGCCTGGAGGTGTGGCTCATTGGTAAGAGTGTCTGCCTAGCAAGCACAGGAACCTGAGTCCAAACCCCAGTACCACCAAACCAACCAGAAATTATGCTATGGAATCTATCAAACTTTAGCTCACATTAAAGAAACCTCCTCCTCCCTTTCATACCAGGGCCTCATATATGCTATGGTAGCCCTCGAATGCTGAACTACATGCATAGTCCAGGAAGAAATCTTTTTTGTTGGTTTGTCAGTTGTGGGGCTTGAACTGAAGGCCTGGGTGCTGTTCCTGAGCTTTTTCGCTCAAGGTTAGCACTCTACCACTTTGAGCCGCAGCTCTACGTCTGACTTTTAGATGGTTACCAGGAGATAAGAATCTCGCAAACTTTCCTGCCCAAGCTGATTTTGTGCTGTGGACCCTCAGATCTCAGCCTCCTGTGTAGCGAGGATTACAGGTATGAGCCACTAACACTAACCTGGGGAAATCGTTGTGAATATCTCTGTGTGTGTGTGTGTGTGTGTGTGTGTGTGCGCGCGCGTGCATGCACTAGTATGGGGGATAAATCTCCCTTGCCTTTTTCTGCTCACAGCTGGTGCTCTACCATTTGAACCATGCCTCCAGTTCTGGCCGTTTGCTGGTTAACTGGAGATAAGTCTCTCAGTCAGCCTGGGCTGACTTTGTCGTGTGATCCTCAGATCTCAGTTTCCAGGGTGGCTAGGACCACAAGCATGAGCCATCAGTGCCTGGCTCTGAACACCTTTTTACACCCAGTTTATGTTGAGTACCATGTTAGGCACTACAGTTACAGAAATGATTAAGATATACCACCATCACTCACCATCTGGTGGAGGTTGCTTCCAAGACCCCAAGCATACCAAAATTTGTGAGTGCTCATAATTTGGCATACAATTTGCATGCAATCTATATCTATATCTATATCTTCCTGATTAGTTTCATCATTACAGAACCTAGTACAATTTAAATACTATGGAAGCTGCAGTTAGACTGTATTGCTCAGGGAATGGTGACAGAGTCTGCCCATGCTCGCTGGCTACAGCCATCCTAACCCTCATTACTTAGTCACAGTCAGTCAGGCTGGCTAAGTCTGCCTTGGTTGAGCCTTTGGGGTGGTGCTGTGGACGCAGGGGCCCACTACCACTCAGGCTGTGGGGTGTTTATGGCCTTACTGGGAACTCAGGACATTCAAACATGGTGGGTCTGAAATGTGCCCAGGTTGTGACAAGGCACAGACCAAGGGCATGTAACCCAGCTTGAGTGTTCCAGAGACGGCTTTGCCGAGAAGGCCACTTGGTGGGAGCTGGTTGGGTTCAGAAGACATCTGAAGCAGAGAACAAGACTCTATCTGTCACAGAGGGCTGAAACAGCACGGAAGTTCCAGTATACATCCTCTTAGGATGGGAGCAAACGAAGGGAGACAGGGGGAGCCGCTGAAGGGAGGGAGCGGAGGCCAGCCCCGTGCTATAGGACCCAGCAGGAGGGGGGCAAGGCGGGAATGTGAACTTGACAGAACACACATAATGGTGGCGTTTTCATGATGGGATTCACACTCAGAGGCAGACGGGAACGCGGGCTGAGAAGGTGAAGGCATGGGGGCGATGGGAGGCTTTCCAGATGGCCTCAAGCAGGGGTGGATGAGGGCGAAAACACATTCAGCAAATGATAGGATGGGCAGCGGCCAAGGGGGAAGAGCCAGGAGGACTGGGGGAGGGGGGGGGGGGATGATGGGCCGAGAATCCCAGGAGGGAACAGCAGGCTGTGGGAGAGACGAGGTGAAGGACACGGCACCCCTGCAAGCATTGCAGCAAGGAGGCTGGCTGCCGTCAGATTGTGGGGGAGACGAAGCCCCTGGGGCCATCAAAGACTCATTCACTGTGGTGACCTTCACAGTCGGTGTTGAAACATCGACTGGTGTACAAGCGCGCCTTTTATTCCTCCTTTGAAAAACACCAAGTTAGCCTAAGAAGTCTGGCCAAGCTCTGTGTACAAAGGCTGCTATTATATTTGCAGACAGAAAGCTGAGTTTTGTTTTTTTTTTTGTCCCTTCCTTTCTGAGTTATAATTTCAGATGACTCACCGTTGAGATCTGCTTGACTTCGAACCACTTGAGAATCCCAGGAAAGCTATAGGCCGTGGTGTACGTGGTCCGCTCAATCCACATGGTCTGGGGCAGGAAGGAAGACAGAAGATGAGATGTGGGATTTGGCAGAGCCGCTCTGGCTGGGGAAAGCTCCATCCCCACAGGGCCTGTTTCCACACAAGACGTGAACATTCTGAGTGTTTCAGGCTCCCCAGGATCACCCAGCTAGGCCCTCGTGTTCTAAAGGTCCCGGGGAAAATGATGTTGGTCAAGATCAAGTCGAAAGAAGTCCCAGAGCCATTTCTGGAGCCCCAGTGTGGAGTTTTCCAGGCAGGTGACTCCTCTTGTTCCCGGGGGGACCCCCATCTCTGCTGTGGGTGCTGGTGAGGGTGGAGGCCTGAGTAGGATTCCCAGGGCACCTCATTTGAGAGGAGAAATGGGGTACACTCACAGCAAACTCATTGTCAGGGTCTTTTTCCCCCTTCCGGAAGGGCCGGGAGTAGCTGAACTGCTGCACTTCATTGGCGCGGTAGTAGCTGCGGGGAGAGAGCAAGCTTGGGGCACCTCTTCTCACAGCGCCCCAATGCCTCCATGGACCCTCCCCCCCTGCCCTGCACCGGGACTGCCTGTGTGGAAGTCCACCATGGCTCCATCTCTGAGCCAACAGTGCCCACACCAACCCCACAGGGGCGCACCTCCTGAACCTCATGTTTATTTCTCCATGACGGTTTTCCTTGCCCACCTTCCTGGTCTCATTCGCATGGCTCTGTCCCACCAACCCATCTCTGTAGTCTTTTAACTTCTCAAGAGACTGTTCTGGGATTCCCAACCCTAGTGAGTCCTCTAGTGGAAAGAAGAGCTAGGGATCTGATGCCTAAGACTGAAGTTTCTTGATAAACACCAGTGGCTTCTGCCCATAATCCTACCAGGGATACTGAAATCTGAGGATCCCAGTTCAAAGCCCGCCCAGGCAGAAAAACTTGTGAGACTTTTATCTCTAATTAGCCGGCTAGCCAGAAGTGGAGGTGTGGCTTAAGTGGTAAAGCTGTCCTTGAGCAAAAAAAATCCAGGCAAGAGCAAAAGGTCCTGAGTTCAAGCCCCAGTACACACCCACACCCCCACACCCCAGGCAAGAGCAAAAGGTCCTGAGTTCAAGCCCCAGTACACACACACACACACACACACACACACACACACACACACACACACACACACACCCAGGCAAGAGCAAAAGGTCCTGAGTTCAAGCCCCAGTACACACACACACACACACACACACACACACACACACACACACACACACACACACACACACCCAGGCAAGAGCAAAAGGTCCTGAGTTCAAGCCCCAGTACACACACACACACACACACACACACACACACACACACACACACACACACACACACACACACACACACACACACACGGCTCTTATTTCCCTCCACTTAAAAGACAAGTCATATCTCTTTGAACTTCCAAGCTTTCCTCTTGTACTCAAAATAGAGTAAATAGTAGGTCTTCCAAATTAGAACGAATTTAAGGATTTGCTTTTGATTTACTCCAAATAAAATATAAAGGAGAGAGAATTCACCTTGAATTCGTGTCCTACTTCAAGGCCTCTTAAGTGATGGGATTACAATCGTGCATCACCACGCTCTGCCACACACACACACCCATACACACACATGAAAAGTAAGAGCTCCTTACTTTAAGATCTGCTCTGGAACTGGTTTGTCCTTGAGGCTGGGTGGCAGGCTCATGACTGGCTTCACGGTAAAACACTGCATGTCTGAGAGCTTGTTAAGGAAAAGAAGATACTGGTCTTGCAGTGCTTCTACATCACTGCCAGAAACAGCACAGGTACCAGGCATCCCTTCTGATGCTCAGACTACACCACACCTCCTGATGCCTCCCAAAGGCAGGAAGGGATTACTGTAGGACACTTGCAGTCAGACGCCATCCTGGCCACAGGAAACCAGGCATCAATGCAATAGTGAGAAATAAGCGGTCAGAAATGGTTTCAACAGATGTACAGGTATGTATAATGCAATACATATCATGCAATTATATATGTGTATAGTTACATCTGAATTAAACATGCATTGAGTTTTTCCTTGTCATTATTCCCTAAATGGTAACCAGTAACTACTTGTATGATGTCTATATTCTATTGGAGATTTTATCAGTATATAGGGTGGGGGTGCAAGTTCTATGCAATACATATGTGTGTGTGTGTGTGTCTATGTGTGTGTGTGTGTCTATGTGTGTGCTGGACCTAGGGCTTAAATTCAGGGCCTGGGTGCTACCCCTGAGTTTTTTGCTCAAGGCTAGCACAGTACTACTTGAGCCACAGCTCCACTAACAATTTTTTTGGTGGTTAACTGGAGATAGTCTCATAGACTATCTCATGCCTAGGCTGGCTTTGAACCGCCATCCTCAAGTCTCAGCCTCCTGAGTGGCTGGGATTACAGATGAGAGCCACAGTGCCCAGCTGAGCAACACTATTTTACATAAGGAACTTGAGCATCTGTGGATTTTGGAATCCGTGGCATGGTCGGGGTGGCTGGGGGAAGAGATCCTATAGCCAATTCCCTTGCAGATACCAGGGTTTCAAAGTCTATAACAGAGTGGCAAAAGAAGAAGAGGAAATCTCTGCTCTCAAGTTTCTTATCTAGCTATAACAATAGCCCTTTACTTTCAACACTCATTTATGATCCCTTCTCAGAGGACTTCCAGGAGGGACCTAGGATTTCCCCTGAACAGGAACTGAGTGATGGGCCAGGGAAGGGCAGACAGCCAGCTCCTCATGCCCCGCTGGAGACCATGCTCTCCAGGCAAGGATGCACTGCTTAGGGGAGGACTTGATGTCATCGCCAGGGGGTGTGGTACTGCTCATCTTCTCGGCATTGGGGAACTGGGTGAGCAGCCTCAGACTGAAGTCTTCTCGCCTCTCATACTCCTTCCCCCGGTAGATGAAGATTTTATTCTGCAAGTCAGAGATGGCAAGAGAAGTCATTAAGTAGGAAGAGGAGGATGGAAAATCTAGACTTGTAGAGATGGAGGAAGCCATTGTAACTCAAAGCCTCACTTTGTTCTTTTTCTATTACTGAGTAGTACTCCATCAGGTGGATGGAGTAGACTTTGTTTAACTCTATTCCCAGCTGGCGGATGGACACCATCTTTGGTGATGATGAGAACATCTCTATGATTTTTGGGAAGCAAAGAGTTAAAGAGTTCCTGGCTACAGGCTGGTACAGCTCCATGGCACAAGACACCTTTTTTGATTATGGTTTACACTTTACATTTATGTGTAATTATGGACCTTTCCCCCCAATTAACTTGTAAACACCAGAGGACAACGAGTTGTGCAATTGTAAGTGCAGGGTATTTCCAGCACCTTCCTTGAAACTGGTGCAGACAGATTTTTCAGTAGACTGTTCTGAATGAAACAATGTAATGGCCTAAACCCTTTCAGGACGGCCTCTTGGTCTTTCTCTGATCACGCTGCCTTTTGTAGGAGCAGAGAGTTCTAGTTTTCACTCCATAAAGCCAAAGTCACCCTGCAGCCATGTTTGAGAAAGAAGGACAACATCTTGGCAACCATCCCTTTCCTCCAGCCACCTGGGGAGTCATGTAACAAAGAAACTTCCAGAATCCCAGCAGTGTCCAGGGTTGTAGGGTGAGAGGCCAGAATTCAGGATGCAGCCTTCCGCCCCGACCTCCCACATGGAGGGTGGGACCATCAGCTGCAAACACACCCCGGCCATCTGGATCAGCACTGACGCCCTGCCCAGCCCGGCCCAGTGGGCTCCTCACCCGCAGGAAGGCGGGGAAGCCCAGCCCATAGTAGCCCACGGCGAAGTACTCCGGCTGCGGCCGCATGGCCTTGATGATGTTCTCATAAAACGAAGCTCGCTTTTTCTGCCAAACAAAACAAGACACTGCATTGGGAGGTAACAAGGACACAGCTAGGGGTGAAGTGGGGGTGGGGGTGGAGGAGAGCGAACAGAAAGAGAAAAACAGATCAGCCCGTTAGCTTTGCTGGTGAACAAGTAACACAAAAACAAAGGTGTTTGGAAAGTGGCCCGTGACCAAGAGGCTGCAGAAGGGAGTGCACCGTGACTTCCTCTGTGCTAGGAGGCAGTGTACGGCTTCCAGAAGTTTCTTTTATTTATTTATCCTTTTCGGTGCCACTCTTGGAGCTTGAACTCAGGGCCTAGGAACTTTCCCTTAGCTTTTTTTTTTTAACTTAAGCCTAGCTAGCCCTGGTAGAGGGCTGCCACTTGAGCCAGAGCTCTACTTCCAGCTTTTCACAGGTTAGAGATAAGAGTCTCACAGATTTTCCTGCCTGGGCTGGCTTCGAACCATGATCCTTAGATCTCAGCCTCCTGAACAGCGAGGATTGTTAATTCCTTGTTTTTAAACAGCAGAGCAGGGACTACAGTCGGGCTCCCTACACAGGCTGGGCATGTGGAGGTGGAGACACTGAGCACCATCAGGGAAAGGAGGAAGCCCGCAGAAAAGCATCAGGACCGGCAGAAGCACTGACAGCTCCAAGACACGCACAGTGCACAGTGCACAGTGCACCGGGGTGTGTGGAGGAACCAGGGTGGCAGGGACCCTGAGGCTTGTTGAGGAGAGCCAGCTGCGCAGGGCAGGCCTCCATTCTCCAAGTCTTTGGGTCCCGCCTCCCCCCCCCCCCCCCCCAGGCATGTCCCTTTTCAGTCCCAAGCCTTCCGGGGCAGATGATCTGGAGATCCATAATCAAGGCTTTGGGACCACACCTTGTCTATTTTTAAATAGAAGCAAGGTTCACTTCTGCGCTGGGGAGAGCACAGGGGCCTGGCCTTCCACCAGCACCTGGCTGAGCTGCCTGCTGCCCACACTCACCAGGAGGCTGCCCAGACCCTCGTAGTCGAACACCTTGCTCTCGTAGGTCTCCGCCAGTTCTTTGCTCAGCTTGATGGCTTTCTCCCACATCTGTAGAAGGGAAGCAGGGTGAGGCGGGAGCACAGGAGTCACTGACCCCTTGCTAAGGCTCCAGGGAGCTACTGGGAAGCGAGCCCAGGCGCCTGGAGCACTGCTACTCTTCTGCAGCTCATGAATTCCCTGTAGGCCATGACTCCCTGCAGCCTGCTACTCCCCTGCAGGCTCACCTGCTCCACCCCTTGATCAAATGAACCTGACACATCCCTTATTTGGAAGGTGTGGAACCCGACATGTTTCAGATTGGGGAGACCTCATCTCAACAAATAAAGATGGGTGCAGTGGTGTGCACCTCTTAGCCCGGCTATCTAGAAGGTGGATGTAGGAAGCTCTAGGCCCACTAGGCCAAAAAACAAAACAAAAACCCCATGAGGTGGTTTGAAAAGTAGTTAAGGCAAAGGGAGCTGGAGACGTGGCTCATGCGGTTGTGTGCCTTCCGAGCAAGCCTGAGGAGCTGAGTTCAAGCCCCAGTACTACGAAAGAAAAAGTGCCATTTAATGGCAAGGTGGTGTGGAATTTGACACACTTCACCCACGCCACCTTTTCGGATAGGGCCTCCAGGCGGCTCTGGCGTTTCCTTTGCACTATTATACCTGGCCGTTCCCTGCTCCAGCGTCATTAGCAGTTGTATGGGCAGCCACAGGTGTGCCTGTGCAGCCTGAGTGCTTCAGATGGCATCGTAACATGAAATCATCTAAGATCATCTTTTGCCAGTGACCCAGGATGTCAGAGAAGGCCATGCAATGGGCCACGTGTTATCAGCCAGACCAGCTGGGCGAGGTGCAGGCAGCCAGGCAGCTGTGCGCTCCGGTGCAGGAGCAGCCAGGGTGCCTTATCCCCATCCCATAATGGAAGGGAAAGCATGCTGGTGGCACAGTGGCCTCCACAGGTGGTCCTGGCCCTGGAGGGCCCCAGAGACCCACTTAGGGGTCCATGAAGTTTCAGTGACCATCACACCCCTCCCCACCTTACTTGTCTTAGTCCATGCCAGTCTCTCACGAATATAACAGTGGCACGTGACCTGCAGTATTACAGTGGCCTGCATACAGAAGCAGGTGAGCAGCTTCTGACTCTGATGGTATCTTGAGACCCATGTATTTCACCAGTGCTTTGGCAAAAACAGTCATTTTTGAAATCGATAAATGATTTATGTTCATAGGTAATAGGTGCGTCATCGTGATGTAGAAGAAAGTACTAATAGAAGGAAGCATCAGTATCACACTCTTGGGATCTAGCTACTCAGGAGGCTGAGATCTAGAGGATCACAGTTCAAAGCCAGTCCAGGCAGCAAAGACCTTGAGACTCTTATCTCCAATTAACCAGACAAATGCTGGAGCTAGAGGCCTGGCTCAAGTGTTAGAGTGCCAGCTATGAGAAAGAAAGCTCAGCAAGTACCAGGCCCCAGTACCAGTACACAAACACAAAAGCTGATGGGTAAAACTGACTATTTTTCTGCTTTTACTTCTACAAGTATAAACACCAACAGACAAATCCACATGACCAAAAGTGCTTTGAAGTCTTCCATTATTTTTAAGAACATAAAGGGTGAAGAAACCAAAAACAAACAAAAATACCAACAAATATACTTTTCACGTGGGCCTCGATTTCTTATAAGACAGAGATAAGTTCTCTCTAATTATAATGAGGGTTATTGGAAGATGTAAGCTAGAAAAGCACCCCAAAATCATCCAGAAATATGGCACAGCTGGCAGTGGAGGGGGGTGCAGTTTGGCTGGGATAGTTTGATCCCCGTAGCAAATAAGCCACAACTCACCTTGCCTTTGTCAAAGTAAGATATGATTTCTTGGTAGAGTTTCTCTTTCAGCTCTTGCTGGGTACCCACATAGTAAGTGTCCCTCTGGAGCAGGTAAGGCATGCAGGGCTTGTCAGACCACTGAAAAACAGAAACCCATTCAGCATTAGGGTTAACACAATGCATTCACTAATTACCAATGACAAATGCAATCAATATTGAAACCAAAAAAAGAAAGTCAGGGAAAAAAATGCCTGTAACTTGGCTCCTTCCTACTGGCTTCCTTCATATTGTTTAATAAGCACCAAAATTATATTCACATATTCACTCACGTGACCAGCTCCAAAGGGGAAAAAAAAGTAATTAATTATCTGGCACTCAGGAACGTACAGATGTGTTTATATCATACCATGGTGTAATTTTACTTATGGAGAGAGTATAAATAGGAAAGTGTTTCTACAGTAGTTTTACTGATGGCTATTTATCAATCAATATGTGTTTTATCTCCTTAATTAGAAGGTCAATTAAAAGAGGCCCTTGGGTTGTACTTTACTTCCCATCCATGTGCAAATACATGATAAGGAAAAAGAGCTATTGCAAAGGCAAGAAAACGTTCTTGCCTTAAGCAAGGTTCTTCCCTGTTGGCATCGAGAAGCAGGTGGAACTCAGTCCCCAAGGGGGGACCTGTGACGGAGCACACTGGGTCTGCCCGGGCCGGCCAGCCGTGCTGAATGCTCACCTGCAGAAGCTCGGCGTGTAAGAGGAGGGTGCAGGCGGCCTCCGTGTAGCTCTCACAGTCTCGGTGCAAGTCTCGGAGCTTGTACAGGTATCTGGTAACAAGGGCAGACGGAGGAGCTGTGGGGGCCGGAAGTGATCCTGCACTCAGCCCATCCCAAGATCTGCTCCAGGCCAGCTCCCCACCCTGCCCCTGGAAGTGCTAATGCATAGGAACACTTCTCTGAGGCGAAGGACTCCCTTTCTTCCTGTTTCCTCCGCTCACTGAACATCTCCTGCCCGGTGGCTTTCTGGCTCCAGTGTACCTTCCACTCTCCCTTCAAGGCAGATGTGTTTATATTTTTCTTTTTAGGTCTCAGTCCTCGTTGGGAGGTGCCTGAAAGCCAGGGATCCTCTCCCTCCATTGGTGTACAATCTGGCTTCCTGGTTAGGGACTCACAGAACCCAGGCCAAGACGTCGTGGTGGATTAATTTTCCTTGTGAGCCTCTTCTGACTACCTGATGGAAGTCCCCTATCCCACCGTGAGCCCTGACATGACCCCATTTATCCGCTCCCTCACGTGTGCTCATTTGCTATCTGTCTAAAGAGCAGACTCTCTGCGTCTCGGATGCTGTGTGCCTCACTCACTTTGAGGCATCTTCTCAATACACCAAGAGTGGCTTGGGGAGGCGAGTATTTGCTTGCTGAAAGAAGATGTCACACGGCACCATGACATAAAGAGTGAACACAAGACACTTCCTCCAGCTTACCTTATATAAATGTCTTCCCGCTTCTTCTCTTTATAGAAATTCTGCCAAGAAAGGGTCACAAAATCCCAATGTAAATGAATGACTGTCAATAAGCTGGCTATAAAAATGGCCAAAGTACAACCATTGCTGTTCAAGCGTGTCACCTCCTCCAAAGGGAGATTTCCCCCATAAGAAAAGGAAGTGCTGGGTTGTAAGGAAGATACATTGAAGAACTTTCTTTTTCCCTTGAAGGATCATGCTTCTAAGAAACCTGGGAGACCCTCTAAAGGACCCATACCATAACTCACCTACACAGTGCCTGCTAGCCCGGTTTTTGGGGGAGTCAAGTAGTGACAGGGCCTTGGTTTTCAGTGGGGAGGAACTCATTGGTCAGTATATCGCTGAGGCCTATGGTCTATGACCTATGGTCCCAGTTCACGTAGGTAAGACCAGATGATTATGCTCTCAGGAGAACTGCACTGACTCATCTTGTACGAGTTTCTCTCCGTGCTTCAATTTCAACAGTAAAGCAACCACACAGAAGCAAGACGGGAGATGGGGCTGAGGACGGTCGATGGAAGGAGCTGGATGGATGCTTAGGAGGCAGTTTCCAGTCCTACTCCCAAATTTATCCTCCAGGTCCACAGCTTAGCCACAAGCATCTAAGGCCAAAGCTGTTTGCATTCACCTCAGCAGGACACAGACTCCATAAAGGCCCGAGGTTCCCCGAATCTGTGAGAAGGACCTGGGGCTGAGCTCCAGACAGCCATGGAGGAGATGGGAAGGCACAGACAAGGCTGTATCAATTTATATCTGCCTGCCTGTCTGTGTGTCTATATGCAAGCAGGTTTAGAACATACCAGCACATTGACGGTGCAACTCATGCGGTGCTCCTTGCTCTCATCATGAATGAGGATGGTTCTGTAGTCCAACAGATTCTCCAACAGGCTGCTGACCAGGAGGGCGAAGACTTCGCCAGAGCTGGACAGGTACTTGTGCTTTCTGCAATGCTCCAGGAGCCTGGAGGGAAAGCAGAGACTAAGGTTCTACCTGCCTGCCCCAGTCCCGCATCCCTGGTGTGCACTGACTGAGGTCCCGGCAGCAGGTGGCGCTAGACTCAATGATACAGGATGCTAGGTAAACCGGCACCCTCAGTCCAGGCAACGCTGACCATCCCAGTGAGGGATACCACCCTTTCCTCAAATCCTTCATGTTGTCTGGGACCTGACTCAACCCCCACTGTACTTAGACACCAGGCCCGCAATGTCGATCGCTGGAGGTCAGTTTGTTTGTGGGCTTTTTGTTTTTCCGTTATCACAGGAAGGAGAATCTTTGCCTATATTAATCAAAGATCCTCTTCCTGTCTTCATTCTCCCCCAAAGCCTGGTGTGCATCTCATGGGCATTCTGCAAAGCTTTGGGTTAACATCCAGCCCAGAGAAACCTAGGAACCTCTGGGGTGTGGCGCTTCAGAGAAAATGGGACTTTTCAGATAGAGATGCAGACTTGTCAACAGGAGGCAGAGCCAAACTTCTGATCTAATTCTCTCCCTTTGGGCAGAGCTCCTAAAGTCAAAAGAAAACTCAGACAAAGGCAGGGGGAAAAAAAAACAAAAACATGAGAGAAAGAGCCAGGTGCCCCAGTGGCTGGTGCCTGTATTCCTAGCTATTCAGGAGGCTGAGGTCTGAAGATGCCAGCCTAGGCAGAAAAGTCCATGAAACTCCTATCTCCAATTCACCACCAAAAATACAGAAGTGGAGCTATAGTTCAAGTGGTAGAGCACCAGCCTTGAGCAAAAACGCTAAGGGACAGTGCCCAGTCCCTGAGTTCAAGCCCCAGTCATGACAATGGATGGATGGATGGATGGATGGATGGAGGGATGGATGGATGGATGGATGGATGGATGAGAAAGCAATCTAAATAGTCCAGCTCTAGGACTATTCTGGGGCATTGTTATTGTATACAGTAATACTTTACCAAGCTTGTGATTCAGGGTAAAAAAAAAATCTGGTAAGATTTTTATGTGAAAAATCAACTGTTGGAGTTGTTGTTTGTTTTAAATGAGTAAATGAGTAGTTTGCTGTGGATACATATTATGTGTGTTTCAATAGGCATGTAACTGCTCTGTTTAATTCCATAGGAGATCAGAACAACAAAAGTTACAAGCTGGGAGATTTGAAGGCCAAACAGACACGCAATGCAAACAGGATATAAAAGATTTTACCATGAAAAACAAAATACAATTAAAACACAGGCCATTCAAAGATTTCATTTCAGCTCAGATTAATTAGTATGCTGATTCCTTAGGGAACCCTAAAAATCTAAAAGAAAAGAGTTGGGAGTCTCCAGGCTTCAGTCTCTACCAGGAAATTCCTACAGAGCAGGGCAAACACAAAATGACCGTGGGTGACACAGCTGGCAGAGGTGATGAGAGTCTGGAGAACTTTCAGCAGATACAGGCCTGGACAAGGGGAAGATTGGAAAGAATGGGGCCAGCATTCTCCACGCAGCAACTCCACAATAGACGATCCTATTTGGACACTCCGTCCCTTGAATTATAACAATAATACTAAAAAGAAGATATTGCTCCCTGGGATGGAGAAAAAGAGGTGATGAGGCGGGTTGAGTCGCTAGCTCCAAGGCTGAACTCCTAGTCCGTGGTAAAAAGAGCCTTGGCAGTGAACTCTCTCCCTCTTTTTGTGTGCGGGAACTAGGCTTGAATTCAGGCCCTTCTGCTTTCACTTGGCTTTTTCACTCAAAGCTGCTACTCCACCACTTGAGCCACACCTGTACCTCCAGGTTTTTGCTAGTTACTAGAAGAGCTCAGCATGGCTTTGAACTGTGATCCTTGTACAGGGTCACGGGTGTGAGCCACGGATGCCCAGGCAAAGCAAGGTGTGTGTGTGTGTGTGTGTGTGTGTGTGTGTGTGTGTGTGTGTGTGTGTGTGTGTGTGTGTGTGTGTGTGTGTGTGTGTGTGTGTGTGTGTGTGTCCAGTACTGGGGCTTGAACTCAGGGCCTTATGCGCTTGCTTGGCTTTTTTGCTCATGGCTGGCACTCTATTCCTTCAGCCATGCCTCCATTTAAATTTTCCCAGTGCCCAAGGATTTTAAACCAACGCCTACAGGTCTTCTTTTCTCCTCAGGAGCAAAGGAAGCCGAAGAGGCAAGGGAATGGCGGGAGGGTGGCGGGATGAAGGAGAGCCGCGGATCACCCCTGCCCAGCTGCAGGGGTGGAGATGCTGAGGGATGCAGTGACCAGGGACCAGCCTGGTGGGCGCAGAGCTGCTGTCTTCTGGCAGGCTTGAAGTCAGGCCAGAGAGACAAAGAACACGTGTTTTTCCTCGTATGCGGAAGCTAGATTTTTTGCTCACAAACTCCTAAGTAAATTCGCTGTGCCTATGCTTATATTAACCGAAATACGGTAGATTCAAGGGACATCTCTAGCGGTGTGACTCCATCGAAGGGCAATAGGGAAGTTCAATACAATAAGCACAGGACGTGGAACTCAAAAGGGTAGGGTGGAGTGAGGGGAGAAGGGGGAGATTGTGGTGAAGTCCATGTGCATCCTACAAAATTTTTAAAAAAGCGAGAGGAGGGGTGGTTGGGTTGGGTGGGGAGGGGTGGGTGAGGGCGCTGGGCGGGGTGGCATGCGTCAAGATGCTCCATCTTCATAAACCGCTTGGTACAACTACCTAAAGTAACAAGATCATGAAATGCAGAGTGGACCTTGGAATGCTTGGTATTCTTTTTTTTTTGTCAATCGTGGGGCTTGAACTCTGGGCCTGGGCGCTGTCCCTGAGCTCTTCAGCTCAAGGCAAGCGCTCGACCACTTGAGCCACAGCGCCACTTCCAGTTTTCTGGTGGTTCATTGGAGATGAGAGTCTCACAGCCTTTGCTGCCCAATCTGGCTTTGAACCATGATCCTCAGATCTCAGCCTCCTGAATAGCAAGATGATAGGGTGAGCCACTGACGCCCGGCTGTTTTGTATTCTTTTAATTGGCTGCTTGGACACCTTCATGAGAGGTACCAGCACTGTCACTGAAGTTCAGGAATTCAAACCCTGGGCGCAATGCCAGGGTGGCTCTGCGCATCTCTCTGATGTCTGCGCTGCTCTCCGGGTTGGAGCCAGGCAAGCCCAGAGCATACAACAATGCCAGTAGCGGCACCCCAAGGTCTACTGGCCTTGCTGAGGGCGCTGGGGCAGTGCCAGCGACCCTGAGGCTGCTGACAGTGGGGTGACAGAACCCCGCTTCTTTCCACTAGGAAACAGAGCCCCCCACTTGAGGTTCGTTTGTGGGATACTCACAGTTTTTCCAGAAGAACCTTATACTGTTCATCTCCACGACCCCCTTCTACCTCCTGGTCCAGCTTCGTGATCAGTTCGTTCTCGAACTGCAAGCAGAGTCAATAGTCCACAGACAACATCACACGCACAGGCCGATGCAGACAGACGGACAGACGGCCCATCTTCCCTCATCTGACCCAACCCCTTTATATGGGGGCTGATCCCACTTCCTGTCCTCATTGATCATGCACTAACACCTGTAATCCCAGCACTCAGGAGGCCAAGGCAGAAGGATTGTGAGTTCAAGGCCAGCCTGAGCTACCACAATAGGGCCCTGACTCAAACCAACCAACCAACCAACCAATCAAAACCCAACCAACCAATCAAAACCCAACCAACCAACCAATCAAAACCCAACCAACTAACCAACCAAAAATGTTACATTCACTTTGGTTGTATTTCTTTGTCCTGTATTATAATTATACATACAAAAGTAGCTTAATAATCTCATTTTTGGGTAATGTGGTATGGGGTTCAAACTCAGGGCCTCAACTTGCTAGGCAAGTGCTATATTACTTGAGCCACACCCAAGAGTCTCATTTTATATCTTTTTTTTTTTTTTTAATCTCAGTCTTGGAAATGAGATTGCTTGGCTCTTGGTAAACCTCAGGACCAAAATCGTTTTCAATATTAACCCTTTGGAGATGAGGAAGGCACATCAATACGATTCTGTAGCACGTAGGGCTAAGATGCACGAAGTCAGCCAGGTGCGGGGGGCCTCACACCTGTCTTCCTAGCTACTCAGGCGACTGAGATCTGCGGATCGCAGTTCAAAGCTGGCTGGGACAGAAGTCCATGAAATTCTTATCTCCAATTAACTGCCAAAAAGCTGGAAGTGAAACTGTGGCTCAAGTAGTAGAGATCCAGCCAGGAGGGGAAAAAGCTAAGGGACAGCGCCCGGGTCCTCAGATCAAGTCCCATGCACACACGCGCATGCACGCACACGCACACGCACACGCACGCACACACACACACACACACACACACACACACACACACACACACACACAAAGTCAACTTGCACCAACAGCTTCATGAAAGACACAAAGCAGAAGGAACCCTTCCACGGAGTGTCTGGGGCAGAACGCTGGAGGGGGGCTGGCGTTCACTGCATTACAAATCAAATGTGGAAGAGAGTGGTTATCTGAGCCCTGGTCTGTTCTGCCCAGTAACGGCTCCTCCATCTTGAAAGGCAAATGAGCAAGAATCAGTGCTGAGTGCGTGGGTACTGCGTGGGCACTGCGTGGGTACACACCCCCAGCCCCCGCCATTCCTTACCATATGGAAATTGCCATTTCCACTGAAATTGAACTCACACTGCATCATATCAAAGAAAATGGGGATGGTGGCTTTGCGGAGCTCCACTTCGGGGGTCAGAGTGACCTCCAGAATGGGCCCCACCATGGATGGGATGAATTTGATTTTGTGGGGTCCTGAAATGAAAGCAAATGAAGCTATTTAAACAAGAATCACTTCACTATCAAGAAGGCATTTCGATGCTCCTCCGTAGGGCCCCTAATGCTGGAAGTTTCCATGAGTAAACCACCACCACTGACAAGAGGATGTTGAAATGTTGTGCTCTGGTCGTGTGATGGCAGGAGAAAAGACAGCATCTTAGCCACACTCCCAGCCGAGGCCAGGCTGTGAAGCTCAGAAATCGTCTTTCCCAGTGCCACACGCGACGAAATCCCACCGTTACCCGAAGGAAGGCAACCCCAGCACAGTGGCATGCTTATCACAGGAGCGGTACAGGGCCCGGCCAGGGTCACTTACCCAGGTTGTACCACATGTCCCGGATCCTAAAGCCGATCTCCTTTCTCATGTCCCCATATCTAGAAGATCAGAATGGAGAAAACAGTCAGCAGTGGAAACGAGTTCCATTCAACACAGTTGTCCCTGGAGACTCAGACAAGACGGGCTCCAGATAACTCTGCCCATGTCCAAGCGCCCTGCAGAACGCACACTAGGATCTGCACATAATCTGTGCACACCTGGCCCATTCTTTAAATCCTCTTGACTACCCAGAACTCCTAGTTCAATGCAAATGATATACAAAACTTGGTACACTCAACTGATTAGGAATATTGGCAAAAAAAAAGCCTGTACATGTGTAATAGGGATATAATTGTTTGCCCAATTATTTCCATTGGTGGAGGAGACAGAATGTGTAGATATGGAGGGCCAAGGGCACAATGATGAACGGAGTGAAAAAAAGCCTACGCCTGTCATCTCCGGCTATTCAAGAGGCTGAGATCTGAGGCTTGCAGTTCAAAGCCAGCCCACGCAGGAAAGTCCATGAGATTCTTACCTCCAATTAACTACCAGAAAGACAAAAAAAAAAATCCAGAAGTAGAGCTGTGGCTCAAGAGGTAGAGTGCCAGCCTTCAGCCACAGTAGCTAAGGGACAGCATCCAAGCCCTGAGTTCAAGCCCCGGCACAAACACCACCAACACACATACAGCTCATGTCCTTGTGGGACATGTCACAGGGAAGTCAGGGACCCTGTGAGAGAGGCGGGCACTACCCAGGCACGCCCCAGAGGAGAACGCAGCCACACGACAGGCCAGGGGACTTTAACAGCTGGAGAAAACAAAGGCAGAGCTGAGAAAGAACGGAGGAGCTGATCTGGTCTTCCCTGGCTGGCGGAAGGGAGGAGACAGAGACACTTGGGTTGCTGCAGAGCAAAGAACCAAATGATGCATCCGCGCCGTGAACAGATGAGGACTGCACACTGCAGCCTTATACTGGAGGTGCACATGCACACAAGCACACACGCACACGAACCGTCTCCAGACCCTCACACCTTGTCTCCTGCGTGGCCACGTTGCTGCTCACACGGTGAAAACCGCACCCCTGCCAGCTCCACGGCTTACCTTTTTTCAGATTTAGATTGCTTTTCACTAGGTAGCTCAGCTGTGCCAGCACACACAACATTCACGTGGGGTGAGTCAGAGTTGTACGCTCTTTTGACACATGGTAGAAGCATTAGTTCCTAATTAGCCTTTTTCTTCTCCTCAGACTTTCCATTAGCTAACTTCTCTTACGTGGTTCAACCAGTATCAAATCCAGCCTTTAAAGAAGCTGCCTTGATGCTTAAGCTATTTCAAGGCAGGAGACCAAGGAATCCATCGTAAACCAGTACCTCTCAGTACCTGTCCCTTGGAGAAATCTACACAACAGGTTATATTTTTATCTTTTAAAGCACAGCTACTAAAAGTCTTGCTGTTTTAGTTGTCAACCTCAGTTTTGTTTTGTTTTGTTTTGTTTTAATGGACGGGCAAGTTAGAGGAATGCAGATTAGTTCCTAGAATTTCAGATAGCCCAGCAAGGAGAAAATGAATTAAAAATTCTAGCACTTTCAATAAGAAACTCTTTGGTAGCCCAGGCTGCCCTTGAGTTTATGATCTCTCTGCCTTCATTTTGGAAGTATCAGGACTATACACATGTAGTACCACACAGGGCTCCTCGAGTGATTAGGATTACTTTGTGCCAGTCCTGGGGCTTCCACTCAGGTCTCACACTCTTGCTTGGTCTTTCCATCCAATGCTGGCACTCTACCACTTGATCCACAGCTCCGCTTCTGGCTCTTTGCTAGTTAACTGGAGATAAGCCTTATGAATGTGTCTGCCATGGCTGGCTTTGAACTGTCATCCTCAGATCTCAGTCTTCTGAGTAGCTAAGATTATACACTGGCCCACGAGCACCTGGCCTGAAGTTATTACTAGTATTTTTTTTAACCTAAATAGCTTTTTGAGTTTCCAGGCTGCCAACTTTAAAATGTAACTGAGATGAACACAATGAACAGTGTCCTTAAAATTTTCATCAATCTTGCACGTAATTCCATCCTGAATTCCAAGCCAGGATGTAATGCCTGGGAGCATTTTTAGATAATGTGGGAATCTTCTGCTGAACAGCTAGGTGATGGACAGGTGGGGCCAAACGCATTGGCTCTCTGGTATTGAGATGTATGCCTGCAATTTGCAGGAGTTGCCAGCAGAGGGCAGCAGCTCCTGAACAGTAATGGTGGCCAGCATCCCTCCAGGTACACAGTCCACACAACTGTGATGTCATTGAATAGCAGTATCTACTATGCCACTGGGTACCATGTTGGCATCTATGACACCAAAAACACTGTTGAAAATCAACAGTCAAATCGCCTTGCCAGTCATCACCAGGATTTAAAGGTACACTTACTTTTTTACAATTTTGCTGCGTTTGGCTTGTGAGAAGGTCTCAAGCTGCAAGGACTCATGGGTAAGAAAGGCTACGGCCAAGTGGAAGTAGTTGTTCCAGAGCTGCTCAAGATTAATGGGGTGGGCAGAAAAGAAATGGAAAATACCATCAGTAAGAGTAAATGTTTTTTTTTAAAAAAAAGCCATTCACATGGCAGAAAGTCACTATCTGGGGGTTCAAGGGGAAAAAAATAGAATTCATAGGACTTTTTGCTCTTTCTGAAAGTTTCAGGCCTTAAGTTTTTCTTTCTTTCTTTTTTTATTTGGTTTAATCCTAGCTACTCAGGATGCTGAGACCTGAGGATCCCAATTTGAAGCCAGGAAAGTCCGTAAGATTCTTATCTTCAATTAACTACTCAGAAAAAACAGCAAGTGGGTGGTCTATAGCTCAAGTGGTAGAGCGCTGGTCTTGTACTTAAGAAGCTCATGGACAGCACTCAGACCCTGACTTCAAGCCCCAAGACTCCAACACACACACACACACACACACACACACACACACACACACACACACACACACACACACACTTCAAATTTTACATTTCTCTTTACTCCTGGGAGAAATGGAATTGGCCTTCAATAACTGCACCTATTTATAGTAGGTAGTTTGGCATTCTGTATCCAAAGCACACTGCTTTGAATGAATAAAGATACAGCCGGTGCCGGCCGGCCTGCCTGCCTGCCTGCGTTATATTCCTCAGGACTTTGCAAATCCCACTCACGTGAACCATTTCCCACCACTGAACCCCTGCGCAGTGAAGACACAGGCTGTGTGTCCATCTGGTACTGTGTGTGTGTGTGTGCTGGTAGTAGAGCTTGCACTTGAGACCTTGTGCTTTTGCTTTTTTCTGCCCCTCCCCCCCCCCACGCAAGGCTGGCACTCTACTATTTAAACCACACTTCCACTTCCAGCTTTTTGCTGTTAATCGGTCTCACAGACTTTTCTGCCTGGGCTGGCTTCAAACCAGGATCCTCAGATCTCAGCTTCCCAAGAAGCTGATATTACACATGTGAACCACAGGTACCTGTCTGCTGTACTGAGCTTGTGTGCTCAAGGCTCGTGTTCTACCACTCTGAACCATAGTGCCATTTCTGGCTTTTTGGTGGTTAACTAGAGATGAGAGTCTTATGGACTTTCTTGCCTGAGCTGGCTTTGAACCTTGATCCTCACATCTCAGCCTCCTGAGTAGCTAGGATTACAGGCATGACCCACCAATGGCCAGCCTTCTAATTTTTAACTCGGCATATTGGTATAACTGCTCTATTTTTCTGTTACTTACTGGTGCTACTCTGTTATGTGTTTGACTTAGGAAAGAAACTCAATTGTAGGCTCAAGAGGAAGCAGAGGATAGACAGAGTTTGGTACCCCGCGTGGCTCCAGGCATTTGGGGTGACCCCTGTGGATAAGGGGGCCTACATGAGACTATTACTTCTCTCCGTTTCTCCTCACGTATATTACTAGCCCAGGAAAAAGGAACCGTGGAAACCGTTATCTTCTATAAAACCCGAGCTGCTGCTTTCCCCTTCGGAGTCACACTCGGAGGACTGGCAACAATTCCCGGGATGCACGGGGGTGGCGCAGGCTCACCTGAAGTTCAAAGCTCGCCTGATCCATGAAGCGTCTCGTGAGAACTTCAGAAAACTGATTGATCGCGCGAAGAAACACCCTGCAGAGGAGAGGACCCATTAAGAGGGCAACTCTGTGCCCATGGGACATTTTCCCACGAATCTACACCATGGCCGGCCGGAAAAGTCCGTAAGATCTACCAGCGTCCTTAGAGGCTAGCGAGAGGGGCAGTCCACAGGACCAGGCACAGAGTGTCAGTTTCTGGGAAGGTCCAGAAGAGCCTTGGGGGCTGTAGCAGGGTTTTCTGGCTGGGGATGGAGCTGCAGATGTGCCCCAGGGCCTTTGTGCCTCCGACTGGGTGATTGGCACAGGGCTGCTAGGTACTTCTCCGACAGTCTAGGGTTGCTACTACAGTTTTTTCTCTAATCTGCACTCCGGGGACAGGTTTTCTAATCGGGTGTCAGGACCATACGGACTTAATCATGTTGATAATAATGATCTGCCTTAGGCAGCTCATTAAGAAAATTCTACAGAGAACACAAAGGCATGCCTCTGATCATACAAAATAATATTTATCAAAATGAACACCAGGAAGCAAGAGGTTCGTGCTTTTCCCTTTGTTGCTGTTTTTTCACCTGTCTTGGGTGGGGGGGGGGGACACAGAAGTAGAGGGGCAAAGGGTGAACAAATACAGCAGCGGTCCTCAATAGACACTGTAGAAATGAGCTCTGTATGGTGTATTCATGTGCGTATCTTTGGGAGGGCACAGAACTCAAGGGAAAAGTGAAAAAAAATGCAGCAATGGAGCTCACCGGACACTGATAAGGGTGTGGAGGTGGGAGGGGGAAGGGGGAGAGAGCCAGGGAAGGGAAGACACTGTGTGGAAGGAAATGTACCATGACCGGACTCCTGTCATTGGAATCCCCTGCACATCACCTCTATAAGAACAAACAGGGCTGTGAATGGGGCTTAGTGGTAGAGCGCTTGCCTAGCATGCATGAAGCCCTGGGTTCGATTCCTCAGTACCAGATTAAACAGAAAAAGTTGGAAGTGGTGCTGTGGCTCGCTAGCTTTGAGCACAGAGATGTTCAGAGACAGAGCCTAGGCCCTGAGTTCAAGTCCCAGGACCAAACAAAAAAGAAAGAAAGAAAATGAACTATACAAGTTATATGTGGGGATGGGACGGAAAACCTGGGAATGTGAAGGAAGGGGTAGCATTGTCCAAAAAAGAAACCTACTCCTTATCTGACTTATGTAACTGTCACCCCTCTGTACGTATCACAACAATTAAAAAAGGAAAGAAAAAAAAGAGAAAATTCTAAAGCTCTCTTTGTCCATGCTTGATGCATTCCTATTTGACAAATAGTGGTGGTCAGCCAGCAACTGTAAGGCTCTGGCCTGGTGCTGTGGTCAAAAACACGGGAGTGGCCGGGCACCGGTGGCTCACACCTGTAATCCTAACCACTCAGGAGGCTGAGATCTGAGGATGGCGGTTCAAAGTCAGCCCAAGCAGGAAAGTCCGTGAGAGTCTCATCTCCAATAAGCCACTCAGAAAACTGGAAGTGGCGCTGTGGCTCGAGTGGTAGAGCACTCGCCTTGAGCTGAAGAGCTGAGGGACAGTGAGTGCCCAGGCCCAGAGTTCAGGCCCCACTACCGACAGGAAGGCCGGAACAGGATGAGGAAGCCCTACGTGGGGACGGATGGGAGGAGACTGGCCCTGACAGAGGAGGGCAGCACCCCACAGGGAAGCGGTGCAGATGCAGAATGCGGGGCAGTGGGAGGGGCCTCACTGCACAGATGTGGGCCAGCTGTGTGGAGACCGGACAGCAGCCCCCGGTGGCCGCCCGTGGGCTTCTCACCTGTTCTGTGTCATGTTCATGACCATCCAGTCCTTGGCGTAGACGTTCTTGCCGATCAGGTCCTTAAACATGATGAAAGTCTCCATGAGGAAGTCCTGCGGAGGACACAGGCGGAACTAGCCTTCCTTCCAGCGCCACGGCAGAAGCTCTCCACGGTCAGGACCCCACATTCCCACAAACGGCCTTTCCCACAGAGCTGTGCGGCACCATGGGGTATACTCTTGCAGCTAGCGATTGCACAATTTGATCTTTACATGTATGAATTCGAGGAAGGAAAACAGAGGCCAAGAAAAAAAAAACCAAACAAACCAGTGGCCCAAAATAGTCCACGTTTTACTGAGAAAGCATTGAAGGCCGTAGAAAAGAGGAAGCAGGAGAGCCAGGATGAAACTGGAAGGAGAAAGGGTGTCACCCCAAGTTCACAGCCCGAATCTCTTGAGTCTTCCCCTGCCCTGCGCTATCGGAACATGGCGCCTTTAACTGAACTGAGTTCACTTCGTTACCTCGGCAAGCAGGGAGGCATCACACACACATTCTCCCGCTGCGGGAGCAGCCTCGAGCCAAGCCCTCCATGGTCCAAAAAGGAGGTGGTCGCCGTGGCCGACTATACTAACTAGGAATGTGAGCAAAGGTGAGAACAGGGTAGAAAAATGGCCAGGGGGCCTCCACAAGCAGCCGTGAGCGAGGGCAATTCAGGACTCAATCAGACCAAAACTTAGAGCTGAAGTCTGGGAGCCATTTTTACTGGGGGCTAAGTTTAGACATTGCCTGTGGGATCTCTGCCTGCTTTCTGTGGCCCCGACCCCACTTCTGCCCTGTGGAACAGTGTAGCTATAAAGAACACGGTGCTTTTGAGGCAGGGAGCCTGGGTTTGCTCTCTCCCGTACTGGGGTTTACACCCAGGGGCCTAGCTCGAAGCTGGTGCTCTATCACTACAGCCATGCCTCCAGCTGGGCTTTTTGTTAGCTGGACTTTGAATGCTTTGAACTTTTTTGCCCAGGCTGGTTTCAAAATGCTACTCTCTGGATCTCAGTCTCCTGAGTAGCTAAGAGTACAGCACGCAGCCTGGCATGTTATTTCTAACCATGTTTTTTTTCCCCCTAAGCCCTTGGTCAATTTGTTAAGGCTGGCACTTGGACACCAAGTGGCCCAGGAGTGGGCATGGTGTTGGCTCAGAGTGGGCGTGGCTCTGGATCAGAGTAGGTGGGGTTCTGGCTCAGAGTGGGCGTGGCTCTCCCTAGGAAGTCTTGCTGTTCTTGATGGTTCTTCAGACTTCCACAGTAAGTCAGCCCTCACAATCTCCACTCTGAAACCATTTTCCATGCACACAACTTTATCACCACCCATTCATCCACTGCCCTAGGACATGTGTTTGTACAAACCAGCAAGGCTTCATGGTTTGAACAACCAGTGTTAAAAGCAGGGTGCTAGGGCTGGGAAGGTGGCTCAGTGGTAGAGTGCTTGCCTTGCATGCATGAAGCCCTGGGTTCTATTCCTCAGTACCACATAAGCAGAAAAAGCCAGAAGTAGCACTGTGGCTCAAGTGGTAGAGCGCTAGCCTTGAGCTGAAGGGCTGAGAGACAGCACCCAGACCCAGAGTTCAGGCCCCACGACCAACAACAACAACAAAAAAAAGCAGGGTGCTAGACCCCATAGCTGATGCCTGATTTTTGCATTTTATACCAACAGTTGACAGTCTGAGTTAACAGCTGCTACCACAAACCAGAGAATCATAAGGCCTCCTGTTACCTACCACCGCGAGTCCAGGCTTGACTTACTCAGAGGCAGTGATAGGAGGACAGGCCTCACTGTGCGCAAGGGCTTTGCCCCTGAGGACCGCAGGCTCATGGTGAGGACCTGGCCGCTCCAGGCCTTAGCTCACCCCGGGACAATGGTGCTCTGTAATTACACACCACCACCTGGCACACAGGAGTTCAGCCCCTTTCTTCCCAACTAACCCTGGATCCAACAGCCCCTGTCCCACTGTGGATTCAGAGCAAGCCTACTTTAGCTGTTTTCTGGAGAAAAATGTTTTAAGAAATGGCTAAAACATTTTATGTGAGTTTCATCTTATAGCCCAATACCAATAAAATGATCTTCTGTTGTATAATATCCACACTAATATAGTATAGTGCACATATACCCTATATAGCATCTAGAACATGCTATGCAATATGTGTAATATGTATGATATATGTAACATATAAAATGTAGGTATAACCTATAACTCACTGCATGTATGCACGATAAATACAATGTATCACATTATGTGTAATAGATAGCATGTGCACTGTAATATTTTGCATATAATATGAACTATGAGTTAAAGCTAAATTTTAGGTATTTTCCTAGGTATTGGCTACATGCAAATGAAGCACAGAGCCAGACATTGCCCAGGTGTGCTCTTGGTTGATATTCACAATAACCCTCAAGGTAACTGTTCCCTTACAGATCAGGAAATGGGTCTAGTGAGGTGAAGTAGCTTGCCTCATGTTTCCTGCAAGGTCGTGTAACCACGTGGGCAGCAGCACTGAGCCGTCGTTGGGCTAGTGACAAACCTCCTTCAGTTCCCAGGCACCACCGAGAGGAGGGTGGTGGGCAAGGAGGGAGCTACAAATCCTCCGGTCCCCTGGCTACACACTCTCACTCTAATATGTAGAAAGCAGGGAATCTGGGGCATAGAAAGATTAGCGCAGGCTGGGTGTGGGGCTCACTCTGTGATTTCTGACACAGGAGGAAGAGCAGATTATGGTGTGAAGGCAGCCCAGGTGAAAGGTCAGCCATACTCCATCTTAACAAAAAGTTGGATGAGCTAGAACATGCCTGTAATCCCAGCTAAGTGGAAGATATAAGTAGGGGGATCATGGTCTAAGATAGGCTAGGCAAAATAGGGAAGACTCTGTGAAGAGTAACTAAAAGAAAAACGGGTTAGGGGCAAAAATCAAGGAGTAGAGTGCCCACCTCGCGAGTCTAAGAACCTGAGTTCAAACCACCATGGTGAAGGGAAGACTGGACTATGCACAGAGGTTGGAAGTCAACCGAAAAACGACTGGCTTCAGTGTGAAAACCCACCGCAGGTCCAGGCCCTTGTGCAGGCCACTGCTCATAGCTGCTGGAGGGAAAGGGTTCCTTAGCCTATCTTGGCCTCAGATGCATGCTTAATGGTAATAAGAAAACAACGCCTCCGGGTGAAGACAAGCAAGTGGAAGATTTTCTACTGAAGACAGAGCAAGGGACAGACAGAGCTTTCCTCTTCCTGTGTCCCAAAAGGGCCGGGCACAGCCTGTCACCGGACATCCTTGTCTTGGCACTAGCAAGAGGTGCTCTGTCAAGGTGACTCTCCTCATTCCCGAGAGAAAACAAACCCCTGCCCGTTTTCTAAGCAAGGGCTCTCTCGAAATCCAAGCGAGTGATGGTTACCAGCTGACTGCCTCACGCAGTCCTGGCAAGGAGATGAAGAAGGGGGCTGTCCCTTTTGGGGTCCCCATGGACCGTCGCATCCCAGAGGAGGGGGCTGTTCTGGGCAGTTGCAGTGAATATACGAAGTCTTCAGAAGTGGGCCCGCTTGTGCTCGGGAGGCTGTGGTGGGAAGATCCTCGCTTAGAGATCGGACTGAGCTATGAGCAAGACCCTGCCTTAAGGAAAACAAAACACACACAAAATCAAAAAGGAAGTGTTGGCATTGGCGCAGACAACTTACGATGATGTCGTGTGGAGTCTTGAAGGTTCTGATGTAGTGGCTGTAGTGGCTGTCATCCATCTGCTGTAGGATGGTGATCATGCAAGCCACAAAGCTGCCCTGGAGAGAGAGAACACGCAGATCTAAGACTCCTCAGACCACCCACCGCTGGAGACATGCACGCATGCACATGTGCGCGCGCGCGCGCGCGCGCACACACACACACACACACACACACACACACACACACACACACACACACACACACACACACACACACACACACACACACACACACACACACACACACACACACACACACACACACACACACACACACACACACACACCATGAACTCCACAGGGACCCCTCAAATCCAATCACACTGCCTTCCCTAGGGCTATGACCTAGGAGAAAGCCTATGGATCAAGCCACACAACACCAAAGATCTTAACTAGATAGAGCTTCTTGTGCGGACAGAATCGTATTCAAGAAAGCCCATGGAGAGAAATGTCTGAAAATACTCCGAGTGGTCCAACAAACATAAATGTGAAGGAAGGCCAGAAAGAAGAGGAAAGGGAAATGGAATACTCTGAACTGGAAAACCAGAAATGTGCAACGCTCCAAGGGGCTTGAGATTTCGGGGTCACACTGCAATCACACCAAACGTGTCGAGTGGCAAGGACAGGAGAGGCAACTCTGTGGGAAAACACGCCGGTGCCATTGCTCCAAGGCCCCTTTAGCCGGGAATGAAGACATGCTTAATGTCATTTCTATTTGTGAGGTCAACAGCTCCCTACCCCACCCCAGTACCACCCTGTGGCAGGCCCACAGATCGGAGAACAACATGGTTTCTGTGAGTCCGGAACAGCTGTCCCTAGGAGGGAGGGAAGACTTCCTAACCACCACCTGTATGTATGTATAATTCCCTGCATGTATAATTGCACCTGCACCTTTCATCCACAGAGTCGCTAATATTGATTCACCCTCAAATACCCAGCCTCACACAGCGGGATGAAGCTAGGCACAGTGTTGCACGCTTCTTCCTGCGGTTGTGTCTCTGTCTCTTCACCTGCATGCTCCTCTCTTTCTCCTGTATGTTCATCTTTCTCCACACTCGCTTTGCCTCTGTGTCCCCTCCCTTGCTGGAATGTTCCAGGAGGTTCTTACTTTAGGCAGACAATGCCATCTTCTCATGTGAATCTTACAACCTCTCTTCAAGAGCATAAATCCATGGGGCTGGGAAGGTGGCTTAGCGGTAGAATGCTTGCCTAGTGTGTATGAAGCCCTGGGTTTGATTCCTCAGTACCACATACACAGAAAAAAAGCTGGAAGTGGTGCTGTGGCTCAAGTGATAGGGTGCTATCTTTGAGCAAAAGGAGCTCAGGGACAATACCTAGGCCCTGGGTTCAAGCCCCAGGACTGGCAAAAAAAGAAAAAATAGAACATAAAACCAAAGCTCTCGAGTTAATTTATATTATTATTGTTATTATTATTATTATTTGGTGGCACTGGGGTTTGATCACTCTAGGCGTTGGTAGGCAGGCACTCTACCATGGGGCCACGCTTCCAGCCCTTTTTGCCTTTGTTATTTTTTAAATTTTCCATGTGTGCCCAGGCCAGCGTGGACCCTGATCTGTCTCTTGATGCTTTCTCATAGCTGGTATGATAGGAACATGCAGCTGCATCCAGCTATTGACCCAGATGGGGGTCTCACATTTATGCCCTTGTGGATTTGGAACCACGACCCTCCCCGTCTCGGGCTCCCAAGTCGCTAGTGTGATAGGAGCGAACCCCTGCGCTAGCCAGGGCCGGTGTCCTACTGAGTGAACACCATCCAACGTGTCAGGCCTGGGATCCGCTCTGGGCTGTAGCACATCACTTAGGATGTGAAGGGCCAGGGTTCGGGATCAGGGTTCAGGGGGAAGCCCCGGAGAGGCGCTCACAATGTGGGGAGACTGCCGGTTCATCCCGATCACCGTCCGGTTGATCCTCCGCAGCAGCCGCTCCATGATCAGCTGTATGTGCGTCGCCGTGGGGCCCTGTGGGGAGACACCGACCGTGACACTCATCACCCCTGCTGACTCAGTTTCCCTCATCTCCGGGGAGCCTTGCACAGAGGAGCTCTCTTTCCTTAGATCTCATCCTGGCTTTTCCTTAGGGGGCAATCTCTTATCCCCAGTGGACAGATGGTAGTGCAGAATGACAACTCTACGAAGAACACAGACCATCGCCAGGGCCTCCATTAAGCCCATAGTTTGTGCTCACACTGAGCTCTCCCTGGCCACAGCCGGTCAGGATCCCTTAGTAGCCAGCAGTCCCCAGTTCTGATGGCAAGCGGTGCCCAGGGCCATGAGGAAGTGAAAGACAGAAATAAAAAGTGGCATCAGTAGCTCATGCTTGTAATCCTAGCTACTCAGGAGGCTGAGATCTAAGGATCACGGTTCAAAGTCAGTCTGGGTAGGAAAGTCCATATGACTCTTACCTCCAATTAACCACCAAAATAAAAGCCAGAAGTGGAGCTGTGGTTCAAGTGGTAGAGTATCTACCTGGAGCGAAAAATCTAAAGGACAGCACTCAGAGCCTGAGTTCAAGCCCTCGTACTGGCACAAAAGCAAAGCCAAATCCCAAATGCTGTTTGCACTGAGCTCCAGAGAAATCAACAGTGTCAGAGAGAATAGAAAGAGAGCGCGTCAGCAGGGCAGGACTGCCCACCCAGTGCTGGGCAGGAGATGCTTCTGCAGAGAAGAGGAAGTCTCAATGGGTCTCGGCAGAATGTCCAGAGTTCTTAACGATCAACGGCTAGCCAAGTGGGCAGTGCTTGGCAAATCTGTCTGAGGGTCCCTGGAGCTAGACGTCCACGTGAGCATCTGGTCTGTCCAGTCACCTCTAAAATGAGCTCCCTGTGTTCTCAGCTTCCCCGAGCCTCTCCCATGGAGACAGCAAGGTGGTGCCCCACTCACCACGTCTTTCCTGTCCAGCACCTCCAGGATGCTGCTGAGAAGCTGACAGCTGGCCTCGTGGTCCGGCTTGCTTGAGTGGTCATCCAGCTGGCCGCTGAGCTGGTCCGTCAGCAGCGGCAGCAGCACTTCCCGGCACTCTGAGGAGGAAATGAGGAGGCTCACTACTCCTTCTGTAGCTCCCCGCAGCCAGTCCCGCAAAGGCCCACCCTGTCCATCCATCCATCCATCCTTCCTTCCTTCCTTCCTTCCTTCTTCCCTCCCTCCCTTGCCTGCCTGCCTGCCTTGTACTTGTTAAGTGTGCTTGCTTGTCTGGTGCTCTTCAGACATGTCTCCAGACTGGCTTTTTGCTGGGTTTTGAAGATGGAGTCTTACAGACTTTTTTGCTCAGGCTAGTTTCAAACTGTCTGGTTTGAAACTGGTCCATGCCATTTCTTGCACTCAAACACTACCCTTGTTTTCTTTTTCTTTTTCTCCTGGTTCTGTGACTTGAACTCAAGGTCGCCAGCCATTGGCCAACTTGCTTGCTTGGCAGGTGCTCTCCTACTCGAACCATGCCTCCAGCCCAGCCTTTTAAATGGCTAAATTAGCTAAATGGGGGTAGAATCTCATGGACTTTTCTGCTTATGCTGGCCTGAACTGTGACCCTTTAGATCTCGGCCTCTTGAGTAGCCAGGATTACAGGCATGAGCCACCTGGAGCTCCACTTTTCTACATCTTAGAGTTCATTGCAACACATTAGAATGCTTGTAAAATGTTTTCTATTTAAGATCATTCATTCACTAGCTTCCCAAAGGCATTCATGCTACCTCCCACCACATGCTAGAAATATTTGGAATTGCGGATCGCTAATTGATGGAGGTCAGAAAATATCAGGAATCCCAAGAAGCCACGGATAGTACCTAGTTCCAGTCCTTCCTTCCGCAGAAACAGAACAGGGAGACTGAGAGCTGAGATTTGGACTTAGTCCATAACTAGCCGAGGGCTCTCCCACCAACACTCCACCCAACTCTCCTGACCCTGAGGCCTCTGCTGGCAACAGTCCTGTCCCATCTGTTAGGAAGTTACCGGACCAGATGCCCTCACCCAGGGCGGTGGCAATAGAAGGTTCCATGGCTGCCCTACTCTAGCAGTCTTGGGTTAATGAAAAAGAACCAGGAATTGGACTGTCTCCTTTTTATTTGTTTGGGATGGGAGGGAGAGGAGAAGGAGGAGGAGGAGGAAAGAGGAAGAAGAAGTATGCTTGACCCTAGTCACAAAAGTTAAAAAAAAAAAAAGTAATTTTATCAGCACTGCAGTTTTTCCTGAGGTTTGGAGTGCTGGGAATCTGGCTTCTCTCTTCCTCTAAAACCACACCCTGATGGTACTACTGTGCTGGCTTATTTCCCTGGGGTAAATTCTGAGGTCAGCTGCTGAGGTGACATCACTGCACCAGGGCACAGATAAGCCATCCTCAGCTCCCCTGGGACACCGGTGGGGCCTGACTCAGTCCTGTACTCTGCACCCTGGCTTGCCTGCACAGTAAAGGCAAAGAGCCGCCTGCCTGGGTGCCTATGGCTCCTCTTTTGAAGACCAAGTTACTTGCTGCTTATTCCAATTAAAGATTCAACACACCGTTCTGGAAATAGTAAACCTGGCAACTGCTTTTGTGTTTCTTTTTCTTTGCTGGCCTTGGCGTTTGAATTCAGGGCCTTGTGCTCACGAGGCGGGCACTCTACCACTTGAGCCACACCGTCAGCTCATTTTCTCTTAGCTGGAGCCAGCTTTAAACTGTGATCCTCCTGTACAGCTGGGCTTACAGGAACAAACATGTGGCTTGTGTGTTGAGATGGGGTCTCCTTCATTTTGGACTGTGATCTTTCAGTCTCCACTTCCTGATTAGCTGGGATTCTAGTTATGAATCATCACACCCAGTTTGACCTGGGTTCTTAAAACCCCAATATCAACAAAGTGGCCAGAACATTACTGGCATGAAAACAAGATGAACAAGGCAAAAGAAAGCAAGCCTAGCCTCCCCAAGCAGGCTGCTCTGGGCGGGGTCTTACCTGACTGCTGGAACAGGTTGCTCTCCACCACCTTGGACATGCAGTTGAGTTTCTGCCGGACCAGCTGGTTGTCAGGAATGCTCTGGATGAACTTGCAGAAGAGCACGCTGCAAAGAGATACCCTGGGTAGATGGGCTTGTGCTGCCCAGCTAGAGTTCTCACACAACCTTCTCTTCCTGCGAGCTGTGCCTGCAGAACTCCCAGCACCCGGAGCCCGGGGAGTGTTGGTGAGGCTGTATCTGGCTCCCTGGGGGGCTCCAGGAAGAGCCAGGGTCACACACCCAGGCTGCCCATGCCTGCCCACCATCACCGTCCGGGGCCTGACTTAACCTTCAGCACCCCCAAATGCTTTCTGCAGCGAAGGGCGCTGTAATGTGACTATCTTCTGCGTGTCCCCAGAGAAAGCGCACATCTGTCTCTCGGGGGCAAGTTTTATGAGTTCTTTGGCTGGTTCTACAGCACCTCACTGAGCATAATAAGGTGTTTTCTATACAGTTTCTAGAACAAAAGCTCGTGTAAGCTCCCAGCAAGATATGAACGGTGTCTGGTACTTACCTGAGCTCCACAGGATCGAACACCAGCTTGACGTCGTTAATGATGCTAGGGAGGTACTTCAGAGCTGCCCCCTGCAAGAAACCCGCCAGGGCTGAGTCACAAATCCAGGACTTGTTGTTTGGCTCTGACTTATTGGCTGGGCTGGAGCCTTGCAGAGGGGACTGGAGGCAGACGCCCTCGAAGGAGGAAACGTGGCCACGTCCAACTGAACCTTGGAAACCCTCTCCAGCCCATGGAGCCCCAGGAGGTATGAACTTTTCCCACCAGCCAGCTCCGGCCAGCCCTGTGGGGGTCATTTTCCCTACATTCTTGAGGTCTTCTTCTTCACGAAGTTGCCAGAAAGAACCAGGAATAAATAACAAAAGTCCACGGTTTTATGTTGTTTCCCATTTCAAAAGGTGTGGGGGGCTTGGTGGGTTCTGGGAGGAATGAGGGGACTAGAGAGAAAATAGTAAACTTAAGAAAGGCACGAGGCTCTGTTTACTGAAATGGGGGTAGGGGGACAACAGGAGTCATGCCAGTTATTCCTGGGCATGTCTAACAGGTAGTTTGTCTCTGGCAAAGTGACACCTGGAAAGGCCAATGTATTTCCAGGGGAAAATGTGGGCTTTTTCCTTTACTGCTGCTGTTCTGGTTGTGCTTTGTTTAGTGAGTATGTGTGTGTGTGTGTGTGCGTGTGTGCGTGTGGCTCTAAGGTTGGAACTCAGGGCCTGCACATGCTAGGTAGTATTCTGCAGCCAGCTTCCTCCCCACTCCCTTTCTCGTTTACTTTTCTAAGTTCTATACAAATCCACCAGCGAGCCCATGCCCTGGGTAGTTAGTTGTTCCTCTCCCACTCTGGTCAGTCAGTCCTATGGTCCAGAGCATCTTTACCCAGCGTCTTAACCCCAGACTGACCTTGATCTTGACGGCTTCCTCCAGAGGTCTGTCCATCAGCATATTGAAAGCCAGGAATAACTGGCGGATTGAGTCATTAAACTCATCTCCATCTTCGCTCTGGCCATAGAATCTTAACAGGAAAGGAAAAAAAAATGAGAATGAAAAGAAGTTGGGTTGTCCAACTTTCAAGGAAATTTTAAAATAAGATTTGCAGTCTCAAAAAAATGCCAGAGCTGGGTTCTGGTGGCTCACACTACTCAGGAAGCTCAGATCTAAAGATTGTAGTTAGAAGCCAGCCCAGGCGGGAAAGTCCATGAGATTCTTTTGTTGTTGTCGGCCATGGGGCTTGAACTCAGGGCCTGGGTGCTGTCCCTGTGCTCTTTTGCTCAAGGCGAGCACTCTACCACTTGAGCCACAGCACCACTTCCAATATCTGGTGTTTAACTGGAGATAAGAGTCTGGTGGACTTTCCTGCCCAGGCTGGCTTTGAACCGCAATCCTCAGATCTCAGCCTCCTGAGTAGCTAGGATTACAGGTGTAAGCCACCAGTTCTTATCTCCAATTAACTACTCAGGAAAAGCCAGAAGTGGAGCCTTGGCTCTAGGGGGTTTCCTCCATGACCCCCTACTTCCTCCTTCTCCCTCTCCCTCCCTCCTTCCCTTCCTTTTTCCCTTCCTCTGGCGTCTGACACAATCCTTTCTGTCTCACTTCAATTCCCCCCCTCCCTCTTTCTTTTTGTGTCATTTCTGGAGCTTGAACTCAGGACCTGGCACTGTCCCTCAGCTTTTGTGCTCAAGGTGAGTGCTCTACCACTGGAGCCCCAGTGCCATTCCTGCTTTTTTGGTGGTTAATTGGGGATAAGAGTTTCATGGCTTTCCTGCCTGGGCTGGCCTTGAACCACAATCCTCAGATCACAGCCTCCTCTCAGCTAGGGGCTTGGGTCACAAGAGTTAAGGTTCAGACCGTGTGTTGAGAAACTCCTCAGACTGAAACCAGTGGGCTGTCCTCTATCTGCCACACATGCCAGAACGCTGATGGCTTGGCGCTGCCACGCACCTGCTCCGATCACAGTGCTCTAGAGGCTTCTCAGAGCTGCCAACGCCTCAGAAATCAGCTCTTTCTCCAACGTACAACTCAAGAGGCCTTCCCCCAACTGCGCAGAAGCACACCACACAAGTCTCGAACGGTACCACACATGCTTAGTGGCCACTGCCAAGTACCCGGTGTAGACAGGAAACCCGTGTAACACACCTACACACGCGAGCATGCGAATGTGTTTATATTTAAGTTTATCTCTGCACACCTGTGACAAGTCGCAGCCAAAAATCCAGTACCCTATTAATGTGTAAAATCACCTTTGGGCTACTGTATGTTATATAAAAAACAATGAATCGTGTTTTCAGACTTGGGGGCTATCCCCAGGATACCTCATGATGTACTCATGCAAATATTCCAAATTTAAAAAAAAAACTATCCTGAGACCTAAGCGGCTGCTGCCAGTCCCACGCCCCGTGGACACAGACAGTCAGCTTGCACATTATGTGGGCCCAACTCGGGGGGCGGGAACGCCAAGTGGAAATCACGGTCCACGGTAACAGGGTGACAGGCAATTCCCAACTCACCCGCTTGGCACAACTAGAAAAGAACTTATTTGCAGGTCAGTCCCCACAGTCTCTCGGAATCAACAAATCTCAAAACAGGAAATTCACTGGGCTCTGCGGCTCAGCGCTGGGCGTCTGCGTTTTAACCACTAGCTAAAGCTCTTTAGCGGCACTCCCCGCCCCAAGCCCAAGGGCTACTGTGGCCCTTCGCTTTCGGGCAGGCCCTGGCTTTCTGCTCTGTTTCCCATAATCCACTTTCCACAGGGAAGATGGAATGATTTCAAGGTGATGCCCTGGATTGCTTCATTCATTGAAGTCTCCTCCATGTCATCTACCTCCCTTGGGCCACAGGAAGCTCTCTCCCTGGAGCTGTCACCCTACCTGAAGCCCCCTGCAAGTGCTACATGCCATCCCTGCACCTCTCAGCCCTGCTATGAAGATGGCATCAGGATTCTGCTGATAGGAAAGGACTCTCCCCGCTCCACCCCAAACTGCTTCCAGACCTCCTTTAACACCTTCACAGTCCACTTCGTGCACTGACGCTCTGGACCCCCACAGCTTCAGGATGGAGGGCTCATAGTTGGCCACAAGCCTGACAGATAAGGGAAATGTCGGCAAACCGCTCACCTCAGGTAGAGCACGCGGGACTGGATGATGAACCTGAACAAGTACTTCAAGGCTTTCAGAGCCGCAAAGAGCAAGTCTGTCTTGCTGGAGTCATCTGCGTTCGCCACGTAGAAGTTCAGGACCTTGGAGAGTTTTCTTCAGAGGGGAAGAAAGGCAAGCGAAGTCACCAAGAGAAGGGGGCTCAGAGACCAGGGGTAGGAGGTGGCACCGTGAGATGAAGAGCCATAACTCTCCTGAGAACATGCCAGAACAAACTCACTCTTTGCTGTTCTAGACAGCTTCTCTGCAGTCTAGGTTTGGAACATCCATTCCCTCTTCTGCTTAGAAAGACTGGATTAAACACTAGGATTAAAGGGATCTAAATCGGAAGCATTGAAGAAATTTAATTAGAGGGATCTTTTCTCTTTTCTCTTTCTTTCTTTTTTGGTTTATGGAGTACCCAGGAATTGAACCCAGGCCCTCATGCCCGCTAGGCAAGCACTCTACCACCCAGCCACATTCCCAGCCCGATTAGGATGTTTTCATCGCTGGCATCTTCAGATGCGCATTGAAGGATGGGTGATTGTTGGCTGAGGAAATATTAGGAAAGCTAACTCCTTCCATGTGTCCAGATCTAAGTCTTCAGGATCCGAAATCATAGTGCCAGAGAGAAACTTCCCTGAGGGGGGGAAGGACTCTCGTTCTGACTCTACAACCCTCTCAACAGACAAAAGTCTTCTGGGATTTTAGATTGCTTTTCCTGTCTTCCCAAAGTCTTTGGATTACAGATGGTCTTGATCTTGCATTCATGGTGTGTGTATGTGTGTGTGCTGGTACTGAAGCTTGAACTCAGAATTTCATACTTCTCTTTTTTTGGGGGGGGTATGGTTTTTTGTTTTTTTTTTTTTTTACAATATCTCCTCTATTTTATTTATTGATTGATTGATTATCAGGGTGATGTACAGAGGGGTTACAGTTACATAAGGTAAGAAGTACACTTTCTTAAGATTTGTTGCTTAAGGCTGGTGCTTTGCCAGTTGAGCCACATCTCCCCTTCTGATATTTTGCTGATTTGAGATAACAGTCTCTAGGATTTGTCTGCCCAATCTGGCTTTGAACTGCGATGCTGAGATCTTAGCTTCTAGGATTATAGGGTTTTGATCTTGTGCTACCAAAGAGTAGTTTTGAGGGCACTGATATTTCAAGCTTTTCCTTTAAGAATCTCTGAGCTTTTCTGAGATGAGCACAAAACCCAGAGGACACAGGTTTGCTGTATCAAGCGCTGTCAATGTGCTCTGCAAGTGACTGTCGATCTCGCATGGCGACAGGTGCCTGGCAGTGTGTGCAGTACACAGGTGTGGACCCAGAGTTCCCCAGAGTTCTGACCTTGAGCTCTGTGGCCTGGGACACGCTGCCTTGTCCGTGGGTTTCTCCATGCTCTTTTTTTCCTTTGCCTTTGAAAATTCACTTAGGAGTTGGGTGTAGTAGTACACACCTATAATCTCAGCACTTGGGAGACAAAGGACTGACAGCCTCAGTTTACCTTGAAGGTCTCCTTTGGCTCAATCCACAGCAGCAAGATTTCTCACTGCAGCGGCCACTCATGTAGAAAGAGAGGGAGCTGGGTGGAAATAATCCTGTCGCTGGTGTATGTGCTGCCTTCCAGTATAACATAACCAGCCGCTAGCTGGCGACTGTGTTACAGGACACCTCCCTTATGTAACCAGGTGTCGGCACCTCTGTGCTTGTTTAGTTCAGAAAAGAACACCAGGGCGGGGCACTGGCAGCTCATGCCTGTAATCCTAGCCCTCAGAAAGCTGAGGTCTGAGATTGGAAGCCAGCCCAGGCAGGAAATTCCATGAGATTCTTATCTCCAATGAGTGATCAAAAAGCCAGAAATGGAGCTGCGGCTCAAGTGGTAGAGCATTAGCCTTGAACATAAAAAACTCAGAGCAGTGTCCAGGCTCTGTCAAGCCCTAGGACTGGGGGGAAGAAAAAGAAAAAAGGGAAACCCCAGCAGGGACCCGTGGTCTGATCTGACCTAAGAGTCGGCAGCCATGGACACGATCTGGCATACGTCATCATCCAAAAGGGAGTTTACGCGTGCCAGCGACACTCAGCACAGGACTGCAGGTGAACAGTAGGAGGTGATAGGCCGCGTTCTACACTAGAGAGAGCTGAGTGCCCCCGGAAGGAGCTCGGAGTGGACATGGGGCCCTAGAGGCCTCCTGTGTGCCAGAGTAGGAGGTTTGCCTTGTTAGGCCAAGGAGCGATCAGCAACACGAGGCTCTGAGGTGCAGGCCGAGGCCAGCGGCTGCCCTTCTGGCCCGGCTTCGTTCGTCGTTCAATGCCCTGACAGCCAGGTTCATTGTTTAATCTCGCTGACATCCAGATTCTGAGTTCAGCCTGGACTGTGTTCCTAAAATGACTTCAATTTTTTTACTACATGTTCTGGATTATTGTTTTTTAAGTGCCTATCTGGACAACTGGTGGCTCAGCCTGCAATCCAGCAAGCTGCAGTCTAAAGTTCTTGGCTCAAAACCAGCCCCAGGCAGACAAATCAGAGAGGCTCTTTATCTCTAAGCAACCAACCAGCCTAAAAAAGCTGGAAGTGGAAATGTGGCTCAAAGGGTGCAGCACCGGCCTTGAGCAGAAAAAAACGAAGCGAGAGTGTTAGGCCCAGACCTCACGCTCCAAAACTGGTACAAAAATAAATAATAAATAAATAGAAGTAAAATAAAATATAGCCATGTCCAGAAGGAAGGATTGGAAGGTGACCTCTTTCCCAGGAGGAGAATACACAGATAACTCCTTCTTTCCACCTGAACGCTGACAACCAAGTTCCACTCACAGGCACATTTACCCAACTCCTCTCATTTCTCCAACACCCAGCCCCTGGAACACCAACCCACCAACCTACCAGCCTGCCACCGCGCTGGTCCCCTGTGCTATACTCACACGTATGCCAAGGTGGCACTGAAGTGCTTGTAAATGTAGGTTTCGAGGACAGGATTAAAATGCTGGAACTTGATGTCTCCTATCAGTGAAATAATAAACACCTGCGGGGGAGGGGGGCGGAATGTCAACAGCTGCAGGCCACAGCGCCAGGCATGCTGTCAACCAGCAGGACTCCTTCTCATGCTTGAACAATTCTGAATCACAGCTACGCTGAAGTCACGCCATCAGGTTGAAATTTATTTCACACTAACGATGAGACCATTATGTATGAGGTTCGTGACTGATGGCCAGGAATGATGGATACAGGCCAACACCCCTGACCGCAGGGAGCTGGCAGTCCCAAAGCAGGGCATTCAGTAAGCAGATGACAAAAGCCAGGGCAGAGAACAGCACATGGAGGGTGGGACTCGGACAGGTTTTCTGAGGGCTGATCCCAGTAAGTTCTCACCGCCGACGCAGTGTGGAACTTCCCACGACATTTTACTCCCGAGTGTGAGCGTGAAAGCTGAACCACTTACCAGTGCGTCAAACACAAGGGAGTCGTACGTTTCGTTGTCCGACATTTCCATCATGATGTTAAAAAGTGCATCCAGCGTATCTTGCAAGAACTGAAGGCGAGAAAAACAGAGAGGTTTACTTCAGTGAGTCCATTTGGCTCACATGAAATCGTATTTGCTTGTGTGGTACAAATTCAGGAACAATGATATTCCAGAAGAATAGGGTTTAAAATGCCATTTTCTTGCAAATGAGCTGTGCAGATAAGAAGTCTTCTAGTTACCATGACTGGCTGAAAATGTTAACATAAAGGCACCGAAGGTTACATTTCACTGGGTGCTGGAGGCTCACGCCTGTAATCCCAGCTGAGATCTGAGGATCTTGGTATAAAGCCAGCCCAGGCAGGAAAGTCTGTGAGATTCTTATCTCCAATTAACCAGAAAAGGCCAGAAGTGGAGCTTTGGCTCATGTGGTAGACTGCCAGCCTTGAGTAGAAGCAGCTAAGGGACAGCATGCCAGCTCTGAGTTCAGTTCTAGTGCTGGCACACGCACACACACACAGAAGTAGATCTAGCTACGAAGATTGACATACCTTAACAATCTCCCCTCCATCCACCTCCATGAGCTTCTTGAGGTTGTGCTCGATGTTCTGGGCATTGGAACGCCAATTTAACAGGCCTAACAGGTCAACTGCGGGAGCAGACACAAAGCACATGCATGAATGACAGAGCTACAGAATTCTCCAGAAAAGGCAACTGTGCATCCTACCAGCAAATTCAAGGGATACTTCATATTTCAATTTGCAGTCTCTCATCTAAGAAAATACCTTGTGATCTCTTTCATTCTTCAAGAAGAAAAAAAGTTAATTACTAACGTATATCAAACATCAAGCAACATCTGGCTGGCAGTCACATTTCTTAAGCAAGGACATGAGAGTCACAAAAACGTACCCGTTACCTGACTTATCTAACTGTAAACCCCCTGTACATCACCTTTATAAGTACCATAATAAATTTTTTAAAATAAGTAAACTTCAGAAACACTTTCTAGATAACCTTCCTGCCTTCAATTTCCTGTCTTGCTTATTGTCTTCCTTGCCATGATCTACATCTGGGCGGATTGGAAGGAAAAGAGCAATTTATATATAGGCATTCATTTGCTTCAGATTCATGACCACTGCTGGGCACTGGTGGCTCACATCTGTAATCCTAGCTACTCAGAAAGCTAGGATTACAGCTACTCAGAGATATAAGGATTGAGGTTCAAAGCCAGCCCAGGAAGGAAAGTCCATGAGACTCTTACCTCCATTAACCAGCAAAAAGCCAGAAGTGGAGGTGTGGCTCAAGTGGTAGAGCACCAGACTTGAGTTAAAAAAAAATCTAAGGGACAGTCCCTGGGCCCTGAGTTCAAGCAGCCATCCTGGCACACACATACCCCCAGAAGAAGTACTGAAATTCTTTTCACTGTTTTAATGATGAGTGATTTGGGCAGTACTGCCTGGAAGATTATTGGAAGGGCTGAGGGCAGAATTGAAGCACCCGGCATCCTGCCCAGGAACCACGTGGTCCAGGCCAGTGAGTGTGATCAGGCAACCAGGGCCAGTGGTCAGCTCACGCGTCCAGGACAGCCCTGCTCCCCACCTACCGTTCTGGGTGAGCTTTGTGGAGCAGATGAGTGTGGCGATCTGGAAGCTGTCCTTCGTGCTGTCCTTGCTAGATGCCTGCAGTTCCTTTTCTTCCATCTCCGCCTTGGTCCCAGGCAGTGTCAGATAGAATTTGGCATCGTCCATTTTCTTGTTGTCACCCTGAAAGGAAAGCACATTAGGCATGGCAGAGGATGGGTGGCTTGTGTCACACGCCACACATAAAACACGCCTGTCCACATGGGCGTGCAGGGCCCACGGGAAACACGTGACTTCATCCAGTCTCAAGCCTCCAACTCCCACGCTGTCAGCGCCTGCCACAGAGCTTCCGCATGCAGAGATCATTTCCACACAGGATTAACAAAAGGAATAAGTTGAGATCTGAGGATCGTGGTTCAAAGCCAGCCTGGACAGGAAAGTCCATGAGACTCGTATCTCCAATGAACCACCAAAAAAAAGCCAGAAGTGGAACTCTGGCTCAAGGGGTAGAGTGCCAGTCTTGAGCAAAACAAGCTCAGGGACAGTGCCTGGGACCTTGAGTTCAAACCTCAGGGCCAGAAGAAACAAACAAAGAAAGGAAAACAAAAAAGAATATCCAAGTCACAGCCAGAGGTAAATCAATAGATGACGGAATAAGGTTGGATTTCATTTTTAAAAACTCTTTGTGCCAGCAGAGTTACAAGCGTGTGGGGCTCAGCTGCCAGGGAAGGAAGCAAGGCCCTGAACACACAGAGAGAGCGTCTGGATCATGGTGACGGGAAGTGCAATCCTACCACACCCACCAGGCTCCAACCAGGCCCAGCCAGGCACCGCTGTGTCCTGCAGTAGAGGGAGAGGAGGCCACTGCCCCTGCCACCCAGGGCCACCGCACACCCTCCGCACCAGGCCCCAGCACTCTCTTGGGAGGCAGTCCTGGAATCTGAACTCAGGGCCTTTTGCCAGCTAGGTGGGCGCTCTACCGCGACGCCATTCCTTCAGCACTGGGGTTTCTAGAGTTTTATGGGGCAAACCCGTCTGGATTTCCAGCTGTCCACCTAAACCTGACGGCTGGGAGGGGAGGGCGTCTCATTCCGTCATCTTTACCCTGTACACCACCAGGTCGTGCCTCCCGTCCTGCACGGTGGTGCCATCCGGGTTCATCAGCTTCACGAAGGACACCCCAAAAGCTCGCTCTGACTTATCTCTGGCTGAAAAGACAGAAACACACGTGTGGGCAGTGTGGAAGGCCAGCACACCACGGCAGAGCCGAGGGGAGGGGCTAGTGAATTTCCCCTGTGCTCTGATAGGCAGCCACAGTCACAAGCCCCGACATGGAGATGGCCTGCTTCCCAGGGCAGGAGCTTCTCCCTCCATTCCCTGTCTCAGGTCGCCAGGGCCACCGAGACTTTCCTGCCTAGAGGGTTACCACATGGGAGAAACTCTATTTGGAAGTCTGAAATCACTTTTCAAGTGTCTCTTTCTCCGGATCCACAAAGTGTGCGAGGCAAAGGTATCTTCCTTTTTTTTTCTTGGCAATCTGTCACACTGATACTCACACTCCTGCGATGATCTGTGTCGGAAGGTAAACCGGATGTGGCAGCGGGTGACGTCGTCGATGGGGATGTACACCTGTGCGGAGGGAGCGCATCAGCACGCTACAGACACAGCGTCTCACTCATCCTTAGACATTCAGGCTCACTCTGGTAGTTTTGCACAGGTATTGGGGCCTGAACTCAGAGTCTCTTGCTCTTGCTTGACTTTTTTTTTAAAGCTCAAGGCTGCTCCTCTACTATTAGAGCCATAGCTCTGACTTCTGGCTTTTTGGCTGGTTTGTTGGAGCTAAGATTCTCCTGCATTTGACTGTCTAGGCTGGCTTTAAACTGCGATCCTCAGGTACTCAGCCTCCTGAGTAGATAGGATTACAGGTGTGAGCTACCAGTACCAGGCTAGGCTCAGTTTTAATGACCTTATTTTTATTTGACATCTAATAACTGCATGTATGTATAGGGAACAGTATGATGTTTTGATTAATATGTATTATGCCAATCATATCAGAGAAATCAGCAAATATATCATTTTGAACTTTTATCCACATTGTGGGTGTGTGTATATGTGTGCGCGTGTGTGCACAAGTGTGCATGCAGGTCCAGGGTTTGAACTCAGGGCCTCATGTTTTTGTTCTACTTCCCCCTCAGGGTTGGAGTTCTACCACTTGAACCATACCTCGATTTCCTTATCCTCCCTTTTTTTTTTTGGTTGGTCATGGGGCTTGAACTCTGGGTCTGGGCGCTGTCCCTCAGCTCTTCAGCTCAAGGCTAGCGCTCTACCATTTAAGCTACAGCATCACTTCCGGTGTTTTCTACTTATGTGGTGCTGAGGAATCGAACCCAGAGCCTCATGCATTTAAGGCAAGCACTCTACCACTGAGCCACCTTCCCAGCCCTCATCCTGTCTTTTTAAATCCAAGTCCCTTGCTCACAGCTACTCTGAGATGGATGATGCGAATGAGGGTCAACGTGAGCATCTGCTCGGGGCCTGGTTTCCTTGCTTTCAGATTTCATTAATAGATACAGGATCTCTGGGGAAGATGTGATTGCAGGGTTTTAGTTTCTGACTCTTCTCTGGAAAGCTCCAATGTCTGGGACAGCCAGTGCCCATGCAGCCTGGGGCTGGGGGGGACTGGGGCTCAAGCTCTGATGCTAGCAGGCTCTCTAACATCTTGGGGGGAAGCTGGGGAGTCCCGGCCCCCTACTTGACAAGAGGGCATCCCAGCACATGCTTGTGCACCCCCAGGGCCTCTGTGGGCGGCAGAGGACACCCCTGATGGAAGGGCCAAGAAGCAAAACACGTCTACCGACAGCTGAGCATTTCTGGTTGATGGTAGACCAGCTTGATGCCAGTGGTGTCACTGCATGCTTCTCTATTTAGAGCTGGAGACTTTAATGAATGAGAATGTGGGCTCAAAGTGTAGAGTTCACTGGAGATAAACCCCTATCACCTAGAACCATCCATTCATCTCTCCTGATCTACCACAGGCCGCTTATCTGCAGCTTCCGGCTAGGGGGAGAATGACAGCGAGGAAGGAAGGAGACAGGAGAACGATAGGGAGAGGGGAAGAAGGGAGACTCCGCCAGTTCTCCAGCTCTCACCTTGACTGTCTCGTACCAGCAGGGCTGCTTGACCTGGTAGTACACGACCGACTTGTACTCCGAGATGCCCTCGTACCCCGCGCCCGGGAAGATCGCTTTCTTTGGAATGAAAGAAACAAGGGGGAGAGGATATACACGACTGTCTAAAGAAGCGAGAGCATACGTACGCCACACACACGGCCCCCTGTGCACCCCGCACGCACCCCACTTCCGTCACCGTAGGATATGCCTTACTCTGACCTCTGTACCCTCACTAAGTTTGGGGTGTGAGGAACTGAATTTTTACCACTCGAACCACACCCCCCAGCCTTTTTTCGCTTTCATTCTTCTTCACGCTTTACCCCACACGCCTAGACCACAATCCTCCTCTCTATGCTGCCCACAGTAGCTGGGATGACAGGCGTGCACCACACCGCACCCAGTTTCAGTGGTTGAGGTACTTCTTCTTTTTCTTCTTTGTTGGAACCATTTGGTTTCAAAACCTAGTAGCTATTACAGGCTCAGCCCTGGAGGCCCAGCTCTGCCCTTCCCTTTTACGTTTCCAAACACCATCTGAAGTTTCCTCTGGCCAGTGGTCTTTGCTCTCTCTTCCCTCTTCTTTCTTTCTACCGTCTCTCAGGGAGCAGCGGCCAGTGACCAGGCAGCCAGGCCTCACACACTGATGTCCTGCTATGTGAGAATACCAAGTCCGCCTCACGTCTACGCCCCGCTCAGCCTCCAGGCTCAGCACACTGGGACTTCGTGGGCCACCTCCAGGCTACTGAACAAAGCTAACACACAACCTGCCCTGGGCAGCCCTCTGATGCCCAATATTCTCAGGCTTCTTAGCCAACTGTCTGAATATCTGTTTCCTCCTGGGGCCCTGGGGGAAGGATAGCGTGTGGCTCTTGGTGGCCGGCCAGGCTGCCCACAACCTTTCCTCCTTCATGACAGAACCAAGGCTTCCTTTCTAGCAGCCAGACTTCCAGACACTCTGGACACCTGGGAGAAGGTCGAGCCTCTCTGCAGTGGAGAACATGCTCAGCCAGCTCCGCCCCCCCAACAACAATGGCGGGGCGCTGGGCTTCCGGGGACCCACATACCTCCAGGAGGTTGCCCTCCTCGTCAAACACAGACATGGTCACCTCCACATTTTTGGGTGTCTTCTTCTTCCCTTTGTCAAACTCCCCGTGGATCAGAGTGATATAAATGTCGTTCCGGACATCTCCTGCCATGGGAGGACAGAGCTGTGAGCGTGGCTGACACACGGTGCCACGTGTCAGGATGTCAGAGGTGGAAGAAGACGGTCGGGCACGGCTGACCGTCCATCAGCCACAGCTTGTGTCCCCGCTCCTCCTGGGGTCACAGCCACGAGGGGACGGCCGTGGGAAGTGTCACTCTTCTCAATAGCATTCCACGTCCTTGTCCAACAATAAGCATGTGTGTTACAGTATGTAAAGCCAAGCCATTTTTCATTATTAATGGAGTGTGTGTGTGTGTGTGTGTGAGACAGTGTGACTAAGTCCTCACGGTAAGAGGAGTCTGGTGTGAAATGAGGCTTTAGAGACAAAAGGCCCACAGGTCACGTAAGAATCTGGTCTTTCCAGAAGAGGATCTTAGAGGAGGAACGGGCAGGTGCAAGGCCTCTGATCACATAAAATAATATTTATCAGAATGAGCTGCAGGAAATGAAAACCAGAGGTGTTTTCTTTGTTGCTATTTTTGTTTTCTTTTTGTCTTGTTTGTTCACTCATTTGTCTTTGGGAGGGAAAGGGGGGCACAGAAATGGAGGGACAAAGGGTGAACAAATGCAGTAGTGGTCCTCACTGGGTAGGGAAGGGAGGGAAAAACTGAGAGATCGCCAGGGGAGGGGTGACATTGTCCAAGAAGAAATATATTCTTTATCTGCCATATGTCACTGTAATCCCTCTACGTATCACCCTTATAAGAACAATAAAAACAATTTTAAAAAACCAGTGTCTTTATCTGGAATGCAAACGAAGTCAGGTTTTCAGCCGGGAGGAGTGGAGGAAAGCAGGCAGGCTGAGGGCAAAGACCATTCACGTCACAAGATGGAGGGAGTCAGGTACCAAGAGGGAGTGAGTCAGGGTGCTGTACAAGGAGGCGGTGAAGCGAGTTCTGGTCATTGCAATCCAGGCAGACACAGGGGTGGAGGTAAGAAGCCATCCAAGGTAAAAGCACTTCATTCACAGAGAGGAGCTACAGAGCTGGGACAGCAGGGGGAGAGAAAGGCAGCAGAACACAGAGCAAACCAGCCATTCTCCCAGACCGGAACACCACGCGCTCACAGCCACGTGACCCAGCCTGGCAGGGTTTGTACACCAGGGAACAGGACGTAGAGCTGGAAATGGTGAGTGACAGTGAAAAGCATTTTCTTGGCCTGGCCACGGGGCAGGTTGCTGGGGCCTTTGTCTGCCGTTGGCAGTGAGGGAGCTGCCTGGGGGTGGGGATGGGGTGCGGGGGACCCTTCTTGCACAGAAAGTGCAAGTGGAGCAAGCCGTTTACCTGGCAGTATGATTTCTGGAAAGCCCATCTTCCGGGCTATGGCTGTCGATCTATCCACCAAGTGAGAAAAGTTCTTCTGCACTTGAGCGAGGTCACCAGGCAGCAGCTTCAAGGACACCCAAAGTCCTTAAAAAAAGAAAAGAAAATGTTCAGTTCCTGGTGTGATCCAGACAGACACCGTGTAAGCATCACCTCGTCATAAAGGATCCGAAATTCCCCCAGTTAAACTGACGTTGCTCCATCAATCACAACCGGGCTTTCTTTCAGGAATTTGACAGACAGGTGACAGATTCTTAAATTTAAGGGAGACACAGATCAGAGTGAGCCCTCACAGATACCAAACTATTGCAAAGTTACAATTTTGTGCAAAAGCCATAGCATTTAATCTCATTGGAATAAACGAGACTAAACGTGATCATCTATGACAATGTTAACATGGGACAAAAGAAATGTCAACAAAGCACAATGAAAAGCCACCATCATTTCATAAGGAGGCTGAGGTGCTTTTTTTGGTATTTAAAACAGAATCATTTTTATTTCTCAGGTCCTATTGTCATTCAAATAGATTCCTAGATAATAAAAGAAGTGAACAGGAAAAACTGTGAAGGAAGTAGAGGAAGAATAACGTATAGATACTAAAATTCTGAAAAGGAACCATCTTTTAAATGAGCGAAAAAGAAATCGCGAAAGCAAAACCATGAGTGAGGCTTCAGTCTTGATATACATAAAGATGCAAAAAGCCTCCTTAGTGGTAGTGAGATACCTGTCAGAAATGAAGAACTAACAGCCGTTATAAGAAAACTAAAATCATGACAAATAAGTGGGACAGGAATATACAATTCACAGGGACAGGTAATATAGTTTAATAAATATTTAGAAAAAACTCAGAGAAAATGTGTCCTAAATAAGAACGATTATGTAAAGGGCTCATAACATCTGAGATAGGGAAAGTCAGGGAATCCATGCTTACTGAGATGCAGGCTAATTTATTGACTTATCTGCTTATTAAAAATCCAAGTGGAGGGCTGGGAAGGTGACTCAGTGGTAGAGCGCTTGCCTTGCATGCATGAGGCCCTGGGTTCGATTCCTCAGCACCACATAAGCAAAAAAGAAAAAAGCCGGAAGTGGCGCTGTGACTCAAGTGGTACGGCGCTAGCCTTGAGCTGAAGAGCTGAGGGACAGAGCCCAGGCTCAGAGTTCAGGGCCCATGGCCGGACCCAAAAAACAAACAAACAAACAAATAAAATCCAAGTGGAAATCTGCTTTCCATCTTCCCAGGAGTTGCAGATTTTCCTTGTTTTCAGCTATCCTGGGGTTTGAACTCAGGGCCTCATGCTTATTCCCTGGGCAATCTACCCATTGAGCTACACCTCCAGCCCTTTGGGCCTTAGTTATTTTTATTTGATAGTCTCACTTTTTTTGCTCAGGCCTTAGACTTTGATCTTCCTTGCTGTGCCTTCCATGGAGCTGGGATTGCAGATGTGCACGGACATACTGGTTCGGGTGCAGATTGCTAAATACTAGCTGGCAAAGGCAGGTAAGAGGGCAGTGAACCCCCAAAGCGGTAACGGGAACCATGGTGGGTTAAAGCACATCAGGACAACTGGCCACACCGGTGTGTCTGGTTTAAGCTTGTTCTCTTCACTGCACCCCCAAATCCTACTTCAGGGTGTTTTCTGGGGGAAGGAGTTGCCCAAATGAAACAAGCCTTTGGCATAAGGCTAGTTGTAGTAATGAACAATGATGACAAGATAGAAAAGCCACTTACGAGTTACCTAAGGGATTTAATTTTCTTAAATCTGTTAAGTAAAAATGACACGGGGCCATCTGTTTGGACTACGCTTCCTGTACAATGCCCCCAAGAATCCAGGCTTAAAAATCAAGCTAGAGTCATGGAAGGAAAAAGTTCCACAACACCAAAATGTGTATTTGACTTCTAAGAAATCAGGAGAGAAAGAAAAACGGCAAATTTACTACACAGGCCAGTTGAATCCATAAGACAATGAAGTTCCCTCTGTGTTAACCCTTACCAAAAAAGTAACCAGAAGTAACCAGATATTGAGGAATTACTTATCTTCTCTTTGTCCTTAAAAGATCCTTCTTTGTTTGATGTGTCTTTTTTTTTTTTAGCCTTTTTCTGTCTATAAATACTAAGTTCTCTGCTCTGCCCACCAGAACAATTATTCTATTTAATGGAATAAAGAACTCTCCAGTCCTACCAGAGAAAGTATAGCTAAATAAGACCTTTATACTAAATGCATTTTGATTTTATTTTTCAGATAAGTCTGGGCAATAGAATATTATGCAGTCATAAAAAATATTTGAGCATAAAGACATTTGAAAAGAGCTTGTTTTGTTCAAAAGCAAGGAAAGAAATAACAACTGCTCTCAGTTTTGTATTTTAAAACAAAACTATAAAACAGCAATCTAGCAAAGGTGTGAACAGCAATCTAGAAAAGATCTTTTCTACTCTAATTAAAATTGTATTCTTAGGTTAAGAACTAAAAAACCCAGAAGAAACAAATTTAGTTCTTTGTCTTCAGGTAATTTATTGCTTATATAACTTTCTTATTGAGAATAACTGTGAACACATGAGAAACTAAATATGCAGAAAATAATGTATTTTCCAATTGTCTCTAATTCCAAAGACAGTCACAGGCCAGGGAAGAAAAAGTGACTCAGTCTTCAAAAAATCTGGTGTTTGAATTCTAAAGTTTCAACTGTTTTCCTCTGCTGTTTGGATTTAACACACATTTCTAGAGCGGATTTGCTCTTCGTTGAACTGACACCACAATATGACAAGGAGACAGAAAAACAAGGAGCAGAGCTTGGTGAAGTGGACCATTGGTTCCTGATCACAAATTCTCCATTTTAGAAAACAGAATGGGTAAATGGATTCCACTGGCAGCACAGGATCACCTCTGAACCTCCTTGCCTTTGCATTTACTGTCAACTCTGGGTGCGTAGAGAAGAAGAAATGACTCATAACATAAACACTGTGTTCACAGGCCGTCCACCTTGGACTGTGATCTAGAGAGAGGGAGAGAGAGACAGAGAGAGCGACAGAGAGAGTGAGGGAGAGAGAGAAACAGAGACAGAGAGTGGAGCAGAGAGAGAGAAAGAGGGGGAAGGGGTGAGGGAGAGAGAGGGAGAGAGAGAAAAGAGAGAGAGGGAGAGGGAGGAGAGGCTCTGTCCCACCCCAGCTGAAGTCCCTCTCAGCTGAGTGGCTCCTTGGTCACCTCCCTGCCCAGCCCGTACCACTTCTGTACCTTGTCCCTTATGATTGACCTCCTTGGCCGCTATCACTTTATTCAGGACGGAGGTGAGGGGCTCGTTCTCGCCGATGACGCTGGACGTCATCAGGGGTGACATGATGAGCTGCCTCTGCCGGATGTAGGTTTCCATGGCAATTCTGGGGAAGAGGGAGAGAGGTGAGCGGGAGGTACAGCCGGATGTAGGTTTCCATGGCAATTCTGGGGAAGAGGGAGAGAGGTGAGCGGGAGGTACAGCTGGATGTAGGTTTCCATGGCAATTCTGGGGAAGAGGGAGAGAGGTGAGCGGGAGGTGCAGCCGGATGGTGTCTGCCGCACAACCCCACAGCCGGTGGCTCTGGAGAGAACCGGGAAGTACAGATTCAGTCTAACCAGAGTGTTTTCTGTATTGCCACAGACCTCAGGGCACCTGCACTGGGTCCCGGGATTCCAGGCTACAAATCAAGATGGAGTCACTCACGCTAAGGTTCCAAGTAGCAAGCTCACCAAGTTCAAACCAAACTGAATATCTGACCCTCCCAGAAATCAGGAGAGAGAAACCCAAATTTTCCAAAGAGGTCAGTTTTGGTTGGCATGATCATGAAGTTTCCCTGGTCTTAACTCTTCCTGAAAAAGAACCTACTGAAGGAACTAGAAATTACCCAGTTACTTTCCAATTGTTCTTTCTGTCCTAGCCTGACAAGGAAAGAAACTTCAGAATGACTAATCTGCTTGTTTACTTCCCTGCTTTCCTCCCTCCCTGTACCAGTGTTCCCCGCCACACCCCCCCCCCCCCCACACACACCATTTTCAGCCTTTTTTCTATCTATTATACCAGCCTTTTTTTTGCTTGGCTCACTGGAACACTTATTATTTTATGGAATTTGGTGTTGCCCAATATTAGAATAGAAAATAAGGCCAATTAGCATCATTAAAATAAACTGCATGGGGCATGATGGCTCAGACCTGTAATCCCAGCTACTAGGAAGGACTGTGTAGGTTAAGATCAGCCCAGCAAATGGTGAGCAAGACCTCACAGCAAAATATATGCTGGGTGTGGTGGTTCTCTTCCCTACTGTAATCAAGGAGGGAGGCAGAGGTAGCTTAGTGGTTAGCCTCAAGGGGGGGGAAAGTGAGATCCTATGTGTAGGGGCTGGAGGCCTGAGGTAGAGAATGTGCCTAGCAAAGGTGACTGATTTTAAATCTTAGTGCCCTGGAGAGAGAGAGAGAGAGAGAGAGAGAAATAGAGATATGGATGGATATAGACAGGTAGAAGTAGAGATATGGATAGGCAGACAGTTCTGATTTTTGTCCTTGACCCCTTTCCTTGATTTTTCTATCATAAACACTAAATTCACCTTGGAAATGAGGCAAAAAAGAAAAAAGAAGGAAAGAAAATGAAAACTCCAAGAAGAAAGAGAACTGATGGGCGTCTGTCTCCTGTTTAACTACAGGCAGAAGCAAGGTTCAAAGTGCCATCCAAGGTGGCCACATGAACTGAAGGGCGTTAGATGGAGTGACCAAGTTCCCGGCTCTACTTCATGGCTTACTCTGCAGGAGTCTGCCTCAGAGCCTCAGTTTCCCCTTAGGTCTTAGACAGACTGGGATCCCATTACTTCTCAGGCCCTCCTCAGACCACCAGTTGACCTGGGAAGATGTCCAGATTCCCAGGCCAGGCGCATACCTGGGATCCGAGGGCAGGCACAGGCAAGGGGACTGGAAGCACTGAACACACCAGGCTGGTGTATGGGGCAAGAGAACCAAGCATAGCCCCGGGCCTGTGGGCACCCTCAGTAATGCATGCCCGCCTAGTACAGTGCCATGGATGTGGGCTTCTCTGTCAACCAGGCCAGCTTTCCTGGCATGCCCTGACCAGAAGAGATATGCAATAGGGTGCTGGGCCTGAGTCATTTTCCCCAAATGCCACTCCTTAGATGGATGAGAAGGATCTAGAAGGATCCACACCCTCTGAGCAGAAACCACGACAGTGGACTAGGAACATGCATGCTAAAATGCCAGGCTGCATCCAGCAACGTGAAACCCCACAGTGGCTACAGAGCGAGCAGCCGGGGGCCCGGGCTGGCTCCTCCCAGACAGGACACACATCTGACAGCACGGTGTGAGCCCCCAGGGATGTACAGCTGGCTATGGGCCAGATATGGGGGGTGGGGAGTGAGGGGTGGAAACCTACCATGAAGGCAAGAACAAATAGGGATGTAAATTTAAATGGCAATTATTAGCCATCAGGGCTGCCCTGTGCAGATACATCTATAACAAGTACATATACAAATGATTGACATCAACAAAGATTGTGTGTGTGTGTGTGTGTGTGTGTGTATAGAATGCTTATATGTATAAATATAAAATATGCTATATACGTACACATAATAGAGGCAGAATTGATGGCTATGAGTTACATATGTACATACATTTAACTATGTTGTGTGTGTGTGCGCATGTGCAAGTTCAGAGGCGCCCTCGTCGGGGTCCAGGCGCATGCGCATGCCGGCACTGGTTCCTGGCACATGCGCATGCCGGCACTGGTTCCTGGCGCATGCGCACGCCGGCCCCGTCCTTCATACCCTTCAGTGAGTCTGGAGAAGCAGAAATCGCGCTAGTTCTCTTCAGCTGGGTCCAGCACTGAGCACTTCGGAGGGAGTCTCTGTACAGCTCTTGGCTGACAAGTGTCCAGCCTCCGAGGTGGGAAAGGCCTGCTAGCATCCGGTTCAGCGTTCAACTCCCCCACCACACCCACAGGTAATCAGGCCTCAGTTTCCCCGGGGAACTCACTGCTGGAAGGGGATGAAGTGCTGCTTCTCCTCATCGTCCACCTTCCCGCGCACGATGTCAGTCACGTCCATCACTAGAGGGAGGGGAAATTCATGAGAGACACCCACTGCTGCACTGCCCACGAGCTAGGTAGCCATGGGGAGGCAGGGCCGCAGCCCTGGGACCTGCTGCATTCCCCAGCGTGCCCGGCCTGGCCTGGGAGGAAGGGGCCAGGATAGCCTCAGACCAACCCTGCCGGCCCACCGCCTCCTTACAAATTCTACAAGAAGCCAGGGGTGGTGGCGCAGGCCTGTAATCCAGCTACTCAGGAGACAAGAGACAAGGATGACCACCTGGTCAGCCCCAGCCAAGCTAATGAGCTCCTCCTGCCTCAGAACAGGAGAGCCCAGCTCAAGCAGCAGATCGGGTCCTGAGCCAGCACAGGGGCTGGGGTGCAGCTCCCACGAGATAAATAAATACAAAGTCTGCAAGGCCAAATGTTAAATTCTGGAGAAATAAGAAGCCAGCCATGGCTCCGTGTGGGTGTCAGCGTGTTTGAGACAGCGCCTCCCTACGCAGCGGGCAGGCTGAGCCTGCCATCTCCCTGCCCAGCCCCAGGGGCATCACTGAGCCTACAAGAAGAAATTGCCTTTTAATATGCAAAACCACAGGTAAAAATGGGTGGGGTTTTTTTTTGGCAGGACTGTTTGAAGAATGAAAGATCTGAAGAGGAATTCGGGGCCTGTGATGGTCATCCAGCAACTTCATTTGAGATCTTCTCACCTGGTTTATACACAGACCTGCCCAGGAATATCACGAAACCCATCCAGTGATTCCCCCCACCCCACCCCCAGTGCAGGGATTATCTGTATACTGATACTACTAGTCCTACTTAGAGATAAGGAAGCTAGAGAACTGAAAAGTTAAGTAACTTGTTAAGTTACTTGTTCTGAGTAGTAAGTTTTTTGATTTTGTTTTGTTTTTTAATGCTTGAACACAACACCTGGGCGCTGCCCCTGAGCTTTTTTGTTCAAGGTTAGTTCTTTATCACTTGAGCCACAGTTCCCCTTTTGGCTTTTTTGGTGGCTAATTGGAGATAAAAGTCTGACAGGCTTTTCTGTCTGGGCTGGCTTTGAACTGTGATCCTCATATCTCAGACTCCCAGGTAGCTAGGATTACAGGCATGAGCCACTGGCACCTGGCCTGTGAGTCATGCGTTTTAAGTGGTAAAGCCAGGGAATGAATCCAATTGTAAGCACAGACCTAAATCTCTCTCTTTCTCATACACACTCACTCACATGTACACATTCACTCACACGTACACATTCACACACACAGAGAAACAGAACATCAAAAGCCTCAAACTTAATGCTCTGAATCTCCTTTGCCTGTATTGAATGGTAATGACCTTGAGTGCGTTCCTTTTATAGAATAAAATCAATCTCTTCCCAGAGAATTAGTAAATGGGAGCTACAGGTTAATACATTACAGGCCGGCCATAAAACACACACTAATGACCACTTCCCTCACTTCCTGGCAGCTGGCTCAGAGAGGAGAGGAAAAGAAAGAGATGGAAGAGCGCCCCTCCCCCACGGAATGCAGACGGGCCACAAGGGATGGAGATGAGCCACAGAGGGGCCTGGGGCAGACGGGCAGGGGACGGGCAGGGGACAGGCGGGCAGGGGACGGGCAGGGGACAGGCGGGCAGGGGACGGGCAGGGGACAGGCGGGCAGGGGACGGGTGTCACAGCCACGAGGGATCCCTGAGTAAATGACAAAATACTGCGACTATTTTCAGGTGTGAGCCACGGGCACCAGCTCCCTGTCCTCCCTCCTCCCCTCCTCTGGAGACTTGAACTCAGGCCCTGGGCACCGTCCCCGAGCTTCTTTTACTCAAGGCTATCCTTGAGCACCACTTCCAGCTTTCTCTGTTTATATGGTACTGAGGAATGGAACCCAAGGCTTCATGCATGAAGGGGGCTGCATTCCAGCCCCTCTCTTCTTTTTTAAGGCCATATAATACGCGGTTCTCTGGCTGTACCATGGTGTATTTACTCATCTGCTGAGGGACATTTGGGTTGCCTGTGCCTCTTGGCTACTGTGAAGAATGCACACGTGGGCATGAGTCACACCTGCTCCATGTTCTCCTGGCTCTATGTCCTCATCTGGATTGCTAGAACGCACCATAGTCCCATATATGAACTTGGTGGGAGTTGCCAGACTACGGGCCATGGGGGCTGCGCCGGCCCGCACCGGCCCAGGCGGTCCCCGTACCTGCTACTCCGAAAGGCCTCCGCAGGCCGCAGGTGTGCTTCTTGCCCTCCTTCAGCTCCATGCGGCCCACGCGGACAATCTGGCACACGAGGCTGATGCGAGGCCGGATGAGGTCCGTGCTGCTGAGGTCCTGGGGTGGAAGAGAGGGAGTCCATGTCACCCTGTCCCCGTGTTGTTTTCCCCGGCAAGGAATCCTGCTCAGAGCACCCTGTGCCAGCTGCCTTCCCTGCTACACTGCCCTTCCCCAGTCCTGGCCAACGGCCATCGGGGCACATCCAAGAACTCTACTTTGTATTTACAGGAAAGAAGCGCCCTCTTCTTCTTCTTCCCCTGCTCCTACGGCAAGTTTCTGCAAGAATTCAACCTCAAGTATAGCAGGTTGGGAGGCTAGATTCAGTGGATCACAATTTGAGGCCAACTGGGGCAGAAATGTTCTCAGAACTCACTCTCAATTATCTTAGCTAAAATGGGAAGCCTAAAGGAGTCCCGAAGGTGGGCAGGAAATGAAACTCCTGTTCTCAAAAGCACGCAGCAAAAATGAGGACTGGAGACATGGCTCAGCAGCAGGAGCGCCCATCTAGCAAGTGTCAGGCCCGGAGTTCAAGCTCCAGTACTGCCATCAGTAACAGCAAAAACAACAAAAGTCAAGCCATTCGTTGTTACTGCCTTGTATCCATCCAGGACACATCTCAGCAGCAAATGACTTGAAGACTAACATAACATTAAGTTTGGGCATTCACACAAGCCTCCTGGAGGCCAGGGAGGTCCGGGTTGTGGTCATTCATCGGCTTTTTGAGAGGGTCCACGGAGCCTCTTGTGTGTGGATGTGAAGCAGAAAGCTCTGTCTTTTTTGTATTTGTAAAGATGAGAAAGGCCAGGACGGCTCCCCTCGCTCCTCCACTTAATGTCAGAAGTCATTTAAAGACATCTCACAATCCTCTCATGAAGCGGCAGCCCAGGTCCCCTTCCCCATCAAACGTCACTTTTCAAATTCGCACGCCTGGTCTATTCTCTGTAATTGAGTCAAGTCACTCAGACAGGAAGAGCAGCCTGTGATAACCGCCTTGCACAGGATGAAGGATAAACAAAGGCAGCCGTGGGGCGCACTGGCACCATGGGGAACATGGCCTACACAACTTGTGGGTAGGCATGGGAGGGAAAAACTGGGAGAGCGCGGGGGACGGGTGTCACTGTCCAAAAAGAAATGTTCTCTTACCAGATTTACATCACTGCAACCCCGCTGTACACCACGTGTGTATCACAATAAAAAGTTTCAAAAAAAGAAAATGAACTTGTCTTTCCAGGTTAATAATAATAATAATAACCACCTCCAGGCTGACTTTGTACTCTTATCTGCAGTTTCTGATAATGGAGAAATAAGGGCTCTAGGCAGCTTGGTATGTAAACAATAATGCACCGTTATTTCTAAATAATACGTAGACATTTATAAATGAAACTGTAGTTTTGTTGTTTTTTTTTTTAATGATTGCAGTAGGGTTTGAACTCAGGGCCTTAATGGTTACTAGGTAGGCATGCTACCGCTTGAGCCACATCCCCAGCCTTTCTTGCTTTCATTTTTTTTTTTTAGTTGGTTATGAGACTTGAACTCTGGGCCTGGGCGCTATCCCTCAGCTCTTCAGCTCAAGGCAAGTGCTCTACCACTTGAGCCACAGTGCCACTTCTGGTTTTCTGGTGGTTAACTGGAGATAAACAGTCTCACAGACTTTCCTGCCCAGGCTGGCTTTGAACCGCGACCCTTAGATCTCAGCCTCCTGAGTAGCTAGGATGACAGGTGTGAGCCACTGGCACCCAGCGCCTTCACTGCATAAATCCTCCACTTGTCTCCTCACCATTCATGATCTGTCTCTTACCCTGACAGGAATGACTCTAGAAGGCACATTCGGTTATTTTCTTGATGCGTTCAGGGCTGCCCATTAATTAGTGCCCAGCATCTAACAGGTGCTCTGCAAATACCTGCTGCACAAAATGACCGCCAAGGTGATTCCCACGCCCTTCCCACACTAACAAAACCACCAGAGGGACCGTGAGAGGGACTTACCGTGAACACTGCCTGGAGGTTATTGAGCTTCTCTATCTCTTTGGGCATGCCATTACTGCCCCAGCGAATCAAATAGTTCTCACTGGTGAAGAAAAGAGAACAGTCTTCCATGAGCCACTCTCAGAAAGAAGGGGCAGAGAGAGCCCACAGGCAGGTGTGAGGGAGGCCGGGTGAGGCCCCGGGTCCCAGACACAGAGGCCACCAACGTGGCGAGTTTCACAAGATTGGACTATCTGCAGTCTTGCCAGCTCATGTGCTCTGCACAGAAGCCTCAGCTCTGCTGAATGGAGAATTTCTAACCGCCATTCAGATCCACGCTGCCCGGCGCACACGTCGCTGGAGGAACACATGACGTATCAGTGACAACTCTGCACGCCTCCTTAGGGGTAGGGGGCGTCAGCTCCCAGGACAAACAACCTGCGCTTGTCATCAGAATCCAAGGCCACTGGGGACAACTCAGTCTAACTCTGGGGCATGCATCATGGCGCTCACACACCCGTGCAGTGTCACACAAGCTAGTGTCACTGCCCAGCAATGCTGGGTCCTACGTGAGCCACACCCCTACCCCTTGAGAAGTCTTTATCCTCATCTGCCTGTCACGTGCGTGACCCTCAACTCCCAGGAGGTACACCACCAACGCCGGCTGCTTGGTTTCACTGGTCACAGAAAAAGCCACAGAGCCCAGAGGACGTTCCCTGTGACTGTTCTTCTCCATCTCCCCCGCTCAGCCTGGCCAGGGCGGAGGCCGAGGCAGGTGGAGGCTGCTGTCATGGCCTGGGGGTGTGGGGGGCCACGCTACCTGATGAAGGTGGACCGGTCTGGGTCGTAGAGGGCCATGAGTAGCTCGGCATCCTCTCCGATGTTGCACACGAAGTTCTTGAAGTTCACATACAGGCCGTAGGTGTGGACCGTGCTGAAGTTGGCCTGGCCCCGCAGGCCCAGGCTCTGCAGGATGGACTGGATGGACAGAAAGAGAAGTCAGACACTGATGGCTCATGCCTGCAATCCCAGGTACCCTGGACGCTGGGATCTGAGGATAGCAGATTGAAGGCAGGATGGGAGGGAAGTCCATGAGACTCTCATCTCCAATAAACCACTAGAAAATCAGAAGTGGCTCAAGTAGAACGCTTGTCTTGAGCTGAAGAGCTCAGGGGACTGAGCCCATGCCCAGAGTTTAAGCCCCACAACCAACCCCCCCCCCAAAAAAAAAAAGAACCACCCTGCCCGGCTTGTCAATCCAGATGGGGTCTTGCTAACTTTTTGCCCAGCCGGCTTCAAACCATGATCTTCCTGCTGTCTTCCTCCCAGGGAAACAGGTTACAGATATCAGTGTCTAGCTGCCTGGTTCCATGTTTGCCCAAGAGAACACGAATGACTTTCTGGATGTTTCTATCTCTTCCATCAAAACTTTCCTTTCTTTTACTGAGTCTCAGCAGAACACTGGCTCCCGGTGTGCTACAATGTGCACGCTGGAGGGCGGGTACCTTTTCTTCTTGGATCTTCTCCTCGATCCGTTTGGAGGCCACTTCGTGGGCTTTGAAGAGAGCGATGGTGCTGGTTTCATCCGGGTCCAGGATGTTTCCGTTGTCATCTCGCACCACCAGATCCAGCCCAAGCATTCTGCGGGGAGCAGAGGGGCCCAGTGGGTCTCCTGCCCAGAGCACCCCGAGACTCAGAGAGGACAGGGAACCATTTGGCAATTCAATGGAAGAAGCTCCCCCTGATTTTTGTCCTTCTATCTCTTCCCTCCTTTCCAAGACACAATAAACCTTCACACGCACATGGCGACGGTGTCAGCCAGATTCATGTGTGAATATGCCAAGGAACAGAGTCAGTATACACAGAACTTTCCATGGGTTCTGACCCGAGTCAGTTAGACTAGGATTTGAACCTTGGCTAGGATACTTACTACCCTGCGACCCTTTCCCATGTAAAACTGTCCTCCCTTCCAAGGTCCCCGTGGGCACTTATTGAGCTAATGCACGCAAATCACCCAAGATACTACCGCAAATAAGTGAAGCACTCAATAAACGTTGGTGGTACAAGTTTTTCTTATAGCAGTGAGTTCAGCCATAGCTGTGTGTCCACACAGCAAGAAGGAGCCCAATGCCTGGCAACGCACGCTCCCTTCCAAGCCTCTTGTGCCCAGTGGCATATGAGTTCAAAAGACTGCTTGGTTCCAAGAATTGGGAGTGGGGTGGAAAAAGCACTCCATGTGCATTCCAGGCCCCCCTTACCTTGGAAGTGGGAGATGCAGACAGCAAGAACACAGGCAATCGTGGGAAAAAAAGGGGGGCAGGTCTTTGGGAAGAAAGCAAATATGTCTCCTTTCCTTCCTTCCCTGTCTTCCAGCCTCTCTATCTACCCCCTGGACCTGGAAGGTTCTTTTCCATGCCCACCAGACCCACAGGCCACCCAGACTCACGATGGATGACCGTGCCAGCTGCTCAGAGGTAGATTGCGGGTGAACTAACTGAGCGGCATTCTCTGGGCTGGGGGGCCACACGTGTGGCCGGGTGTGGGCTGGGGGCTCAGGGATTAGAGGAAATCTCTCTGCCTGTGGCGAGATCCCAGAAAACAGATGGAGTAGATGTGCAGGGGGCAGGGGAGAAGGGGAGGATTGGTTTACCATGGCTGGCTCTAAAATTGTTTTTAATTATTATCTCATTTTTTGTGCAGGTCCTAGGCCACACCATCCCTTAGCTTTTTCACTCAAGGCTGGTGTCCTGTCACTTGAAACACAGCTCTACATGTGGGCTTTTTGCTGGTGAATTGGGAAGAAAGGGTCTCACAGACTTTCTTGCCTGGGCTGGCCTCAAACCAAGATCCTCAGCCTCCTGAGCGGCTAGGATTACATGCATGAGCTGCTGGTGCCTGATAAGTAAAATTGTTCACAATGTTTCTTTTTTTAAACGTTGATTATGCACCATATCCTTAGCCAAGAAGGTGTTGGATGTTTTCTGGTCACCAAGTCGGGGTCTGGCCCTGATCTACCTGTTCCCAGCCCTGATCTACCTGTTCCCATGATCGATTTTGGCGGTGACTTTCTTCTTCAGCTCCGCCAGTTCATCCTTGGGCAGTGTCCCGGAGAGGATCTGGGAGCGCCACTCAATCAGGCTGTACGTCATCTGCTGCAGCTGGCGGAAGAGCGTGACCTTGTTGTTCTAAGACGGGAAAATGAGGGAGAGGTAGGGCAGAAAAAGGTAAAGATGGTGGGAGTATTTTCTCTGCATTTGTGGCGCTCTTAAATCACTACGTCACTAGGTAAGCTGGCATTTCTAGTGTTAGGTTCACAGCGATGACTGTCCCAACCCCCTTATTACACTCCTTCTGCAACTTATTTGTGTGTGCGTGCGTGTGTACTGGTCCTGGGGCTTGAATTCAGGGCTGAGGTGTTGTCCTTTAAGCTTTCTCATGCAAAGATGGTTCTCTACCACTTGAACCTCTACTCTGGCTTGTTGCTGGTTAATTGAAGAGTCTCACGGACTTTCTTTCCTAGGCTGGTACTTTGAGTTGTGATCTTCACATCTCAGCCTCGTGATTAGCTAGGATTACAGGCATGAACCACGGACACCTGGCTAGAATGTGTTATCACTTTTGAAAGATGTTAAATAAAAAGGTACAGCTATTTCCTACCAGCTACATATGACTCAAGTACTGTTTCCTTATTGGGAAGTAAAAGGCACTCCAATTACAGCGAAGACACAGCAGAAATGCTAGGAAAATGGCACGGATGCAAACACACACAGGTGTTGCTGATGGCCGCAAAGGCTGCCCCTAGTGGTGTGGTACGGTAATTTCAGGGACATGGATTCAGAGCTAAAATGGACTAGAAAGAAGGCCAAAACCAGCCAAGACAAGGTACTTGTGAACAAAGATCCAGCTATCAACGTAGAAGAGAAGCAGCGGGGGAAACAGTAGGGTAAGAAAAAAAAATCCTAACAGAAGTTCAAAGTTCCTGGGTGCACAGAAGAACAGGGAAGCGTCCATCTCTGTCCGCAGTGTACTCCACAAACTGCGGTGCTGAGAACGCAGAAGGCCAGCCTGTGTCCAGCTGCAGAGCTGCCTGCATTCATGTGCTTTAGCATTAGAAAAGAAGGAAAAGAGACATCGAAAGGTTATTATTAGGCCGGGCTCCTGTGGCTCACACCTATAATCCTAGCTACTCAGGAGGCTGAGATGTGAGGATTGACATTTGAAGCCAGCCCAGGCAGATAAGCCCAGGAGAGTCCTATTTCCAAGGAATTTCCAAGAAGCCAGAAGTAGAGCCGTGGCTCAAGTGGTAGAGTGCTAGCCTTGAGCAAAACAAAACAAAACAAAAATAAACAACAACAAAGCTCAGGGACAGCACTCAGGCCCTGAGTTCAAGCCCCAGGACTGGAAAAAAAAAAGACAATCATTAATAAGCTAATATAAAAACCTCTGCTTTTTCCATTTACTACAATATAAAATACAAAATATGTCTACTTTGTTGTCTTTCAAATTGGAAAAAGAAGAAATCAAGCCTATAGATTCTGTCTTCTTACTGGGCACCGGTGGCTCACACCTATAATCTAGCTACTCAGGAGATGGAGATCTTTCCCAGGCAGGAAAGTTCATGAGACTCTTATCCCCAATTAACCACCAAAAAGCCAGAAATGGAGCTGTGGTAGAGTGCCAGGTTTTGAGTGAAAAAGGTAAAAAAAGAGTGTGCCCAGGCCTTCAGTTTAAGCCCCAGTACACACACACACACACACACACACACACACACACACACACACACACACACACACACACACACACACACACACACACACACACACACACACACAGGATTTGTCCTGCAGAACTACCGAGTAAGAGACCCTCCCTCTCTCCCTCCCTCCCTCCCTTCCCTTCCTCCACTCCTCTCTTCCTTTTCTTCCTTTCCCCTCCCTCCATTTTCTCTCTCTCTTCCCCTCCTTCCCCTCCCCGCGTGCCCCCCCCCCCCACCTCCACTTGTGTAATAGTTAGGACTTTTTTAATGCTTTCCAATTTTAATGAAGATAAGACTTCTCTCCCTCTGGGAGGGGAGGAGCTCGAGGGCCAGACACCCATGCAGGGCTGCCTTGTTTGGCATCTATGTTCACAAGTTCTCAGTCTCAATTCTATCAGACATTATCCCTGGCAATTTCATAACTGCCTGACCAGTATCAGCCGCGTTTGCCAAGTTCTCCCCTCAACGGAGAATGAAGACAGTTATTCTTCTCCGACTTGCTGAGCCAAAGTAATTATGAACAGACAGGCTGGAACAGACCAAAGGAAGAATTTTCCCATTTACTCCGAGGAGAAAAATCTAGAAATCCCTGGTCATAGGAAGGCCAAGCTCCCCTGAGTCTTCTCTCCCTGCAGCCTTCTGCTGTGGTTTGGGTGTGGTCCCTCCCCGAAGCTCCAGGGTGGCAGTGTGGGGACGTGGCGGAAGCTTTAAGAGGCCAGCCCAGGGGAGGAAGTTAGGTCTTTGGGGCACTGCCCCTGAGGCAGTGTTGCTGGGCTCTTGGAGCAAGCATGGTTCCGGGCAGAGCAAGCCTGGGCCAGGAGGGGCTCTGCCTCACTCTGCCATCTCTTCTTCTCATACATTCTGTGGTCACAAGCCAGAACCATGATACAACAGCCACGAAGGCCCCCACAGAGAACAAGCAGATAGAGTTGCTTAACCTTCAACTTTCCGCCTTCGAAACTGTGAGCAACACAAATCTCTTCTCCTTATGAAGTCTCCAGCCTTAGGCATTTTGTTATAGCAGCAGAAAACAGACCAATACATTCTCCCTCCTTCCCCAGCCGGACCCTGCACAGCCCCGCCTCCCCTCAGCAGAGCCTATCCTCCGTTCCCTCTAATGTCCACCAGCTTAGGCTTTTCCACACTCACTGGGCACTATCACATCACCAAACAACTTCTTCGTCGCTCCTCTACTCGAAAAGCAACACAATCCTGGCATAGAGCAGGAACGCACTGATAGTTCCAGCTTCAGAAAACACTTGGGTTTTTCATTTGTGTGAGGAACAACTACACAAAATACAACAGCCTAGATGGGTTTTTTCAACCAGACACTGGAGGCATTCCTGCATTTATTTGCTCAGGTTCTCTCCCACTTTCTACCCACAGGTATCTGAGGCATCATTTAAATTATACATACATACATACGTACATATATATATATATATATATATATATATATATACATATATTCCTAGTGCTGATGGTTTTCTTTTGTTTTCTTCTCTTTTTTTCCAGATTTTTTTGGAGATGAAAACAAAGATATAAGAAAAAAAAAAAAAAACAGCTTTGTCAGGCACCAGTGGCTCACACCTACTCAGGAGGATTAGCTCTAAGGATCGTAGTTTGAGGCCAGTCTGGGCAGACAAATCTGTGAGACTTTTTTGTTGGTGGTGATGGTGGTCATGGGGCTTGAACAGGCTTGACAGGGCCTGGGCCCTGTCCCTGAGCTCTTTTGGTCAAGGCTAACGCTCTACCAGTTTGAGCTGCGGGTGCCACCTCTGGTTTTTGAGTGGTTAGAGATAATAGTCTCTTGGAGACTTTTCTGCTTGGGCTGGCTTCAAACTACAATCCTTAGATCTCAGCCTCCTAAGCAGCTAAGATTATAGGCCACTAGCGCCCAGCTCTGAGTCTCTTATCTCCAATTAATCACCAAAAAAAAAAAAACCCACCTAAAACGAAACAAAAACCCAGAAGTGGAGCTGTGGTTCAAGTCCTAGAGAGCTAGCCTTAAGCAGAAGATGCTCAGGGTCAGTGTCCATGCCCTGAGTTAAAACCCCAGGACTAGCACCATAAGAGAGAGGGGGGCAGAAAAAGAGGGGGGAAAGGAGGGAGGGAGGGGGGGTAGGGAGAGAAAGAGAGAGAACGCTCTGCCTTCTATACCGACAGGAACACAGAAGTCACCCAGAGAAATTCAGAGGCCATTGGGACAACGGTGCTGATTCTCTGGGTATCATGAAGCATGCGTCTCCTGCTCCCTTGCCCAAAGAATGTCCAGCACAGTCAGTGCCTTCGCTGGGGTCCTCCAGCTCCTCCTCCCCCAAAAGATCGGCCCTCTACTATTCCTCTCACACACAGATTTTATGATTCAGAAGGAAAAGTGAGACAGACATGAGGGCTTGGCTTCTCTCTCCCATTCTACCGTAAAGTTGCTCTGTGGCTTTGGCGCGGTGTTCCGGGAACGGCTTGCCTGTGAAATCAAGGCCCTGGCACTAAGATCATTCTCCAGAACAAGCGCCCTCAAGCCTGTGGCGGAGACGTTCCATGTATTAAAAAGAACTCCTGCCTGGCGATCTGGTGATCCGCTGTGTGTGGCAGGCCTCATTCCCCGAGGGCTCGTGCCTCCTCTCCCCTCTACGAAGCTTTGCAATAATCGCAGGGCTTTCCCACCAAACTGCCACACTCCTGGGGACCGGGGCACTGACCACCTGGCCTCACTTCCTACCCACCCAAAGGTGGAAAGCTACCTAAGTCAACTCTTCTCTGCGCCCATAAAAGTTCTGCCTGCCTTGCGCTGGTCTGACGTCTTTAAAATATAATTTTGTTATGAAATAATTTTAAACTATAAAGTCATGGTTAGTATTAAGGTGTTGTGCCGAGGAGTCAGTCAGGTGATGAGAACGCTTCTTATGGACGTCAGGTGGTGAGAACGCTTCTTATGGACGTCAGGTGATGAGAACGCTTCTTATGGACGTCAGGTGGTGAGAACGCTTCTTATGGACGTCAGGTGGTGAGAACGCTTCTTATGGACGTCAGGTGGTGAGAACGCTTCTTATGGACGTCAGGTGATGAGAACGTTTCTTATGGACGCCGCCGCCCCTCACACTTGGTTTTGCTCCACTTCCCTCCTACCACCCTGCCCACAAATTGCGTGGTTCATTCTCCACCTGGCGTCTGCTGAGGACCATGAATGCGTTCATTCACGCTTCCTCCCTCCCCTTCAGTGCCTTCCTCCGTCTCCCATAAAAAGGAAAAAAATAAACAACATGGTAAACAACATAAACAACACGACTACCATCAACAACAACAGCATAAATAACCCATGTTTTGTTTCATGGAATTCGTTTCGATAAACAGTAGTGGAAATGTTCAAGGGTGTTGTTACACCATGAGGTTCTTCCCCTACTGGTGTCTCCTTTGGTTTGACCATGTATGAAGGCCAAGTGTCCTGTATAAGTTACCATGTCTAGTTATATTTTAGGTCTGGCTTCCATACATGGGAAGATACATGCGTTTGTCTCTCTGAGCTTGGCTTCCCTCAACAAGTCTGATTTTTGAAGACTCTAAATGGAGGACCTTTTTTTTTTTTGCCTCCTGAAATAACTTGATAGAAAAATCAAGATTGGACAAATGCCCCAAATACTGCCCACGACACATCCCTGTCCCTGCCGGGCCACAGCCAGCCTCACTAGAGCCACTCAGAAGCGGGGCCTGCAACTCTCACATGGGACTTAAGAGGCTCCAGTGAGCCGGGGACACATGGTAAGTTATATAGGACTGCAGACTCTCACACACAGTGAGGCGGAAGGAGTGAGGCTCTCAGGGAAGGAAGACAGAGGTGCAAAGCCTGTGTGCCTCTGCTCAGACAAACCGATATTTACCACAATGAGCTCCAGGAAATGGAAACAAGAAGTTTTTTTTCTTGTTGCTGTTTGTTTTCTTACTGTCTTATTTGTTCCTTTATCTGTCTTTGGGAGTGCAAGGGGAGGACAAAGGATAAACAAACGCAGCAACGGTCCCCACTGGGCACTATGTTAAAAATGAACTATACAACTTGTGGGTGGGGCTGGGAAGGAAAAGCTGGGAGAGAGCGCAGGAAAGGAGAGGTGACAATGCCCAGAAGGAAATGCACTCTTTACCTGACTTCTGTCCATCACTTTTAGAAGAACAATAAAATTTAAATCTATCATCCTGAGCAATTTGAATTACAGGCTTGCAGGGAGGCAGGCCTGATTGTTTTTTTCCTGGAAAAAATAAAACTTGGTCCATCCCGGGACTTTCGTTAGACTACAGACTCCGCTACTAGCATCCCGAAGTGCGTTCTGTTTTGGTTTGTTTCTTTTCCGTCACTATTATTAGGTTTGTTATTCTGTCTGAATGTAAAAATATATACACAGTAAGGGAAGGAGCCAGAATGAAGAACCGGCTGGCCTGGCTGCTTCCGGTGCCCACAGTCCTGGCACGTGAGCCGGGACCCTACTAACCCCTTCCCGACTGACCACTGCACACACCCCGCCACTGGCTCCCATTGAGAAGCGGCAGTGGAGGCAAAGCGCTCCAGAAACTGCTATGAATATCCTCTCTGCCTGAGAAAGGGCCCGGCCTCCTGGACTTGAACCGAAGCCAAGAAGGCTCCCTGTGGGTGGTGGAACAGCCTGTAACTGTCCACTCAAGGCCACTTCTGGGCAGCAACGGGCAGCGTGAGAGGAAAGCCACGAACCAAGGCTGCCCAGAGGGAGGACATCCAAGGAGGCCGAGACGGTGGCAAGAATCCCAAGCTGGCTTCTGCAGAGACCTTGACAGTCTGCCTGCAGGGCCCGTTCAAAGCCACCGTCTTCCTGTCCTCACAGCTCGGTGCTGTCCACAAGGGAGCTTCGGCCTTACGGACAGGGGCCGAATGCAGCAACGGCTTAGTCTTCAAGTGACTTACTTAAGACCCCAGAGCAGGTTAGGAGAGAGTCCGCTTGCGTAACCCAGCATCCTAATTTCTAGGCCAGGGTCTTGCTCCCCAAAGCATGAGGCCAACATCCACGGGGCGAGGTAATAAGGCAATATCATAATGCAGACGGTTGTTGAAGGAAGAGGGCTAAGATGGGTGGTAGGGGGCGCCATTGTCCTCTTGCTCCTTTGGGAAGCAGGTCCCCTTTCTTTGGTGGGCGCGTCCCTCCCCTTATAAAGATAAAGGTATAGCGACTGCACAGGATTCCTTAAGAACTGTTCAAACCAGCTAGACAATTCGCTTTCCTTTCTAGAGTAACCCCCAGAGTCTACAGGACTGTATCTGGTCAGCAGACTGTATTTTCCTGCAATCAACTTAAGACTGGAAAGAATAGAATGATGAACTTGTGATTTCTGCCCTCTATCTAGCCTGAGGGTAATTTTATACAGTTGTTTTTTTTTTTTTTGGTTGGTCGTATGTCTTGAACTGTGGGCCTGGACACTGTCCTTTGGCTCTTCAACTCAAGGTGGACGCTCTACCACTTGAGCCACAGCGCCACTTCCGGTTTTCTGGTGGTTAATTGGAGATAAGAGTCTCAGCCTGTCCAGGCTGGCTTGGGACCACGATCCTCACATCTCAGTATCCTGAGTAGCTAGGATTATAGGCGTGAGCCACCAGCGCTCGGCTTACACTCTTTGAAATAATCTTGCTTATGAAATCAACACCCCACTCTTGGGTCAGGGGTGCTATCTCTCAGGCCTCCGTTTCAGATGTTGGAGCATCTTGGATTAGGGGCTTCCGGATGAGGGTTGGCGTGGTTTGGGTACAAGGTGGTTTGGGTTTGTCTCCCGTGGGTCTTGTGTGGTGCTGGAAGTCTGGCCGTAGCCAGCAGCTGTGAAGAGGTGGTGGGAGCGTTCAGCGCTGGGCCCAGTGGAGCTCACGGAGGGTTTGCCCTTGGAAGTGGCTTTCTGGAGATTCTGCCTATTCACCCTGAGAGGCTGCTGTACAGTGAGGCCTTTGTCTGTGCTCTGGTTTGTGCCTGCTTGTTCTTTCTCTCACCTGAGCTGTACACAGGGTGATGCCACCCCCCCACGATGCGCTCACCAGAGCCTGCTGTTCTATATAACTTACCCAGCTTCAGGTATTTCATTATTGCAGGAAACAGACAATGCAGGGGAGGGGGGAGAGGGAGGGCCAGTGAGCCTGTGACTGCCTAACACATTTTGTCACTCAGTGATCTCCGGCCAGAGCACAGTAAGGAAACCACATCCATGCAATTCCCATCCATCAACCCGGTAGTGTCTCTCACCAACCAGTCAATTAACCAGAGCTGCAGAGTGCTTTTGGTAAATCAGTGCCGGGTGATCAATGCAGGCCCCTGGGCTGACAGTAGCCTCTCCACCACCCAGAGCTGATGATGTAGGAAGTCAAAGGCAGATCTCTCATCAACCACAACTAAAGAGCTCAAAAGAGTACCTTTGTTGTCAGGCCCGAGGCCCCAGGGGGAGGCTACCGGCTGAGCGGTGAGTGACAGCCCACAAGGAGACATTATGGGTTGGTGTGTTTAGAAGACAGGATGCAGAGAGCGAGAGGATGGAGCAGGCTTCTGAATGGAAAGGACTGGTGATTCTACTTCTGTGAAGTAGAATCTGTGAAGTAGAATCATGTGAGCAATATCCCCGAGTGGAAATCAAACATGCCAAGCGGACTCCTCCGGAGGACTTCTGCGGGAATGAGCTTTGTTACCGCTTCCCCGACTCAGTCTGCCGTGGAATGTTCCCGGGAGCTGGCTAAGACTGCTTTTGGAGAGTTAAAAATGAAGAATCAACCCAGGCACCGACGGCTCACACCTGTCATCCTCGCTCCTCAGGAGGCTGAGATCTGAGGATCATGGTTCAAAGCCAGCCTGGGCAGGAAAGTCCATGAGACTCTTATCTCCCATTAATTAGCAAAGAGATGGAAGTGGAGCTGTGGCTCGAGTGGGAGAGTTCTAGCCTAGAGCAAAAAACCTCAGGGGAAACACATAGACCCTGAGTTCAAGCTCCAGGAGAGCCACAAAATGAATACATAAACAAAGAATGTCATCCCCGGTGGCTGAGCGGTGGGAGTTTGTGGGTTCCTATCCACTGGTCCACATAAGAGCGCATTAACAGTAAGTCTCCCGGGTTTCTTAGTGACACATTACTACTTATCATTACAGCTACTTAATAGGAGTGCAGAGGATTCATAACAGGGCACTCGGGAAGGTGCTAACCGCTCCCATTAATACTTTCACAAGCAGCACACTTATCCATGGAGAAAACTGGAGAACGATTACACTCCCCTCCACCACCTCCTCTCAACGACCCGACATTGGAGAAAACTAGAATCAGCTGCTTGACAGCCATTCTGTGGTCCAGGAAGATGTTACCCACTCTGGAGAGAGAGAGAGTTAACAAGGGACCAACGTCCCGGAGAGGTCAGCTTGGAGCCTCAGGCATGCGCCATGGCCAGTTCGAAGCCAGGAGGAGACTCACCACATAGAGCTTGCGCCAGATGACGGCCCATTCTCGCAGAGTGCACGTGAGCTCCTGCACCAGCGGCAGCTCCCCGGGAATCACGGTCTCGTGCTGCCTGCAGAGAACCAATCAGAGGCTTGCTTTACTATGAGTGACAGTTGCTTTTCTCCACCAGCCTCCTCCCTCTGACCCTCAAAGGGGTGTGCTCTGGCTGGAAAGAGAGCAAACCAATGTGCACATGGTGAGGTGCATCATGTCCTGTAGAGGAATCTCCATCACATCTGCGCAGCAGAGAAAAGAGGGGCTTAGGACCACACAATCCTCGGACTCAACCTGGCTTCTGCCATGGCATGGGTGAGCCCGCCTCCACTTCTCCACCTCGGTTCTCTCTGGGAGCCTTCAATGACCAAACCAGGCTCGGGAACGAAAGGTACCTGAGCTGGAAGGATGGGTGAAGAGGCATGCCTGGCACCCCTATGCGGACTTATTGTCTAGAATGGACTGGGTCTTCTTCTCCGGGACTTCCCAACAGAGGAAATGTGGACAGACATATCAAAATCCTCACTCAGTCCCTGGGCACTGTGCTCATTCACATAAATCATCTCTGACATGTCGACGATGAGCAAAAGGAGAGAGCGAGAGAGCGAGTGGCCAAATGCAAAGATAGGACTGAAGGCTTGACACATGGGATGCCCAGGGAAGTGTGAATTGCAGGTAGAGTAAGGGAGTGAGAGTGGAAATGACCCGTCATGCACCAGGGGTGTGTTGACTGTGGAAAATGACAGACAGACCCTGACTTAGGATGGTGTGATTTATGAATTGAAAAGGATGAAACCCCAGGTAAAGCAGAGGAGTACGTGTCTTGTTATCGGGGGGGGGGGGGGGGGGGGGTGTAACTGGACAGCCTTCCATTCCTCTAGTTGAAAGCGGCACAGGAATGGCCACTGGGGGCAGACTTCTCTCAGGGGAGGAGATCTAGCTCTTAGTTTTAGTTCTGCCATGGAAGGGCTACGTGAACCAGAGCACGTCTCCATCTCTGATCTTACAATGAGGGCTTGGAGCTCAGCACCAGGAATGCTCTTGCTAGCTTTTGTGATTGCATGACTGTGGGCGCCAGCTGTCCATGCTTCGAGCCCCAAAGAGATCCGTTCCTCCTTCTTTGCATTGTCTCTTTCAATCTCTTGCCTTGAGACTCATGAGTTCTGATGCCTGTCTCAGCCTTCTCAGCAGCAGCAGTAAGTACTTCCCCAGAGAAAGGACACAGGCCAGAAATGAGAACAGCAGAAACGCAATAGATTTTTCTCCATCAAGCCCATCCACCATTTCCTGGAACTTCCCATCAAGCTCATGGACGGTGCAGGGAAGCTTGGCGAACGTTCCTTGATGTAGAGTGAAAATTCCAACACTCAGGGAATGCTGGGAGAGGAGCGAAAGCCCTCACTCAGTTCATGACTGCTGTCTTCATATTCTGAGAAAGGATGCCAGCGAGGAAGACAGAAGGAGAAGACAGAAGAGGGAATCCCACCAGGAAAAATGCTTTCCATCATTTCTCTCTCTGAGAAGTAGCCAATGAGGGGAGAGAAACACTCTTGGGTCTAAGGCATTCTTCAATCACTTCTTCTCTCTGTCTGACCAGGACTCAAATTCTCTAATCCACTTCAATGACTTCTAAGGAACTTACCCCCGGTCTTCCACAGTGGCCTCCTTCAAATGGATGTACGTTTCAGGGAAAATGCCCTAGAGACAGAAGAACTTTGTTTAGAGAGCCTCAAGTCAAGAACATCACCCAGCAAGAAAGACAGGGGACGGTCCACAGAACATTTTTTCCAGCGGGTTGGCAGGATGTCAGTTCCCTTGACTGACTTTCTTCAAGAGTGCGTAACGACAACACTGGGAAGGGAGAAATGAAGGTTCGGGTTCGGAGTGCACAGGATGCTTGGGAAATGGGGTGGAAAGGCCTCTGTCGCGTTTGAGAGCAAGCTCCCGGAGCCCCTCCCTCCCCGCACACCTGTCACGTGCTGTGCATTAAAGCATCTCACATCACGAGAGGGACGGACAGCCACGGAGCCCTCGATAGCCCACAGAATCATCACTGTTTTCTAAAATGATTCCAGTCCTAATATTCAATGTCCATATGTGAAAACAGAACTAGGTAACTGAGGGGATGGATGGGGTTGGGAGAGATGGGGGAGATTGAGGGGAGGGGTGACACTGGTCAAAATGCATTGTATTCATAAACTGGTATGTCAGAATGAAAACCCTTTGTACTACATATATAGCCAGTCTGGGGCTTAAACTCAGGTCTCGGCAACATCCCTGGGTTTCTTTTGCTCAAGGCTAACGCTCTACCACTTGAGCCACAGCACCACTTCCAGCTTTTTCTTTGTATGTGGTACTGAGGAATCAAATCCAGGGCTTTATGCACTCTAGGCAAGCCCTCTACCACTAAGCCACCTTCCCAGCCCTTAAACATAATTATAAAAGTGAAATGAAAACAATTCACCTCACACCGTCACCTCACGCAGTGCACCCAGATCGATGAGCACAGCACACTGGCCATCTCCAGCACGTCCCCGTCCCTGCGAATTCTAACACCCCACAGCCCGGATAATGTGGCCCAGCCATGGAACTGCCAGGGAACAGCCCAGGATGGCGCCCAGCACAGATGGCAAGCAACCCGCGTGAGCCCTTGTAAAAAGCTCTGTTTTACTGGGTGACGCACCCAGGACCCAGGGCAGAAGATGACCTTGGTGGAGGGTACCGCTGACCTTCACTTGGGCAGAGCTGACCCACCAGGCAGAGGTCCTTGCCTACCAGGCACCCAGCTCAGCGGCCCCTGGGTCAACGAGTGAGGTCTGTGGACATCACCTGTCCAGGTGGCAAGATGGGGTGACATCCCACTGCTCAGAGCACCATGACTCAAGATGTGTGCACACGCCATCATCCTTAATGGGGAGAGAGGTCGGTGAGTGTCAGCAGCGGTTGCCGTGTCCAGCTTCATGCCCTATGCCTGTCTGGACCATGCTGTCTTTGCTTCCTTTTATCCACCACCACCAACACAGGAAGCAGCAAGAACACCAGGATTAAGCTGCTGCGGGCAAGAGGCTGACAGGGGGATCCTGCCACCGCAGTGGACCTCAGTTAAATCCACATCCTCACCTTCTTGGGTGCACAAAGGGAAGGTTGGGGAGGATGCAGGAGTGAGAGGCGTTACTCTGCCTTGCCGTTGATAGGACCTAGAGCATGCACACAGATGAGGTGACCCTGAGCTCTCTCCTTACAGACCCAGCATGCAGTGATTCAGGAAGACCACGGATCAAGCATACACCACAGCAAAAACTGGGGGACGCATCCAATGTTTTGAGCCTGACTTCTGTAGTCCTGTGGCTCTCATCTGTCCACAGGACACTGCAGGTAGGGTGGGCGCTGCTCCTGACGCTGAGCTGAGGCCCGTGTTTGCTGATGGTGGTTTCTATGGAAACTGGGACTTGGGTGTCCACAGCTGCTCTCGGGGACATGATGCTGAGTAGAATATACCAGTGACAAAAGGACTTCAATGAGGCCAGCCCCATCTACAGGAAGAATGGGTGTTCGCAGGGCCTGGGGCAGGGGGTGAGGACTCAGGGTTTAATGTACGGTTTGGTTGGGAAAACGGACAGGATCTGGATGGAGAGGGTGATGTGGCGGCGTGACAGGACAAACAGGCTAAATGTCACAGAACTTAACACATACGATGGCCCACTCTGCGCCATGTGTTCTTAAATCACAATTTGAAAAAAAAAATTCCATAATTTGTAAAAAAAAAAGAGGGGGGGGAGGAAATCCAGGTAGAAATGAACTTCTTAAAGTAGCAATCATTAGCTTAAAATAAGTTAGAACACAGGGCTGGAGGTATAGCTCAGTGGTAGAGCACATTCCCACCATGCACAAGGCCCTAGGTTCGATCCCCACCACCCAAAGACACGCAAACAAAAGCACACCAACAACCAAAAGAAAAAAGAGGGGCTGGGAAGGTGGCTCAGTGGTAGAGCGCTTGCCTTGCATGCATGAGGCCCTGGGTTGGATTCCTCAGCACCACATAAGCAAAAAGAAAAAAGCCGGAAGTGGCGCTGTGGCTCAAGTGGTAGAGCGCTAGCCTTGAGCTGAAGACCTGAGGGACAGCACCCAGGCCCAGAGTTCAGGCTCCACGACCGAACCCCCCCCCCAAAAAAAAGAAAAAGGAGGTGACATTGATTTTCCAAAAGTCTGTACTTGCAGTAGGTTTTTCAAATCAAGAAGGCAAAGGACTGGGCTGGAGGTATGACTTAAGTGGTCCTAGCAAGTGCAAGGCCCTGAGTTCAATCCCAGTACCTCAAAGAAAAGGTTGCTCCCATTAGGAGATACCCCACTAGAAGACAAAGTACTCAAATTATAAACTGACCGTGATTTTATGTGACAGCTAAGCTAATCCTCAGCAGATAGTTGACACTGAGGAAGTTCATATGGAGAGGATATTCATTTTCAATATGATATTCATTTTTAGTGTCACTTGTATGTATCATCGGAACCTCTGGCACTTGATCATTTGTAAGGCATTTATCACTCAGATAAATGTGATGCTGGTAGAATGTTTCCTCACCAGCCTGGGTTCAGGGTTGTGATTGACAGCATATCTCAATTCTGCTTTTCCTTCCTCAATGGAACCTACTCACATGAATTAAAAAATAAACCAACAATGAATTTCTAGATGCTGACCTTATCCACACTCCCGTAACTCTGCCAGGATCAATAATCAGTGTCTTCAAAGCTCTTGGCTTATTGAATTTGGAAAGCCACAAGGTCCTTTTATCATCAGCTAAGTAGCTAGGCTGGCTTACAAATGACACCAAAAATTTCCATTAAGACAACAGGCCTTTCAACGCGCTCTTCCCCAAAGACTGGAAAGGAAGGGACAGAGGCTGAGGACAGTGCTGGATTTCTTAACCAAGGGGTGTCAAGACCTGAGAATCATTCACCACCACTGACCTTGGATTCTACCTACTTTTCTTAGATCTCTCCACAAGAAAGACCTTTCAACTTATAAAGCAAAGAAACAAAAAGAAATATCAGCGTCCAGGCGTTAGTATCTTCATCTCATTGTATTATGGGAAATCCTTTAACTACTGAAATATGTCTTCTCCAAGGTGAAGCTTCAAGCCTACAGAAATGTTTTAAGAAGTCTTCCTTGAATACAAAAATATTTAAGTCACACCCAGAGCTCATTTGCACGCTAGGGGTGTCTACCTGTCTAGCTTTCTGAGCTGGGAGATTTGGATGCATGAGGAAGTGTCAGAATGCTTTGGAACTGGAGACTGTCCATGCTGGAAAAATTCTTACGGACCAAGTATGGAGTGTAAGAAGACAACAGGTTGGAAGACCTGGTTTCTTCATTATGAATCATAAGGTTTTGTCTGAGAATGTTTTTCTTTAACTTTAAAAATAGATTGAGATATTAAGTGGCCTGAATATTCTTCCTCTTCCATAAACGTGAAACAACAAAGTGACTAACTCTTAGTGTACTTGGAAATAATTGCCACTTCTGCAATTGTCAGTGAAAGAAACGCTAATGGGGTTCAACCCTATCCTTAGCAGGTGCCCTGAAGCTTTATTTGCCTCAGGCTCACGCCTGTAATCCTAGCTACTCAAGTGGCTGAGATCTGAGGATCGTGGTTTGAAGCCAGCCGGGGCAGGAAAGTCCATGAGACTCTTATCTCCAATTAACCACCAGAAAACTGGAAGTGGTGCTGTGGCTCAAGTGGTAGAGCACTAGCCTTGGGCTGAAGAGCTCAGGGACAGTGACCAGGCCCAGAGTTCAGGCCCCAGGGTCATCATCATCAACAACACTGACTCCTCCCGTGAACCCACAAGGTAACTGAAAGCAGGGTAACAGCCAGGCATGCTGGCCTCTGTGTCCTGTGTCCCCTGTAGAGCCTTTCTCTACGGCAGTCACTTTGCAGCCATCTTAGAATACAGGAAGGAAGCCAGGTGCCAGTGGCTCACACCTGTAACCCTAGCTACTCAGGAAGCTGAGCTCTGAGGACTGCAGCCCGGGCAGGAAAGTCCATGAGACTGTTATCTCCAATGAAAACGAGAAGTGGCGCTGTGGCTCGAAGTGGTAGAGTGCTAGCCTTGAGTGGAAAAAGCTCAGGGACAGCGCCCAGGCCCTGAATTCAAGCCCTATAATGGACACAAAAAAACAAAACCTCCAGGAAGGACCTGAGAGTCAGTAGATACCTGCCAGCTGTCGGTGACTCACTGTATCAAGGCCCCACCTGATAAGCTGAGACAATGGACACTTACCACCTTTGACGTCACCTCTAGACAGGCCTGGGACTGGAACTGTTTAACTATGCATGCTTTTCACCCCTGGCCCTAATTCTTAGTCTTTTTTTTTTCTCAAATATATCACCCTACCACTTGAGCCGCAGCCCCACTTCTAGCTTTTTGGTGATTAATTGGAGCTAAGAGTCTCTTGGATTTTCCTACCAGGCTGGCTTTGAACTGCAATCCTTAGTTCTCAGCCTCCTGAGTATTAGTCCTGATTTCTCGGGGTCTCTCTCATGTGGGAAGGTGGTTCGGGGGCCTTGTGCTCATTTGCAGGTCACGTGGCCAACTTCGGCCAGCTTCCACGGTATTCTAGCTCACAATCTTTTATCCCTTCTCCCCCCTCTGGATTAAAAAAAATAATAATAAAATGTTTCTCTCCTTTCTAGTTGGTGTTTGAGCTAATGGTGAAACAGTAAGTCCTGATCAATTTGGTTCTTTCCAAAGAAAGTGCTGACACAAGAGGCTGCCCTGGAGAGCCGGGCCCCATCAAAGGAAAAGCGCTGACAGGGCCAAAAAGAAACCGAGGGGCAGTGCCGCAGCCAAGACTTGCTTTGGCTTGATGGTTAGTAGCTTTGACACGGGAAAGACAAACCGTCTGGCTCAGTAGCTTTTAAACTCTGCCCAGGGTAAAGAGAAAGAGACATTGCTATGGATAGGCCATCACACCAAATACGTGAAACGTAACAGAATCAGATGCATAAAACATAATTTAAAAATGAGTGAAGTCCACGTAAATGTCCACGTGTTTTGAAACAGTCCTTACCACGGCGCTGCATTTGCTCCTTTCAGTCTCATTTTCTGTCACATACCTACACATATATTGACTCCTGAATGTATTATGGGGGTGGGGGTGGGGCTAAGTTTGAAAACCTCTGCTCTGATTTGTCCATCTGATGAAAAAAGGAACCAATCAGGGGCCACAGGGACAGTGCTCAGCAAGGGCACTTAATATGGGAAGTAAAGGCAATGGGGAGAAGAACGCGTTCCCACCTTGCTCAGCTTCAGGGACAGGGAACAAGAAGTCATCCAGAAATCAGGCGCTGGTGGCTCATGCCTGTAATCCTAGCTACTCAGGAAGCTGAGATCTGAGGACCCAGGTTCAAAGCCACCTGTGCAAGAAATTCTTTGAAACTCTTATTTCCAATTAACTTCAAAAAATAAAAAAAGAAAGAATGAAAGTGAAGCAAAGCTTTGGCAGTAGAGCCTTGGCTCAAGTGGTAGAGCACTAGCCTTGAGCAAAAAAAGCTCAGGGACGGTGCCCAAACCCCAGAACCAACACAGACATTCATTTCCTTGAATTGGGAAAACGCAGAGAGGTTTATTACATCATTACTCTTGAGCACCAAAGTCTGAGAATTGACTTTCAAAGCAAAGAAAAAGCCAACCAAAGAGAAAAGATGCCAGATCTAGACAGCACAGATATCAGGATCTGATAGCTTTTAACACAAAATAAGTAGAGCTCAGACAAAACTTGAAACTTGAAATAAGCCATACCTTTTTAGATTTATTCTGGAGAGTATATCCTCTGTACCAACCTGTAATGGAATAAGAAAACACAAAACATTATACTTTCTGGTATAACATAGACACATTTCCACTATATATTCTCTTGTACCAGCACTTGTGAGACAATTCGCAGACAATGTATTAGAAGACAGTCAGGTTCATTGTACACCATGATCTATTTTACAACTGTTTTTGTTTTGGTTGGTCATGGGGCTTGAACTCCGGGCCTGGGAGTTGTCCCTGAGCTCTTCAGCTCAAGGCGAGGGCTCTACACTTGAGCCACAGCTCCCCTTCTGATTTTTTGGTGGTTTATTGGAGATAAGAGTCTCCAGATTTTCCTGTCTGGGCTGACTTTGAATCATGATCCTCCGATCTCAGCCTCGTGAGTAGCTAGGATTACAGGCAATAACTACTGGGTCCTCCGGCTTACAACTGTTTTTTGTTGGTGGTGGTGGTTGTGTGGCTTGAACTCAGGGCCCAGGTGATGTCCCTGAGCTCTTTTGCTCAAGGCTAGTGCTCTACCACTTTGAGCCACAATGCTACTTTCATTTTCTGGTGATTAACTATAGATAAGAGTCCCATGGACTTTCCTGCCCCAGGTTGGCTTTGAACTGCAATCCTCACATCTCAGCCTCAGTAGCTAGGATTACAGTTGTGAGCCAGTTTTTCTTTTTTCTTGCTTGCTTGCTGGTAGTACAGCTTGAAGCTTAAGTCATCTGCCAATACCATTTTACAATTCTCTTGCAATTTGTTCTCTACAAAATCAACCAGCAAAGCTGGGCACAGTGGCTCATCCCTGTAATCCTAGCAACTTAGGGGGCTGAGAACTGAAGATACCAGTTCAACACCAGTCAGAGCAGGAAAGTCCGTGAGACTCTTACCTCCAATTAACCATAAAAAGCCACAAGTGGAGCTATGGTTCAAGTGGTATAGCATCAGCCTTGAGCTCAAAAATCCCTCAGGGACAGTGCCAGTGTTATAAGAGAGGTCCACTAGACCCATATCCTGGCCAGGCCTTGGCCAGAGGTTAATCTGGTAATGTTAGCCGTTCTCCTGAGTGGTTGTAGCATCCAAGAATGTCTTATCTACATGTAGTCATCCTACGGACGTGAAGTAGACTAGGCAGGGGAAACTATCAGTCATAATAGAGGTAGGAACAGTGGTTGTAAAATAAGGGAAGTAGTGGTAGAATGCTTGCCTTGCATGTATGAGGCCCTGAGTTGGATTTCTCAGCACCACATAAGCAGAAAAAGCTGGAAGTGGCGCTGTGGCTCAAGTGGAAGAGTGCTGGCTTTAAGCTGAAGAGCTGAGGGGCAGCACCCAGGCCCCACCACCGACCAAAAAGAAAAGAATAAGAAATTACTAGGGAATGAATATTAACTCCATCAAGTAACTGCCTCAGAGCCACTGGGCTACATCCTTCAAATCCAGCTGTTGGAAATTGCCTCTGGGGCAAGTTGGAGTCAGGTGTGAAAAATCACAGAGCTGATTCTCCATCACTCTCCTCTCCTTAGACACTTAACTCATCTCCATTACCCACCTCGTGTTCCCAGACCCGCTTTAAAGGAGCTGTTGCCATTTGTAAAAGTTCCGCGCAGCAATCTGAGATCCATTTAGTCAGTGAACTCACATTCCAACAGACCCAAGGAAAGCAAACCACACACAACATGGTGAAGTCCCAAACCTTCCTCTATCCTGGGAAGGGAAACGATCCACACGGAGAAACAAACAAACCAAATTTCACACAGGGCTAACAGGAAGAATGAAAGAGGACAAGGGGAAGTCCGGCTTGTGGGGGGCAGGGCTAGAAGACCCTCACTGGGGAGACCCACGGGGGGTGAGGGGGGGTTGAGGGAGAGATTTACATGATTAATATGGCAATTCATTCATTAAATATAAAACCCCTATTGAATGGAAGCATCAGGCACTGTCTTCACGGAGGAAGGAAACAGATGCATCAACAGGTCACTAGATACACAAGCGACTTTAGTGGAACTGACTGGTGATTGGGGAATCAGCAGCAATAAGTTGGGGGGGGGGGAAAGGCTCACTGAAGGCTTGCCCAACAAGAAAAGCATCATTTGCAGTGCAAGTTATGGGGTGGTCTGTAAAAACAGTCTTCATCCTCGCATCACAAGTGAAATCCGGCCCCCACGTACACATATAAAAGATCTGGAAGTTCTGTGTATCCTTCTAGGAATTAAAGACCAGAAGCCAAGCGGAAGCTGGGCTGTCAGAGAAGCACCTGGGGACCAGGGGTCCACAGAGGAGGAGCAGGTGCGAAATCCTGTTGTTTTTCTCCCCTTAAGTGTCCTGGTCTGGTAACTTAATTAGGCCAAGGTCAGAGGTTGCCTCTCCTGGGGCCAGGTAAAGCAGTCAGGTTTCCCAGGGCAGAGGGGGGGGCCCCAGGGCCCTGGGAACTAGGCTTCAGCAGGACTGGTTCATCTGCAATCCTCTCTATTGGAAAACAAAACAAAACAAAACAACACAACACCCGCAGCCCCTCCTAAACACACGTGGGGCCCTCACCTTGGGCTTTTGAAAATTAACTCCAAGGCAGGAAGTCAAGGGATGAAGATGGTGAAAGATAATTGTAATTTTCTTGCACCCTTTTTCTTGAAATGAATCAGTCAGGCTAATTATCTCAAATAGTGTGCACTAGTGACAAGCAGGTGGGACTCCAGAGAAACTTTTGACTTTTTAGTCGGTCATGGGGCTTGAACTCTGGGCCTGCGCGCTGTCCCTCAGCCCAAGGCTAGTACTCTACCACTTGAGCCACAGTGCCACTTCTGGTTTTCTGGTGGTTTGTTGGAGATAAGAGTCTCAATGACCTTCCTGCCCAGGCTGGCTTTGAACTGTGATCCTCAGATCTCGGCCTCCTGAGTAGCTGGGATGACAGACATGCGCCATAGACCCCCCCACCTGAAAGTCTTTTTTGACTTTGGAAAGCACTGAAATCTGACACCATGACTAAAAAATAAAAGTAAAACTATCCCTAGATGTGAGGACTTGCACCTGTAATTCTAGCTACTTAGAAAGATTTTAGTTTGAGGCGGCTCACACAAACATCTAACAAGCCCTCATCTCAACCAATAAGCCAGACATGGTGTCATCTCAACTACCTGGGAGGCTACAGGTAGGAGGATAATGGTCAGAGGCCAGATCTGGGCAAAAATTGAAAGACCCTACCTGAAGGACAAACAACAAAAAGGGCAAAGGCATGGTTCAAGGGCTGGAATGCTTGCCTAAGCAAGTACAAGGCCTAGTTTCAAGGCCCAGTACTGCAGAAGGACCAGAAGGGAACTGGGAAGCAACTGATTGGCTGCCGAGGCTGGAGGTCTTGGCTCCTTCCCTTGCACTGAGTGAATCAGGCCCAGGCCTCAACGGCCACAGACCTCCCTCAGCACACAGCCTCCGCGTGCAGTGAACTTGGCCTCCAGATCCTAGGAGCCTGCTATGCAAGTGGATCTCCTGAGTGGGAAAAACAGGAAGGTGTGGGTGAGGATGGGATGGGAGGGAAAAACTGGGAGAGAGCAAGGGCAGGGTAACACTGTCCAAAAAGAAATGCACTCTTTACCTGATTTATGTAACTATAAGCCCTTTGTGCATCACCTTTATAGTAACAATAAAAAAATTAAATGTTAAAAAATGACTGTTTTTAACCTTCAGTTTGCATACAGCAGGCCTCAAAATACACACACACACACACACACACACACACACACACACACACACACACACACACGAGTCAGTCCTGGGGCTTTAATCCAGGGACTCCGTGCTGTCCCTCAGCTTTCTCACTCATGATTGGAGCTCTACTATTTGAGCCACACCTCCCCTTCTAGCTTTTTGCAGGTTACTTGAAGATTAAGAATCTCATAAACTTTCCTGCCCAAGCTGGCTTCAAATTATGACCCTCGGAGCCCGATCCAGTGTCTAGGATTACAGGAGTGAGTCGCCAGTGTCCGGCTCCATAAACATTGGATGGGATAGTCACTCACGAGGAAGGTCTCTGTAAGTCCCTGTGATGCACTGATCAGCCGGCTTTAGGGAACACACAGTGAACTTTGTGACACAGGAGTCGATCAGGCTGCACAGCTGCAGGCAATAGGGCAGGATGACCACAAAACCGCAGGACTGTCTGGAAGAGGAAGCTCTGGGTTTTCCACCTGGATATGCGCACTGTCAGTTTAAAGTAACGAAGGCTCTGGTCTCTAACAACGCATTATACAAAAACATCCTCTTGTTCCCCCCATCCTGCCCTCTACCTCTCCTTCTGCCTTTCTTCCTTGTTTTTAGGTCCCAGACCAGGACTCAAACTTAGGACACCTGCCACTTTCTCGCATTGCTTGGCACTCTACCAACTGAGCCACAGTACCAGCTCCCTCTCTCCCTTTTTTTGTCTGTCATGGCGTTTGAACTTGGGCCTGGGCACTGTCAGGGACACTTGAGCCAAAGTTCCACTTCTGATTTTCTTGTGGTTAATTAGAGATAAGAGTCTCATGGACTTTCCTGCCTAGCCTGGCTTTGAACCACCATCCTCCAGATCTCAGCTTCCTGAGTAGGTAGGATTACAGGCGTGAGTCACTGGCACTTGGTTCCTTTCTTTTAATGCCAGTTCTAGGGCTTGAAACTCAGAGCCTCAAGTTCTTGCTTGGCTTTTTTGCTCACATCTGTGCTCTACCCTTTGAGCCACAGCTCCACTTCTGGCTTTTTGCTGAGTAGCTGGGAGATAAAAGTCTCTCAGATTTGTCCAGCTAGGCTGGGTTTGAACCACCATTCTCAGATCTCCGCCTCCTGAGTAGCTAGGATTCCAGGCTCATGGGCTCTCTTTTTATTCTATCTTGTTAACCCACAAAAATTGAACACTGCAGCTAAACGCCATGAAGGTTTCTTTGGGTGGCCTACGGTGGATGGAGAAGTCTGCAGCCTCTTCAAGCAAGTGGGGGAGGGGGGAGGCCCAGGGGACAGAACAAGTGTCCCCTGGGAAAGGAGCCCTCCCGGCACACGCACACACGCCACACGTGTG